TGGGGTCAGTCACTTGAAAGTGAAGTCGATGTCAACTGACCTTTGGTGATAGTCATGCTGCATCGTGAACTGACATAAATAGGAAGCTGTAGACCACTGAATTCCGGCCTAGATGCTGGGTGCCTAACACGTGCACTGTAAGACCTGATGGTTCCGGGTTCAATCCCTGACATGGTGAGTGCGCGCTACTAAGAAATCCCACATCGGGACGAAATGCCTGTCCATTGCTCTCAGGTTTCTTATGAGTATATTTTGTGTAATATGTTTTTACAGGCATAGGATAGTATTTATTTGTGAGTTGCGTACCACAGTCATTAACCATCTAGTTGTTATGACACTTTCTAGGCGACAAATGCTCTGAATAATTGTTTAATAATCTATATGAAGAGTTTCTGAATTGAATTACCTTTCATCAATCATGATCAGTGAAGTATTCAAGGTAACGACGTTTAGTCAGTGTGAAACTACCTATTCAAAAATCATTCATATCTAAGCGTTAGAATGGAACAATTTTTACCAAACTAAGATATTTCAGATATTCACCGTGAAGCTGTTGGTAGTTCGGTTAAAGATTAACCACATAGTGGTCACTAACCTCCTGAAAGTAACTTCATCTCTAAAGTGTCACATGGAATTGTTTTTCTATAATTGAACTGTGTCTTCATAACTAACCATCATGATATATTGTTTCTAGCCACTGCATAAAGAAGTGAAACGTGAATTAGCCTGTGAGATATTTAAATCTCGTTTCCGTTTCATATTATTCGGGAATCTAAAAAGTAACGTCTAAATAGTGCTGCAAACCAGCTAGAACCCCTTTGGGAGTACTTTTGAGATGATTACTTGACAACTCCGGATTTCCAAAATTTTTAGCAATATACTGTATTCTTCATCAGTGAGAAAGATGAAAATCACCCATATTTCATTAAGTAGATTACTGTTTACTGGTTAGCTGGTGCATGTTAAGAGATACAGCCATGGAAGACACAAAAATATCCAACAGGATAGGAAAGTTAGTGTGTGAATTTATTCCTGGAATTAATAATTTATCGACTTCTACAGCTATGTTGTTCTCAAAGTTTACGGGTATGGAATGAAGTAATATCACAGAGGGAAAATGCTGAATTTAATTTTCGTCACCCACTAACCTTCAGACAAGTAGTTCACTTATAAATTCTCTGCAGTCGGTAAATGGTATGCTGAAAGTGTTTCCATCCTATCTAACTGTAGCCTTGAATTAAATGATGAATAGACTTCAAAATACGGATCCACTTTAACAAGTTCATTCGCTTTTCAGGTTTTTGAAGGACTGATTAATTTCAAAGAGGTTCTAATCACAGAATTATATTAACTGGAGAATCTTTGAATAGTTGTATTATCCTGAGAAGTCTCATACTACGATAAAACAGTTATCCGACGCATTCAGGTTTTTAAAGACTTACTGTTTGATTTCGGCTGAGGATAAAAAGCTATTTAAAATGCAATTAACTCAACAAGTAGAAGTTGAAGAAAAGATTGGGTGGTCTGCAGTAAAGTGTAGAAATTTTATCACTTTTCTACTTTGCACTGGATATCAGTGAAATAGTCTGGAAGTTTCGACTCCTGTTTTCTATGCACACATGGGATAAATAATCACTGGATGAATTCCCTTCTGCTAAATCAGCACTTACCTTATAACAATGAAAAAAGGGTATTGAAAAACAAAGGGAAGCTATGATGGAGATAATTATCTTTGTGATGACTCATTTTCACAACTCCATACGTATATGTGAAAGTAAGCCTAGACCCGCAAGGCAAGAGGAGAGACGGCAACCACCAAGACCTCTGGAGTCAGTGGTCGTCACACAGGCGCTGACCAGTGAGTTAGATACATCAAGTAAAGAAGCCACCACTGCCACAGCCCCCACCCAAGTTAATAACAAAACACAAAAAACGGAACAATGCCAGTCCTATGAGGACTGGCGAGGGTAGACCCAACCACATAAGCTCATCCTGCGAAAATACACAACCAGACCTCCCCCTCACCAGGCACACTCTAATATGTATGTACAGCAACGTTAGGGGGCTAAGAGGGAAGGTAGCAGAAATGAGGACGCTGCGTGCACATCAGCACTCCGACATCATATTCATCACCGAATCCTGGCTCTCGCCAGACATCTCCGACGAAGAGATGCATGTTACTGGCATGGAACTCTTCCGCAGGGACAGGGAACATAGAGCAGGAGGGGAGTGGCTATCTACGTAAACTCTGTTTAAAGGCAAGGATGGTTAGCGATACGGCCTTAACCCAGCTCCCAGAGTCCTATGGTGCTACTTCACTCTCCACAGTACCAAATACCTGCTCGGAGTCATATATCGGTCCCCCACCAGCTCCCCTACACATAAGGAAATGATCATCAAGGCTATCTTAACGACTTCCTCTGCAAATTACGATTCCGTAGTCATTGCCGGCGACTTCAACACCCCGTCCATCCTCTTCGAGACGGAAGGGAGACGCATCAGATCCTTCAATCAGAAGCTGAAGGATGCAATTAAGACTGCTGGCCTCTCAGAGAAAGTGGGTGATGCTACACGCTGGGGACCTAACGGAAACGCATCGCGCCTTGACTACGTTCTGACGAACGATGAACTTCTCATTGAGGATGTTTGCATCCAACCTCCCCTTGGCCTCAGTGACCACGCTGTAATCACCTTCTCCATGATAACTAGGGAGGCTCTGCAACTGGAGACGCCAACACCTTCCCTTGCTACAGCAAGGCCAACTATGAGACCATGAGGGACTACCTCATGAATGCATCATGGCCAGTGGACTGGACTCATCTCACAATAGATGAACACTGGTTGGAGGTGAAGAAAATAATCACTGGGGCCATCAGTCACAGTGTACCAGAAGTAACACACAGACAATCAATGAGAACCTCATGGTTAAAGCGTGGGACAGAGAGGCTTATCCGGAGCAAGAAGCAGGCTTGGTTCAAGTGGCGTACATCACGCAGGGAGTCTGACTTCTTGAACTACAAAAGGATTCGCAATCTCTGTAACATTAGAGTGCGTAACGACAGATTTTCCTACCAAACAAACTTGGCAGCGAGGTTACAAAGCAACCCCAAAAACTGTACCGCTTCATGTCAAGAAGAAAGTCGACCAGTAAGGGAGTGAATCTTGTCACAGGCCATGACGGGAGTGTGCTAAGCAGTCTAGAGATTGCCGAGCTTTTGAGCTCACACTTCCAAGCCCAACTCAGCACTGACACAAGATCCACACCGACTCGCTACGACACCGACCAGGTCGCAAATAACGAATACCTCTGTCACGTCTCTATTACAGAGAAAAAGGTGTTCGAGAAGCTATCTAGGCTACGTCCGGGCAAGTCCCCTGGCTGCGATAACTGAAACCAGTGGTTCTGAAAAACTGCGCCGAGGTGCTTACCAAACCACTTCGCAACCTCTTTGAGCACTCAATAGACTCGTGCAAACTCCCTAAAGAATGGAAGAGCGCCATCTTGTCACCCATCTTCAAGGGAGGAGACAGAAAAAGCCCTGGCAGCTACAGGCCAATTGCCCTACTCCCTATTGTGTCGAAAGTGTTGGAAAGCCTGGTAGCTGACACCATCTGGGAATTCCTCAATAGGGAAAACACTGTCCACTGCTCAGCACGGCTTTCGTAGTGGTCGCTCATGTGCCACCAACTTACTAACCGCCTGGGACGACTGGACACAAAGCTGGGATAATAGAAAACCTGTACATGTTGTATTTCTCGACCTAGCCAAAGCATTTGACAGTGTCCCACCCACAGTACTGCTTCACAAGATCATGTCAGCTGGTATAAGTGGACCCCTACTCTCTTGGTTCAAGGAGTACCTGGAAGGGAGGCAGTTCTGCACTAAAGTGAACAGAATAAGGTCGGAGTGGAGACCCTCGACGTCAGGAGTATCCCAAGGAGCAATCCTAGGACCGCTTCTGTTCCTTCCTTTTGTCAACGATCTGCCAGACAAAATATCCTCACCCATCCTCCTCTTCGCTGACGACATAAAAATTTGGAGGGTGGTAAACGAAGAAGCTGATTGTACAGCACTACAAAAGGACTTGCAGCAACTCGAGCTCTGGTCGTCGGAAAATGGCCTGAGCTTCAACCTGGAAAAGTGCAAAGTAATGCACATCAGTAAAAATGAGGCAAGTACGACCGACTTCCAGTACATGTTGAGCAACCGTGCTATCACCAGAGTGTCCATGGAGAAAGATTTGGGGCTCAACTTCTCCGACACCTTGGACACCAGCTCCAACTACAAAGGTATGACAACCAGAGCGAACGCCATTCTACACTTTCTGCGTAGACAGCTTGGCGCCCTCACTCCCGAACTCTTCCTCACCATTTTCAAATCCTACGTGCGGCCGCACCTAGAGGTCTTCAATACGGTGGCTCCTCCAACACTCAAGAGAGACTCTAATCTCCTTGAAAGAATACAAAGAACTGCAACAAAATGTGTTGTGGGGCTAAGGGGAAAGACGTATCCTGAAAGACTTAAACACCTCAACCTATTTACCTTGGGTTATCGCAGGAAAAGGGGTGACCTCATTATGGCATACAAGATCGCCCATCAGGCAGACCATGCAAACAAATCAATTTTGCCTGCAACTCAACGATCTTCACGAGGAAACCCCACAAGATAGCACACCAGAGAGCCAACACCACACTCAGGTCCAAATTTTTCTCCCTAAGAGTATGTGCTTTATGGAATGCCTTACCGCGACACATCGTTATAGCTCCTTCAGTCGACTCTTTCAAGAGGCGATTAGACAGTTATGTCACCTCGCATGGACTACCACGGACGTACTCAGGTAGTCACCAACCTCACTAGCCCCCAACTCCCTCCTAACTACCACTCACTATCTCCCTCCTTAATACACCCACATTACCTACTAATTCTTCTGTAGGAACCAAACCCATGCGACCATTCACCCAATTCCCAAATACTTTCCTTTTGTCCTTATTTCTCTTTTCACCCCTCCTTTTCTTCTCCTTCCCCTTTCTCCTCCCTCATTGTTATTTTTTCTTTTTTCTTCTCTTTCTCTTCATTCTCTCTTCATTCTTTCACCACTACCTTACTATCCTCTTTCAGGTACCTACACAGACAGGAGTCATGGCAGTTCTCTAAACTTCCCAGCAACCCGTAGCTCCCTAATCACTCCACAAATTACAACTTACTAGCCCACAAAACATCCACCTCACCGAAGCTAAAAGCAAGAAAGCAGAGGGGATTTCCTCTTCCACTGCAGGAGTGAACCGAACAACTTGGACCAAGCCCTAAGAAATAGACGCGAGGGATCAAAAACTACCAGTTTTCTACGCTCACACTATTAATATTGGGTATTGGAAGTTTCTGTTCGTTTCAGAAAACCACTCATGTGAATTGAGGAATGACATCAGTGATTGTTGAAGAGAAGTCACTGATTTGTGCCAAGAAAACGCATGTTTTGAACAAACTAGCAAGGAAATTTTGAATAAGTAGCTGAATGTACCGCAAAAATGTAAAGGATTTTGTGATTACTAAAGCCAATACCAGGTTTGTCGGAAGAATTAAAATCAACATGTAGCATTTGCTAACCTGACTTTGGCGTACTCCTGCGTGTGCTTAGGACCTGCTCAGGTTTATTAGACCGCCGTTCTTTAACTAAATGCAAGCCAAGAATCCCAAACGAGTGTGTGTGAAATTTTATCCAGGAGGTTATGAATTGCGAATAGCAGGCACAAGTACAGTTCTGTTCTCGTTCGAGCCGAAAGACATACCTTCGATTTTAGAGCTAAGTAGGACAATAAATACCAAAACATACCCACAGCAGTTTCACCATGAAGGCGAAACTTTAAAAGTCAGCTTTGTCAAAGAGAAAAGAAGGCAATTTGAATAACACTACCCACTTGCGCCCAAATAATACTAACTTAGACTGATCAAAAACGTCATGATTTTGTGATGGAAAATAATTTCCAGAACTCAATAGTTTGGCGTAAGAAGAGACTCAGGATTTATGCTGAAATACATAGTTAGTCTGAAGGCTGTAATGAGCAGCTACTGGTAGGTATTTGTTTACCTTATCTGCAGGTACGGCGTTCCTAGAGGAGTCGTCAGAAAGTGAGAGTTTAGGGGGTAGCCTCAAGAATCTGTAGGGGCTAAAGAGGAAGAGAAAAACCTGAGCCAACTAGTCGTCAAGAAGGGATAACGCACTTACACTAAATAATCTACTACTAAAAAGAGAAACATTGTAGCGTCACACAAATCCTAAAGACAAGGAAACTCACCTCAAATATTTGGACCTCGCATTCGAAAGACTTAAAAAACATGGCATCACAGCCAACTTACAGAAGTGTGGAATAGGGGTTGAATCACCCAGCTTTCTTGGGCATACCACTGACAGCAAAGGTATACGCCTACTGAGAGATAAAGTGGCGGCTATCACAAACTATCCAGAGCCGACCACTGTGAAACATCTCAGCACTTTCAATGGCCTGGCAGGTTATTACCGAAGGTTTATCCCCAACTGTGCCTCTGTCATAAGACCACTAACAGACCTACTTCGAGGAACTACGAAGTTCGTGGCTCTGGACAACGTGGCTAGGCTTGCTTTTCCTAAAGTCAAGGAAGCCATTTCGAACGCAATCATGCCTATGCATCATGACCCCAATGCTCCTTTGAGTATTGCTGTTGATGCATCTGATTCAGCAATTGGAGCAGTTTTGCAACAATCGACTGACAACCAGTGGCAACCGTTAGCCCTTTTCTCGAAGCGGCTGCAAGACATGGAGGCAAGATACAGTACATTTGGTAGGGAACTCCTAGCTATGTACTGTTCTGTACGCCACTTTCGACATTCTGTGGAAGGTCGTGATTTCATTATTTTCACAGACCACAAACCGTTAACGTTTTCCCTCAGCTCGGCGTCTGACAAATACTCCCCTCGTGAGTCGCGACAGCTGGATTACATTTCCCAGTTCACGTCAGACATCCGCCACATTTCTGGAGCAAACAACTCCGCAGCCGACGCACTATCACGAATAGCTTCGATAAATCATATCGAGGGCGTTGATCTCGTTGAACTAGCTCGGCGTCAAAAGGAAGACCTTGAGCTGCATCATGAGTTGTCGTCCACAACTCTCAAACTGCGACTTTGTCCGGTTGGATCAGACAAGGATACAATTTTGTGCGATGTCTCTGCTAGTCAACCACGCCCAATAGTTCCGAAGAGTTGTCGACGCAACGTCTTCAATACGTTGCACAAACTCTCTCATCCAGGTGTACGAGCCACCATTAGGCTTATCGCACAACGTTTCTGCTGGCCTGGGATGAACAAAGACGTTAAGGAGTGGGCTCAGTCGTGCTTAGCTTGTCAAAAGTGTAAAGTCACGCGACACACGAAAAGCCCTTTAGGCTCTTTTCTAGCCCCAGACATGCGTTTCGACCACGTCCATATAGATATTGTAGGACCCCTACCAGAATCTAATGGATGTACCTACCTTTTCACTTGTGTTGATCGTTTCACACGATGGCCGGAAGCAGTACCTATTAAGGATATTACTGCCGAAACAGTTGCTCGTGTTTTCGTCGAAAGATGGATCGCGAACTTCGGATGTCCATCTTACGTCACAACCGACCGTGGGCGCCAATTTGAGTGTGGATTATTTCACGCTCTAACGGCACTTTTAGGTTGCACTCGGTTCCGAACGACAGCCTACCATCCACAAGCAAATGGCATGGTAGAGCGTTTCCATCGACAGCTGAAAGCTTCCCTTTCAGCTGCAAACATACCTCAGTGGACCGAGGCTCTGCCTCTAGTCCTACTAGGTATTCGTAACGCCTTGAAAGTTGATGCTGGATGTACCCCCGCAGAACTCGTCTATGGGACCACTCTTCGCCTACCAGGTGAGTTTGTTTCTCCTTCAACTTTCAAACATGTTTCCGACAGGGCATCTTACGTGACTAGGCTTACAAACACAATGCGTTCAGTTAGGCCTTCTCCGGTTAGACCTCAAACGACCGATGTCCTCGTTCAGCCCAGTTTACAAAAGACATCACACGTGTTTGTTCGCCACGACGCTGTTCGTCGACCACTTGAATCACCCTACGACGGGCCGTTCAAAGTGATTAAGCGACACGAGAAATTCCACATGATTGAGCGAGACGGACGTGAAGATACTGTCAGTATCGACCGTTTGAAACCAGCTTATTTCGAAGGCAACCCCATTACAAGTGACGTTTCAGCTCGCTACAGCCGACCGATGGATAGCTCAATTACCGAAATTCTTGACGATGTCCCTGGTAATGTGCAGTTGCAACAACCATCAGCGCAACAGAAAACACGATCAGGTCGAACCATTAGGTTCCCGGAGTATTTAAAGTCGTATTCAACTTAGCGGTGTGAAATAAAATGTGCCAACCACATTCTTTTTGCTCACAAATTTTTTCCGAGGCACTATTTTTCTTATTTACCGGCAATGCACAGCCCTCATACACTTTGCCTTTTTATATCAATTTTTATTACAACGTAACGCAACTTTTAAAAAAAGCGGTGAAAATAAGCGTAAATTTTTATTTTCCGGTATGTTTATATATAAATAATTCCCATTTTTACGAAACGTTTTCGTGGTATTAAAGACTTTTATTTATATTCCAAACGCAAGGAGCACTGGACAGAACGTCAAAAGGAGCTGAGGACCGCGATCGACGTCCAAGTCGATTTATTGTATTTTATTATTTAATTGTCACGACACCCTAGAATAAGTTCGGACAACCAGGGACCACTTCACGCAGTGAGCCCATCGGAAGAGTTTTACCAGTGGAGAAACCACTGGGTTTTTACTTCCGGCTGGTATCGTCTTAGGGTCCTCACGAACCCACTAGGGGGGAGTGATCTGTAGCGTCACACACTTCCCCAAACTCAACAGCCTAGGGTTTGACGACTTTCGACATTGATGCTGACCTTGATAGTCTAACTGGACTCGCAAAGCTGAAGGCACCTGGTCAAGCATGCCCGCCATTTGGCACGCTGTCGTGTTACGTTGCACTGCTCGCATTCGGCTCTCTAGCCAGTTAATTGGAACGCATCGATATTTTGTCACAACCATCCAAATATACTATTCCATCCGACTGCGCTATCGTGTCCTTCCTCGGTCTCGTATTCGTGGGTACATAACAAGTCCGAATAATTAGTGATTGGTCTTTGCGTCTGTCAAGTTCGCACCAGAACAAATCCTAGATGACTTTTTATCTATGTTAATAGATCCGCTGGATGATTTATTGATATTCCTGAATGCCCGTGTCACCATATAAACTTCTGTGGCCGTTAGCTTCAGAGAAGCCGAGTTTAGATTTTTCCGAAATGGGTGCCGCTTAATTAGCTAGATGTATATATCGTGACGTTCAGAGCTCCAATAGCAAGCAACGACGGTTTCAATATCAGTCAAGAAACACCTACGGGAGGTAAATACTAAGTGGAGGGCGCCTTGAAAATTCCTGGCATGTTCACCCAAATGCCAAAGGAAAGTCAAACATAGAGCTTTCGAAGTGCTGTGTAATAATTTTAAGCTATGTGGGTCAACTCTTTGACATCTTGCGGAAGGTTATCTCGGAGCCCATGTTCCCAAAATAGTTAAATCAGGAAAGAAAGCCGAGGAAAGACCTATAGTGCGGAAGATCCTTTAGGTGGCTCTAGTTAACAGGAAAAGAATAAACATGGTCCAGAATCAAATCTTAAAGTAAGCAGCTAAGAAATCCATATTTGAAATGGCTACCTTCCCAGGAATCCTTTAATAAGATGGGTAGCCTTGGTCAAACTAGAAACTAGGTCTAGAGAAAACAGAAAAGAGGAAATCGTGGGTTATTTAAGGCTGTAAAAATCCGGGAAGCAAGGGCTTTCAAGACTCTCATGGGTACGAATACTGGTGGCTCAGGCGTGCTGAATATAAGCTTGGCCAGGTGTCGCAGCATCATGGGTAGACAGCTAAATCTGATGAGTTCACTAGATAAACTTGATCTTCATGTTGTGGCAGCTACTGAAATGTGGCCTCTATTGGGCTTCACTCTGCTTCACTCGGAATATTCCCAAATCTGACAGGTATTAGTACAGTTTGCGGAGTTCAAAACATACTTCGTCACGTAAACAACGACTTCCGCTGTTTATTACTGGTCTCGGAAGCACATGGCTATGGCACATCTTGGGCGGTGGGCTGTAAAGTGGAACCAAGGAATCGTTTTTATCAGACGCTCTGGTTTGCCACGACAAATTTTTTCTTGCTAATGACCTCATGCTGAACCACACCGGGAAGTAGGGTAGATGTGGACGTCAAATAGTCACAGTGGCTCAATCCACGACACACAAACAGTTTGAATTTTGCAGCTCTGGGTAATTGCTTCGAAATTGATCAAGACACACCAGATCCGAAGCAGAATTGGTGCGATAATTGCTGATGTTGAACACAAGCGGTCATCACTAGATTTGGAGCTGACTCACCAATGTAGCTATGTTATGGGCCTGAATTTCTCGAAACGTAGTGACATGCATAAGGTTTTCCGTGTTGACTGAATGACTTAAGTTACTGAGCTTCTCCCTCCATATCAAGCGTGTGGCACGCGAACATCCTACGCATAAGGGATTGTGCAAGGACAGGATATTAAGACGTCGATAAACACTCACCTACTCAAAAGGCTTGAAGGAAGCTTCGAACTACGTTCAGTTACGAGGCAGCTTCGTTTGTTACATTATCGACCTTATGCAAACCTTCACAGGCTGCTTGAAAAGTACTTGGGTACGTAGAACGCCTGCCGCGGTCATTTGTCGATTCAACAACACAGACGTTTAAGACTGCGTAACGCAAGGTTCAAAACTTGTGCGGAATGATCGTTATGGGCCTTGAATGGTGTACAAAAGACAACTCGTGGGTGATTCCCAAGATAATTTCGAAGGTGTCTTCATTCATGGGACAGAGGGCGGAATATTACGTAACCGCAGTTATGGCGAGATGTTTGTGGCTAGACTGCATGACGGAGTCCAAACTGTCAAAAGGCGGATGTCTATCTGAACACTGTTATGAAGTCTACGTAGCAAACCCAGAGAGTGATGGGCGTAACAGTCGCGCCGACACTAAGACGCCAATGGGCACAAGGGATATGTTAAATATGACAATCTTTCATTCTCTCAGTAATCCAAGGTATGGGCTATCTTCGGATCTTTACAGTCCACATGATCCAAGAACCTGACGGGAAAATACGGATAATGACGGCGTTCGCCCATTTCAAACAGACGAAAGCAGTTTCTTGAAGCGGTCAGACAGGTGATGTACACTAACACAGGTGTCTGGACGCAAGTGTCTGGACGAGCACATAGGCAACCGGATAGCAATATCTAAGATGTTGGTAGAACTTCAGTGCCCTCAGCATCGGCCCACAATGACATAGGAATCGCAGGAAGTCATGGTTTAAAGGCTATAGCGCTGTGTTGATTGTTTGTAGCTCCCATGGCGTTGAGCATGAAGTTTTACCAATGTAAGCAGTGGCGTGTCCAACAACTAATCCAGATGCCGAATTACATCTTGGCTTAAGGGCTGTGCATCAGCGGTAAACCCATCTGAAGGATGGCTTGAACCTTCTGTAAAGATTTCAGTGGGCGGTCACGCATGCGGCCCCTGATATGGGTAACCTGAACCAGTAGGAATGAATTCAGAAACTGAACCCCCTCGCATCACAGGCAGAGGGGGCGATCTAACTGTGTTATACAGGATTTAAAGAAACGAATTTGGATCTGATCCATCTTCTCTTCTCCTTTCAGCCAGAGGAGTACAAAAGAGAAGGTCGAATGTCGTTTCCTCTAGCCAGCTTTTAGAAGCGGCTGTACGCGCACCATCAGCTGGCTTGTTTAAAAAAAGAAGCAGGCAACCACAGAGGCCGAATGGAAAAGGATTGGTACAGTCTCACGGCCCTCCGTCCCCAAACTACAAGTGTGGAAACCTAGCTTAAATCTAACCAATACCAAAACTAGCAGGCATTACTAGAGAATCAATTGAAGCTTCTCACCACTCAGCTGTTTGAAACGCTTTTAGCTCTGTCTTTAAGGAAGATATTTGTCGCTCGTTATTTAGCTCCTATCTTGCGAGTTCAAATGCCGTTATAATTGGGAATTCAAGTGAAACGATCAGAGGTAGATCGTTCAAGTATACTGAATTATGCAGTCCCTGAGCGCGGCAGCACCATTATATTCAGATTACTTGGCGAACCTTCGCATTCTGGGCCAGAATTTAGCGGCGAATCTACGCAGAACACAGGTCTCAGCTGTCGGTCTTATGAATTTCAGCTAGGGTCTCTAAAAATCGCCTTACACAAAATCAACGTGGAAGCTTACCTTATTGCTGGATAGGATTGTGGAGTCATCGTACGACAGGGCGGAGGGACCGAAGACAAAAAGGGCACCGTCCGAGTGCAGACCTGTGAGAAGTTAATTTATTCAAGAGGTCTTCGGCCTTTCGCTGTTACTTCAGTCTGTTGGTGAATTATTGCAGTTATTTCACGAAGGCACCTAATGATCCAATCTTAATAATTATATCGTTAATGATGTACAGTGCTTCCTCCATTTCAAGAACTAACTACTTCGGGGGTAAACACGGTGAGTTAAAAAACCATGACCAAACTATATGAAAACGTAATTCGTTCACACCGTGTAGCGATATGCGCAACATAATTAGCACAACCCGGCGGCACATATATTCGCTTTTATCTATGATTAAGACACCTGAGCCTTTGTTAGGCCGGATAATGATGACATCGGGGTTGTGTTGTGGTTGTTTCAAGGCTCTGAAATATCCAGAGGTCAAAATGCCTTACCGCTTTGGATGGCCATCACGAATCCGGTGGTCGGCATTCAACATCCCGGCTTTCGATCGGCCTCGCTGGTCTGCCATACGGCCCCTCCCTGAATTTTGGACTATCGTCTTTCTTTTCGCACTTATGAGAGATAAGAATCATCCAGAACGCATGGAGAAGAACTGCGGTAAATAAGTTTGTGGATTAAGGTTCAAATTGGTGAGAGACCCATGGTGGTAAGGAATCTATACCCCTTGGAATATAGATGACTGGCAGGTGACCTAATAATGACATTATTCAACACTTCAGGTCACCCGCTTCCCTGCCTGCGCAGGCTTAGATGTAATTCGAATCCTAGGGTGAACACCTAGAGGTTAGAACTTCAAGACAGGATGGTAATTAGACGTAGCTTCTATTCTCTAAGTAACTCTCAGGCATGGAATACTCTACCCATACACGTTGTTGAGGTGACATCCTTGGAGTTCTTCAAATGCCGACCTAGTGCCCACTTGCGGCTGCAGTGTGAGCTTTCAGACTGGTAGCCAGTTGCCCGACCTTGTTGTTTCATCTGTATATTTTTATCTTCTTCACTAAGGTTCTGAGACAGTAGCCAGTGGCCCATTGATTCTAGACGAGGAAGCCAGTTAAGCGGAAGCTTCTCCTAACCTGTCAGCAACCGTTTTAAACGATTGGAAAATGAAGCTGGAACAAGGGAGTCTCCCCTGGTTGCACAGATTTTCAAAATGGGCTTGAAGGACAAAGTCTGGTGAACATATATGAAGAACACCAAACCCTTGTTTTGTGAAAGTTTGCGAAGGGAAATATTTTCCTAAAGGACCATGGTTGGATCAACTAAACGTTAATTTGCTTCGCTGTAACACAGTGGCCAGCGGCCGTATCGAAATATCCGACTAAATATTGCCATCCGTTTTACGCAACACAATGAATGGAACCAGAACTTGACAGATGCGCGTGTAGAAGTTGACGGTACAGGCGAACGTGTTCAATAACCTTATCTTCAGAGAAACAAATTTAGCTTAGAACGCATCCAGAGGCATGTGACCGAACTTGATCATGGACTTGGTCTAAAACATGTGAAGAACGACTTGTTGTGCTTGATCCATATGCTCGGGAATATAAAAGGCTAAGAGGAGACTTGATAATGACCCACAATATCCTGAGCACCCCCGAGCACCCACTCTGTCACTCATTCTACCTAAGCCGTAGCGCCATTCTTGGGTGGCAAATAGAAACTAAGCCCGGAACATAGCACGTTAGATGTCAGGCCCAACTTTTATTCCCCAAGGGTTGTTAACCCCTAGGACGCTCTTCCTGCAGATGTGATCCAGGCTTCTTCGTCTGAATCCTTTAAACGCCAACTGAATGCTTATTTGATATGTGGTTGGGATCCGCTGATAACTAAATGAAATTTCACATCTGACCCGCATATTTTGCTTTCTTTTTACTTGTACACGGGTTAACGATCTCGGGAAGCGGTGATCCATAGATTTTAGACGCGGCTGCCAGTTAGGCGAAAGCTTCTTCCATCCAGGCTCTATTCATCTCCAATCTAGAGGCTGGAAAACAGCTGTCAACCATTTGATAACAGTGAACGCAATTCAGTTAATCAGTCGGACCCTAGAACTGCCACCCACCAAGACGCAACTATCTTCTCAACTCGGAAACACTTCCTGCTGGTGACTCCTAGTCGTTTGGACTGTTCAACTGCTGTAGTCTTTGGCCGTCTTCCAGGACCATTAACCAAGTAATATCTTCCCCGGCCTTTGCACACACACTTGGAGTATTCGGTTGAAGTTGCTGATAAAGTGAGAGAAACTGAGTGCCAAGTTCCTATTGGTAAGCCATATGTTTTACGCTTTATTCTCCCCTTCGTTTACATTATTTGTATCTTAAATCACTTAACCATCATGGTGCGAAAAACCAGATCGCAAGCCCTCAGTCGCATAACGAGGTCTGCGGGCAGACAGAACCTAGTCATGCGGAAAAGATGGGTCCACCAACACCCCACCGTCTAAGATAACCATAGCACTGTCAAACCGGGCACAGCACCTGTCAAAGCCGGCAAATCCCTGTAGTCAGGATGACAGTAGCAAGTCCCCAACCACACAGTTGGTGAAAAATGAGGCATGGGGGAACCGCGCAACGTTTGACATCACCTTACAGAAAGCAAACCACTCAGTCGTCAACACAGAGCAAACCTCTAGTGGTGTTTGCAAAGAATCACTGTCAAAGGCTCCAAAAGCCCTTTCCTGTAGCATCTGTCTTAGATGGGTGCACTGTAACTGTGATAGCGATTTACCGGGGCAGTACTGCAACTTCATGAGGAAGTACCCATATAAATGGATGTGGTATATAGGCCCAGAGTGTCGGAAATCACCTGCTGTCAACATCGGAAAACCGGAAAACCTGGTAAAGTGAAACATGTTACAAGCTATGACCCCCAATAATTTTCCACTAATGTCCAGGGGCGCCGCCCCTAGAGACAGGGAGAAATTGGCTCCCACTCTAAGTGAGGCACCAAAAGGCCCTCACTTGTATCTCTGCAACCCAGACGATTAAACGGAACTGAACAACTTGAGGAAATAGGTTGCGCTGTGAACGAATGGACGGAAATGAATAGGGTAAAGGGCAGACCCAGTGCACTTGCCACCAAGCCCAATATTCCGCACCCACAGGAACGGATTCCATCACTCTGTTCAACTTTCCATGTACCAACATACTCACCCTTAGAAAAATGAGAACAGTCTGACATGGAGAAGCGGGAATAGAAACCATCGCAACCAACTTACGACGACTTTCTTGAGGAAGTGGAGGGCCTAGAGACAAGCCGCTGCCACTCAGAATATCGGCAATGACGGCGAAACAGTCGGAAAACATACTGCTGCTGTCTCGCCGACCGGACGTTGCAGGCTCCTGCCTCATATGGACGAAAATAGACAAACCTCGGGACACCAGGGAGGCGGAAGGAAAGTCCTCGCCTACTGATCCGCACGAAGCTGCAATCATGGTGGTGCACGGGGTGCCCGAAGTGGCAGGCGGATCCACAAAGCGCTTCAATTACCTCCACGATTTCGAGGAGCGGTGCCGGTTAGGGGCAAAAATGGGTCTCGAAAATTTACCTGCCAGCGGCTTAAGTAGGTTACCAAGATCTACGCACTTGAAGAGCATCTCCCCACCAAGATTGCCAACTGTAAGCTTTGACCGCAAAGCATTACTAACAGAAGCTCTCACAGCATGGTGCCGCGTAAAAGAACGCATGGGAGGTGCTAAACGATGCCGCAACAGTAGACCCTCGGCTGCCGGGCCATAAGATAGGAGGCAACCTCCGAGGACATGACAGATAGTACTAGTCAAAAAGGAACTAGCTAGTGAACTACATGTAGGCACAGTAGGCAATGTCGTCACTCCAGCGGCGAGATGCCAAGAGGAACAAAAATACGGGGGGCTGCCGGTCCAGTAGGGGCTGACAGTCAGAATCCGACGCAATGGCACACCAGCCTCCAAACAAGTCCCCACATTGCGATTAGCCCAGAAAGTAGCTCTCTAACACGCTTCTACCGCAATGTTAAAGGTCTCAGGAATAAACTACTGGAGCTAAAAACGACGTGCCGTAATCTGCAAGCAGATATGGCTCTTATCATGGGCATGGCTGTCAGCGGACATCACGGATGAGGTAATATCTTTGCCTAACGTGACCCTGTTCCGAAAGGACAGGCAGTTCAAAGAAGACGAAGGGGTTGTCACGCTTACTGGCACATCTAAAAGTCAAGGAGGTGGCTGATGATGTGTTCAGCCTACTACCAGGCACCTTATGGTGCTACTTCACCATAACCCAAACCAAGTACCTAATAGGAGTGGTATATAGGCCTCCTCTTTACACGATAGAGCACGAGGCACAATTGCTCAGTGCCATCGCAACTACCACCTCGGCAGCCTATGCCAGTGTAGTCCCCACTGGAGGCTTCAACACACCGACACTCAACCCGGGGTGTGAAGTAAGTATGGGCATAAATCTTTCAAACACGAACTTCGAAATACTTTCATGGCAGCAGGACTAATAGAGAAGGTTGGGGAAAACACCGGATAGGGGCCAGATGAAAAAGGATCACCACTCGACTACGTTCTAACAGGTGATGACCTTTTGGTGGACGATATCTGTGTCCAACCACCCTCAGGTAAAGACGATCATGCGTTGATGAGACTCTCTCTGATAACCAAAGCGACACTACCAATAGGCGAGCCAGAAGCGTTCCGCTGTTACCGAAAAGCAGACCACCACCTCATGAACAGCGAATTCCTGAAGGCTGCATGGCCGCAAGAATGGAACTCATTATCGACAGACGAACACTGGATACAGATTAAAGATATTATCTGGAGCGCTATCAAAAAGAGTGTTCCAAAATTAACCAGACGGCCACCTCTCAAACAGTCTTGGGTAACCGGCGCAACCCAAAGACAAGTGGAGAGGAGAAAGAAGGCGTGGTATCAGTGGCGCACATCATGCAAAGAATCAGTCCCTCGTAGCTACAAGACTTTACGAAACTTGTGTAATATAAGAATTGGTAATGAAAGGTATACATACCAAAGCAACCTGGCTGAACAGTTAAGCTGCAATCCGAGAAGTCTGTATGGGTCAATGTCACAACGCAAACCGGCGAACAAGGACTTGAACCTGATCAAGGGGCCGGCCGGAGAACCCTTGAACAGAGGTGAGGTAGCGGAATTGTTGAGCAGTCAATTTGAAGAGCAACTCAACCCAGTTATACATCCGCTACCAACATCTAGCAACGTAATTAGGTCTCAGAACTGCGATACGAAGCTGATAAACGTGAAGATTTCGTCAAGCTAAGTGTTTGCGAAACTTTCAATGCTGGGAATAGAGAAATCTCCGGCTGTGATGATGCAATGCCGACGGCCCTACGCAACTGTGCTGAAGTTCTAGGCACACCTTATGGAACCTGTTCACGCACTCGCTGGAAGTAAGTCAACTCCCCGAAGAATGGAAACAGGCCATCTTCTCACCAACCTTCCAGGGAGGAGACCAAAGGAACCAATGTAACTACAGACCAATAGAATTACTCCCCATACTTTCCAGGGTACCGGTAAGCCTGGTTGCAGATATTGCTTGGGACTACCTTAACAGAAACAACATCGTTCATCTCATCCAGCATGGCTACAGAACCGGGCGGTCATATGCCACAAACTTGACCGCTTGGGATGACTGGGCTACTAGATGGGATAACAAACAAGCTCACGTTATCTTCTTGGACTTGGCCAAAGCTTTTGATAGCGCCCCACACCGCACCATGCTCGCCAAACTTCCAAAGGTGGGTGTCACTGAACCACTCTTGGCATGGCTTACAGCATACCTAGAGGATAGAGAATTCCGCACCAAAGCAAACAGAATTCGATCAACGTGGAAGAATGTAAGAACAGGAGTTCCTCAAGGAGCGATCCTTGGGCCACTCCTATTTTTACCATTCATGAATGACCTCCCCACTAAAATCTCCTCATCTGCTGTCCTATTCGCCGACGACATCAAAGCATGGAGGACGGTAGGTGATGAAGAGGATCCTAGGATAATCCAAAACGACGTGTTGCAGCTGCAGTCCTGGTCAGCTGCAGGCAGTTTAAGCTTTGACCCAGAGGAATGCGAGATGTATCTTCGCACACCGGGGACAATGAAAATCAGCTGCGCTCTAAACAAGTATGCAATCTCCAAGGTATCCACAGAGAAGGAACCCGGACTAAACTTTTCTTACACACTGGATACTACTGGCACTAATAATGGAATGGCAGCAAAGGTGAACGCCATCATGCACTTTCTAAGAAGTCAGCTTGGATTGTTAACCCCTGAATTATTGCTTATGGTATTTAAAACCTGTTACGGCACATCTAGTGGTGTTCAACACAATAGCCTCCCACTACTAAAGAGAGATGCAGATACTCTCGAGAAGGTACAGAGAAGAGCAACAAAGTCAGTCGCCAGATTAACAGGTGAAACATGTGTGCAACGCCTCAGACAACTCAACTCGTTCACACTAAGCTGTCGAAGGAAACGAGGTTACCCGATAACAACCTACAAGATTATTCACCAAGTGGACACCCAGCTGGGACGACCTTATCGGCCCAAAACCGATGGTCTCGTGGCAACCCCACTTGCATACCCCACCATAGGGCAAAGACGAGAGTGAGATCCAACTTCTCCCACATAGTATGTATCCTATGGAACGCTGTGCTGAGGGAAGTGGCCACAGCTACATCACTCGACCCCTTCAGACGACTGTTGGATGGCTTGCCACTGACGTTCATCAGTATCAACTGATGTTACGCCCTTCCACCCTCATTTTCCCCAACCCTGGTATCTGCAATAAGACACTTCTCTTCTCCACATTATTACCAGTCATATTTATCTTTTCATAAGTACTTTTTACTCCTCTTTTTCTCTTTCTCCACTCACCCTGTTTCTGTCACTTTCTAAGTAATTACAGGTTTCCGCTACTGGCACTACTGATGTTGGATTTTGGAACAACCATTTGAACTATTTGAAAAGAAACAGAAGATTGATAACTACAGCAGACGAGTCTGTGGATCTGTTGCCTCAAAATCTAACAAAAACCTGGAACCATCTCACGAGGCCTAGAAGTGAGAGTGAATAAATCAACTGTTCTGTGCAACAATGCAGGACAGATATTGCATATTGGACAATAACCCATCGTAAGCGCATTGGAGATTGAAACGTATTTCCTTCCAGCGCTGCTCTTGTATTTCTAGGTCAATTGTCAAAGGTTGGTGAACTTTTTGATTACGTCAGGGTTTAGGAAGCTCTCAATAAAATCTCTTCCTCAAAGAAATAAGCGTATTCAGGGGTGCTACAAAAAATCAAAATATGGTTGGGGTCTTCAATGATAAGGTTAGTGCAGAATACCCGAACACACTGCGTAAAAGATGTCAACTTATGTGATGTTTATCCCCGTAAGGATTCGATACCTCTGTGAATAGGTTTATCGAAGGAGCTTCTACTGAATCATAAGTGTGAGTAATTTGATTCTTACCATGCATGTGGAGTAAATAATCTGCGAAACGGTAGTTTTTCTAAAGAGGAATAGTTTACGAAGAATTTATGGGATGTACCCAAAAACTTACAGATGCATGAAGATTTTTCTCCTGAAGGGTTCCAGGCTTTCTGAAGTGTTTCTAGGTGTTTGCCGTTTAGGTACCATTAGTCCCACTAGTTTTCCATGCAACATCGATAGTACAGGCGTAGAAAACTGACAGTTTTTGAACTTCCTCTTGTTTCGTGTTGCTCAGTTTGTTCATGTAGTAGTCAAGGTGATCTCTTCTGCTTTCCTTCTTCTAGCTCCGGTGAGGTGAATTTTTTTGTGGGTTAATAATTGGGATTTATAGACTGATAGGGGAGCTACGGGTTGCTAGGAAGATTAGGGCTCTGTTCTGACTTCTGTTTGTGTAGATGCCTAAATAGGATTCAAAAGGTAATGAGAAAAATCACATAGGAATTACCCGGAAGGTAAAAGTAGATAGCATGGGTTTAGTTGATAGAGAAGAGTTAGTAGGTAATATAGGTGTAACAACAAGAGAGGTAGAGTGGTAAGTAGGAAGGAAGCAATGATGGGCTAGTAAGGTTATTAATTCCGTGATTACGTCTCTGGTAAACCATGCGAAATGACATAACTATCTAACCGTCTTTTGAACGAGTCTGCCGAGAGGGTTGTGACTACATCCCCCGGTAAGCCGTTCCATAAAGTGCATACTCTTTAGGAGAAAAAGTTAGATTTGAACCCAATGGCAGCTCTCTGGTGTGCTATCCTAACGTGGTTTTCTTGCGATGACCACCGTGTTGCAGGCTAAACTAGTTTGTTTGGGTGATTTGCCTGATGGATGATCTTGTAGGCTGTAATAAGGTCACCCCTTTTTCTGGGATAGTCGACGGTGAATATGTTTAGGTGTTTCAGTCTTTCGAAGTAAACCTTCCTCCTTAGTCCCACAACTGATTTTATTCTAAATCTTTGTATTTTTTCCAAGGATATCGAAGTCTCTCTTGAGTGTTGGGTGTGCCACCGTATTGAAGACCTCTAGGTGTAGCCGTACGTAGGATTTGAAAACTGTGAGAAACAGTTCAGAGGTTGCAACACCAAGCTGTTCACGCGAAAGGTGCAAAGTGGAGTTTGCTTTGGCTGCCATTTCTTTGACGTTGGAACTAGTGTTCAGGGTGTCTAAGTAGTTGAGATCCAAATCTTTTCCCGTGGATATTTTGGTGATAACACGGTTGCTCAACTTGTATTGAAATCTGGCTTTCATTGCTTTATAGGTAGTGATGTGCACAACCTTTCACTTCTCCAGGTTAAAGCTCAAGCCATTTTCGGACGATCAGAATTCAGATTGCTGCATGTCGTTTCGGAGTGCTGTATAGTCTACCATTCTATAGTAAAACCAGTACCGCACTGGGACATATTCCGACATTGGGTTTTTTAGACTTTTGTTGTGGTTTATAGGGCTATCAGTACTACAAAAAATTAAGAGAATAGATAAACCAACACCTTTTCAGCCGGCAGATAATCCAGGTGTACGTTGCCCAGCGAGCACTTACTTCGGGTTCATTTTGTAAATTTTGAGAAAAGACCGAGATTTTTACTTCGGGCTGAACTGGGGAGACGCACAAAATCCCCTGAAAGTATCAAAAGTCCTGAAGTGCGCCCGGTTTCTCCGCGATGTCAAAAGTCCCAAAGTGCCCATAAAGACCCAAAATTCGGTAAGTTCGCTTGAAGTAGGATTGGGCTAAAACCCTAAGTTTACAAAGTGTACCTAAAGTAAATGCTGGTGTAGTGGGAACCTTTGATACAGCAATAAAGTATCTCAGGTTCACTTGGGATTTTATTTACATAAGTTCAGTCTTACCTAAAAACTTTTGTGTACATTTAGAAGGTTTCGAAAACTTCGGTTGATATTCTTTACATTTTGAAACGTTTCGGCAAAGGGTTTTTATTATTGCGATGATTATTTCATAGTTGCTTGAGCAAGGTTTAGACCCATGGCCCTATGATTTACGTGAAAAGTTTCCAGTAATTAGTGCAGTAATATTTTGTGGTAATGCACAAAGCTGACAAGGAGAGCTGTGATCTTTTTCTAATTTTATTTTTACTGAATGTCATTATCAAAAGCTAATGATAAGTGTTTTGGTAACCAGTATTAGCAACAAAACAGTGATGACCTCAAAGCTAACGACTTGCCCCATAACCTTGAACGATCAGTCATCAATGGACACTCACCAAATACATCACGGAGGTTAAACAGACGTGTCGAGTGAAATGTCGTGTTAGTAAATACTATTGATGCAAAAGAAAAATCATTTATACAGTATAAGGATGTTAATGGAAGGCGGAGGCAGTTGGGAAATATACTTTCGTCGAGGTGATCTGCACAGAGGAAAGAAACCGGTCAGTCAGTCCAAATCAACATTATTGCGTAATTGATCAAGTTACTACACATCGCACACCTAAAGACACCCCATCGGTAGCCGCTACATTGATGTGCTGGTTGAATTTGCCTAATGCAGTGACTCAATAATCTATGCTAGCCATGAAAATGTTCATGGAAGTTTTAAAAATCTACTGGACAGTGTTACGACTGGACGTCATGTAGCCAATGAGGTGAATCACAAAATTCACCTTACGAGTATTCCAAGACTCAAAGCCTAACTACTGTGAAGTCGCTGGTGTAGGCATATCGTTAAGTTGTACGGCTGAGAGCTCACTTCTCGACTGGATACTAGGCCATAGCCATGTGTGGGCTGTTCCACTCAGTAAATCTCTCACACCTGGGAAGCATCATAAGGTCAACGTATGCCTATTCCCTACCTATACGTATACAATCGGTTTGGATGATGCAAAAGATAAAAACCTGTCACTTCTGCGATACGAAGTAACATGTTCAGATATATTCAATAGCCGGTAACTTTAACGCTCAAGTCGGAAAGCTATCTAGGAGGCATTTACGGAATCCCTTGCCAACGAACCGATAATAGTGATCGTCTGTTGCAATTTCGCTCTAACAATCACTCGTTTCTGACCAGCGCTAACTTCAAGTATGAGGAGTGACAACGTCTCACATGGTGTCTGCAACAACAAATCAAACATAGACACAGATAGATTATATTGCTATAAGCCATCGTTGGATAAGATCGATGGAGGATTGCCGCTCTTTCTGAGTACCAGTTTGGACTCCAATTACACGCTATTACGGGCTCGTGTGTATCTGCATCTTACTAGTTGTAGAAAACAGGTGACAGTTAACCCGCACGTGGTTGATTCGAAGATGAGGACACCAGGTATGCATTTAAAGAGGGGATAGTTCAGCATTTATTTGAACGTGACAACAACGCCCATCCTAGGGAAACCTGACGTGATATTAAGTCTGCTGTAAAAACAGCTATAAAGGTAGTTGGTAATCTACATCCAAGGGTTAGCGAAGATCAGGGGATTTCTGCAGCTTCATCCGAACCGATTGATGCGAGAAGACTGATTCCAGTTGGCTCTGACCATGACGAAGAGCGCAGGCAACCCAAACGTAAGCTAACCAAGAGTCTTCGCGATGATCGCGAGCAGTGGTGGGTGGCAAAAGCGAGAGAGATGGAGAAGGCACCAGCGTTAGGTAACACCCGGCAACTACTTAGGCTTGTTAGGGATACCGGTGAATAGAAGACGATGGTTAGTGAGACCATTGCCGAAAAGGATGAGGGGCTGATAGCCTATCAGGATAGGCGCCTAGAACGTTGGGCAGAACATTTTGTGGCATAGTTCAACTGACCCCCAGCAACGCTTCAGTTGTCCAGCATCTAGCCTGAACATCAATCGGGTATAGATGTTGGTCTTCCAACTGTGGTCAAAGTTGAGATCGCTGTTCCAAAGCTGAGACGACGCAAAGCAGCAGGACCTGATAGTTTGCCACCCGGCGTTTTTAAGGAAAAAGCTAACCAATTGCTGATCAGAGTAACAGAAGTACTAGGTGGTTTATCTGAATCAGAGGCAGTGTCGTCAGACTGCTGTACTTTACTGATCATTCCAGTCTATAAAAAAGGCGAGTATAGCGAGCTGCCGTCCATTCTGTCCTGTTATATAGCTGTGAGAAGTGGTCGTCAAAAGTAGAAGGCGTGAAGCGGTTGCAGGGTTTCGATCACAGATATTGCAACACTTCTTGCGTTTGGTGAAACCATCGGGTGAACAATGTTGAGGTCAGGCGAGGAGTACTAGACAATATCGGCAAGTCAGTCGATGAGTTTGTGAACCTTCATTGACAGCTATATAACAGGACAGAATGGACGGCAGCTCGCTATACTCGCCTTTTTTATAGACTGGAATGATCAGTAAAGTACAGCAGTCTGACGACACTGCCTCTGATTCAGATAAACCACCTAGTACTTCTGTTACTCTGATCAGCAATTGGTTAGCTTTTTCCTTAAAAACGCCGGGTGGCAAACTATCAGGTCCTGCTGCTTTGCGTCGTCTCAGCTTTGGAACAGCGATCTCAACTTTGACCACAGTTGGAAGACCAACATCTATACCCGATTGATGTTCAGGCTAGATGCTGGACAACTGAAGCGTTGCTGGGGGTCAGTTGAACTATGCCACAAAATGTTCTGCCCAACGTTCTAGGCGCCTATCCTGATAGGCTATCAGCCCCTCATCCTTTTCGGCAATGGTCTCACTAACCATCGTCTTCTATTCACCGGTATCCCTAACAAGCCTAAGTAGTTGCCGGGTGTTACCTAACGCTGGTGCCTTCTCCATCTCTCTCGCTTTTGCCACCCACCACTGCTCGCGATCATCGCGAAGACTCTTGGTTAGCTTACGTTTGGGTTGCCTGCGCTCTTCGTCATGGTCAGAGCCAACTGGAATCAGTCTTCTCGCATCAATCGGTTCGGATGAAGCTGCAGAAATCCCCTGATCTTCGCTAACCCTTGGATGTAGATTACCAACTACCTTTATAGCTGTTTTTACAGCAGACTTAATATCACGTCAGGTTTCCCTAGGATGGGCGTTGTTGTCACGTTCAAATAAATGCTGAACTATCCCCTCTTTAAATGCATACCTGGTGTCCTCATCTTCGAATCAACCACGTGCGGGTTAACTGTCACCTGTTTTCTACAACTAGTAAGATGCAGATACACACGAGCCCGTAATAGCGTGTAATTGGAGTCCAAACTGGTACTCAGAAAGAGCGGCAATCCTCCATCGATCTTATCCAACGATGGCTTATAGCAATATAATCTATCTGTGTCTATGTTTGATTTGTTGTTGCAGACACCATGTGAGACGTTGTCACTCCTCATACTTGAAGTTAGCGCTGGTCAGAAACGAGTGATTGTTAGAGCGAAATTGCAACAGACGATCACTATTATCGGTTCGTTGGCAAGGGATTCCGTAAATGCCTCCTAGATAGCTTTCCGACTTGAGCGTTAAAGTCACGGGCTATTGTGAATATATCTGATTGCTTAGCTTTCTGTAAAAGTTCACAGCTTGTCTTTGAGTTGATGTTTCGCATCATCGGAACTGCAGCCTGTGGGTACGTAAGCGGTTACGAATGGACGTAGCTGAATTTCATGTTCCTTCGTAGACATTGGAGATCCACTCAGTCGAACAGCACACGGACGGCTGTCGGCTGGTATGCAGTTGTAGGGCACTTTCTGATCTACAACTAAGTGCTGTGGGTGCTGCAGCGAGTCCACGAGAGGTATGCGTTGAGTCTCCGGATACTCTTAGGGTGAATTTTGAATATTCATTACTATAGCCATGTGAGTTCAATTTGATAACCACATTCGGGCCCTGTATGTGTGTCTCAGAGACCCATCATGTATCCTTGGCTAGAGATTCCAGAGTTCTGAAAAGTGATGCTTGCTGTCCGTTTGTTCGTAGAGTTTGGACGTTGAAAGCTGCTACATGAAGTTGATACCGGGGTCTTGAGAGGCTAGAGATGAGGTTTCGATGGCTTCGATGGTTAGCAATGGTTGCGAAGTGAGAGGTTGGGTAAGGTGTAAGAGGCTTAATATTAATATCGAAAGGTGAAGGAGGAGGATTGGTTATGTTTGACTAGGTATTGGATATTACAGGAGGCGTGTAGGCGGTTGGTAATTTCCGACTGTCCACACCATGGATGTCTGTTTCTGCTTGAAGTACCTGAAAGAGAAAGAGGTTTGTGTGACTGCAGAGCCCAGGGGACATCTGCTTGAGAGCGGTCACACTACCTTTTGGTAGTTTTGAGATTTTTTTGCTTTTGAATCCAATTATGAATCCCTTTTGCAAGCATCGCCATGCCGCAAGAGGGCGGAATGTGTCATTTTCGTGGCAGAACTTTTCTAACCCTCTCTTCCCACATGTAAGGTAGCATCAGCGTGGCATTGCTGGTCATCTGAGAGAAACACCTTACTTCTATCACACCCCATCCAGCTAGCAGCAGTACGACTTCACCGTTAGACCCTTATTATAGTGTAGTAGTTTACCATCACAATGTTAACTGCTTTCCGTTTTACTACTATCCAAAAGAATTTTCTGGGATGGTAGGAACTCAAGGGAACGAGTGTCACACCAGCATATCTCGTCAGGTCATTGCGATATATGTCTACCGTAGTCACTTCGCTGCTTTAACTGCACACATAATAATCTTTATTTGATGAGTACAGATAACCAAATACATAATTGATTACTGAACAGAAACTTTTTTTCTACTGAACAATGTCTTTTTTGAATATTTAGTTGTTATTCTGATTCCTATGACGTATTTTATTTCACCATAAACCGAACTCAGATTCATTCTTCCTTTTTCGTAAGCTGCTTTTGACTGATATTTGTGAAGCTGATGATTATTTTGTACTAAATTCTATTCCCTCTGTTCTTACATATATTAATAAAATGGCATATTTCTAACTGCAATTTTAGCGTAGCCATACTTTGACCCTCTTTTCATATTTTCATTGAGTCACATAGAGTTTAATAAATCATTCACACAATTAGCTTTTAAAAAAACCGCTTATACTTTACTAATATTGCTGAAATTATTGTATCTAGTTTTTAGAACTCTTTATTTTGTATTATCAGTGACTTTTGCAGATAATAATGATATGAATATAATCTCTTCTTATCAAGATGTCAGAAGAAATCCAACAAACCGAAAATCAGTCTCTAAAAGAACTACTTTATGAGCGTTATAAAGACTACCTCAATCTTTCAGATGCTGATCGAAATCGTTATGCAAGTTTTTCAAAAGAACTAACCAATGGATTAAAAAGCGATGATCCAGGATGCGTAAAAAGAATAATTAGCAATCATATTCATTCTGACCCTGAAAGTTGATTCGTATGAAATTACTACCGTTTCCTTTGCCACCTAATGAAGAATTGATGGTACGTCGGGTAATGGATAGTTGTCCATTTAAAGCTGCGCTAAGCTGTTTTGGGGGTTTAATCAGTTTAATAACTAAATACTAATCAATGCATAATTGTATAGGTTTTGTTTTAGGAGGGATTTTCGGCTTATTTTCAGCTAGTGTAGATCCAATGAGTACAATACATGGTGCAGAAACTCCAACCACTCGTCAAGTTATGAAAGAAATGTACTCCCGTTCTCTATCTCATGCTAAAAGTTTTGCAGTAATTGGAACACTTTTCGCTGGAACTGAATGTGCACTTGAAAGTGTAAGATTTCTTACGATTTTATTACAGTCTATCTTTTATTTTTATTTAGTATCGTGGGAAAAGTGATCTTCTGAATAGTACGTTATCAGGTGCGATTGTTGGTGGTGGAATAGGATTCAGAGGTAATTAGTTTGTATACATGCTAATCGATACTAAATTTTACTAGCTGGTTTACAAGCCAGTATTTTGGGAGCTGCCGGTTTCTCGTTGTTCTCTACGGCTATCGACTACTACTTTAGACACAAAAGCTAATTTATTATCACATCATTCTTTGTACAGATGTATTCAGATGTTCACCTGATTATAATAAATTCTTACCTAGTTATTTACCTTCTATTGGTTCTACGTATTTCATATGCATAAAAAGGTGTTTATTTTCAGATGAGTCGCAGTCGTTCACCAGTGAGTTATAAAATTAAGTCAGCTGTTAGTTCATACTACAAACATGATAAAGTTCATTCAAGTCATCACAGAAGTTCCAGTACTGACAATAGTGACAATAAAAGGTCTACTGTCGATAGATTGTCTGCTCACAAACATACAAAAACTCAATCTCATGATTCTGATCGCTATTCTGTCAAACCAAATACCCATTCAACTTACAAGAAATCTCATCATTCCGATAAGAAGAAAAGGAAGAAATACAGGAGATCTTCCAGTTCCTCATCATCATCGTCAACTTCCTTATCTAGTGATAGGTCTGTTGAGAATACTACAAAGAAGCATACATCATCTGCTGCAGTACCTCAAAAGTTATTATCTCTATCAATAGAAGAGATACAGAAAATTAGTGAAGAAAGACGACAGAAAAAGGTAAGTTACTATTGTGCATTCATAGTAAATTTACTTTTTCTCTATCTATAGTAGTAGGTTAATTAGGAATCGTAGTTTGACAATTTTCATATCTCTTCATATTTAAATAATAGAGCTTGGTGTTTCTAAAGTAGTTAACAACTTACAGTAAAGTTATCATTTTGACTATCTGATGTAATCATCATATGACAGACTAGTATTGATACTGGTTGGTGATTGAAGGTGGAATCAAAATTTAAACCAGCTACCACTGAGTTTCCAGCTCGATGCTCCACGAACTGAGCCATGAGAGCTGACTGCTGAGCAGCTCCTGAATTTCACTTCAATCACCAAGGGTTTTGCCTGACTTCCATGTGAATTCCTAACCCGTTACTACCGTTTGATCGTACTCGCACTGGCTGCCCAGTAAGGACTTCTCATCCCAGTTGAAATCTCCTTAGATTAGAGAGGCGGAGGGTCACATTGAATATCGGTTTGACTATCTAAAATGGCAGCTGTGGTTCGACAGACTTGTACACTAATATGTGGTGCTCCTCCTCTCTAATGCAGGTAGGGTTAGAACGGGACGCGAATTCCTGACTGAGTGGTTAGTGTGAGTACCATTAAATGGTAGTAACGCGTCAGGAAGTCACATGGTAGTCGGGCAAAACCCTTGGTGATTGAAATAAAAATAAGGAGCTGGTCAACAGAATCGGCTCTCATAGGCTCAGTTCGTAGAACACTGGGCCAGAAACTCGGTAGTCGCTGGTTCAAATTTTCTTTTCATCTTCAATCATCATCCAGTATCAATAGAAAAGTTGTTTTCGGTAAAGTGTGTGAAATTAGCAGATAAGTTTCTTGCGAATGTTTTGAAGGTCGCAAAACTATGTACAGTATATGTTTAGTTCTGAATTAATGATTCTATTCACTGACTTAGTTTTCATATAACGGACGTAGTGAAACCGATAGGGATACCTGAACCCTAAGGAAAACTAACTAATTAACTAATGTGTATATATTATCACTGTAAAATCCAAACCTTAATTTCGCTCCATTTTTGCTCCATGCAATGTTACTTATTTTTACGGTGGTACTAAACGTTGATTGGTTCATTTTACACCTTTAATATGCTATTTTATTTCCCTGGCCAAGGTCATCTAGTAGTGTATATAAACGACTGGATTTTCAGCTATAAGGACCATTTGATTGAAGTAGATATACTTTCAGTTCCATTGTCTTCTTCTTCCGGTGCCAACTGAATATCGTATTGAGAAGTCACTCTATCAGTCCTCGAATTACTCAAATTTCTGGACGGTCATAAAGGCATCGAAAATCTGGATAGATAGTTAGATCCAGGAGATCAACTCACTTATTAACTTTAAAGTGAACAGATTTACACTAATGCTATGAAACAGACTTCTCTAGTAGTTCATTTAACAGTGAATATCCCTCCTTGACAATGCTGCATATCTTAACGCGAACAGTAGGGAAAACTCAGTGCCATTGGTCCGCCGTTTTTTTTTTCAAATGTCTATTCCTTTGCATCATAATATCTAATTCTGATGGCATAAATCTATATTGCTGTGAATGATAACACTTGAATAGATATTCACTTGGATTACATGATTATGTGAGAACTTACGGATTTCCAACGTCGTCAGTGTCGGTTGTTTTGGTCTCCGAAGCTATAAACATAAGAATTTATGGTGAAATAGACGTTTAATATAGCGTAAAAGGGCCTCGCGAAGACGAACGAAACAAGTCGACTTCTTGTAACGAAAATTTGGAATTTCGCGAGACCTTGGTGCCACTAATAGGGAAAAAAGAAAGTATGACTGAAAACGATCCAAACTTTAACACTCTGTATACGCTGAAGAGTGGTATTTTCGTGTTCATTTCATAACTTGTTTAATCTGATCTTTTTAATCTAATTTAATGGCCTTCATTCCGTACCATTCAGATCCCGTAAAATCTTGTACATTTTTCAACATATATCAATGTGATGATGCCTGTAAACTGGCTTCTCTCATGTTAAATTACTAATATGAGAATGAAATGTTTATTATTTTATTATTATTTATTATCGTTAATCATATCACGTCGAAGCATTATATCGTTATATATACCGCAGATCATAACAGAAATACTACGTCGAACTGTGCTTCACTGGCTAAGATGTTCAACTTTTGAACATTAAGTTATTCTTTCAAATTCTGTCCGACCTAACGATATGTGGGAAAACTAGATAACATGAGTGTAGCCATTAAACAGCGATCTTGGCGAAATTAAATACATCACGCTATGTAAAATACTTTTTTTTTTTAGAAACTTTCTTTAACCATAAGTGAAAGTATGCTTGGTCGATTTGATCGCCTGTAGTAACTGTACAGAAACAGCCAGTTACCCTTTGTGTAAATTCCTCAATATTATCACATCATTGTTTAAGAGGAAAGCGTTTATGTAATATTAAAACTTGACCGGTGTGGTAGGTAGTAGTAGTGGTCACATATTATATTTGTTTATAAGGTATAACACACAGTTATACAGTATTACAATCTCAGACATTTACAGACACAATCTGTTCTCCATAATCATTTCAAGATAGGCAGACAGACAAATCAAACTAGAACCTCATACGCAAGTACAAATTGTCACACTTCACAGTAGTATACAAAGAACAGCTGCATAGAATAAAAGTCATATCATAGTAGAAACAGTTATGCTACAGAACAAACAATTTGAAGATAACGGTTAATGCAAATATTCTAGCTTTAGAAGATATCACAGAGTGAATGTATCTGTACTACTGTGATCGATTTTCACCCATGTCACCAACAGTCATCAACCACTGGTTATTATTGCCTCAGGGACCTCAACCAGGTAGTCTACATCTCCCCACATGGCTCAGATGAACAGTCACGGACTTTATAGACTGATGCAACGTCTTGTTCTGGCCACCTTGAACCCTCTTCCAACTTAATTCAACCTCCTGTAGTATGGTACGTTGAAGTAGGCTGTGGATAATCATTTCAAAGTGGTCACACGAATTTGTACACACGGTTTTTACAGTTTTACTGTTTCTCGTTTTTCGGTTTCAGTCACAATCACGCTTTCTATATCTCAGAAATTGATATTAATTCATTCCTGTTGAATATAACAGATGCAATATTGTCAATAAAAGGTGCAAAGCTGCAGCTCATTGGTTAAGGGAGATTAATTTCAACTAAGTAGGTCACTGGTTCGGACACTGTTCCACCTGCCGAAGTTCAGGCAGCTAGGTAGTATCATTTTCGATTTGATTCTGTGATGATGCGGAGTTGTGAGACTGAACGACAATACTTAACAACTGATAGTCGAGGGTTGAGATAGTTCAACCTGAGTGATTAGCAAGGAGAAATCAAAAAAACTGGTAATCAGCTGAGTTTATAGTATCGGACTGAAAACGTTTATTAGTAAAAAGGCACACTATATATAGTAATTATAATGACCTTAGAAAACAAGGGATAATTAGTACATTAAAAGAAGCATGAGCCAATCAGAACATTATCGGATTATATGAAATGTAACGCATATGCGGTGAAAATAGCGCGTACAAATACAGTTCAAAAGTACAATTGGTAAGTATGGTATATTACGGATATAGGGATACCTAGTGGATTCAGTCAAAGATGCTCTTAAAAATCAGAATACACTCTGTACTTGACTTGATAGTCTTCCATATTTGTAATTGTTTACTTCTCTCTCCCTTTGTTGTAACATTTATGAAGGCTTTGGTGAAGATTTTAGAAACACCAGAAGAGAAACGCGCCAGACGATTAGCCAAAAAAGAAGCTAAAGAACGCTGGAGACGTGAACGAATGGGATGGGATAAAGAATATTTAGGTTATACAAATGAAGACAATCCATTTGGAGATCATCATCTCTCTGAATCATTTGTTTGGAAACGAAAGTTGGAACGACAAGGACTTGCTCATTTGTCTAAAGAAGAAGTACGTGTTAAACACTATAATTGGTAATAGTAATTTTTAAAAACCTACTTGTAAATAGATTCTTTAGTTGTATATATGATTAATCCAATATTAATTTATTTCATATTTTAAAGATTACAAATTCTAATAGTAAAAATAGTGTTTACTCAAGAGAACTTAAGGAACATTGCCTAGTCCCGTAGTTAAGCAGTTTGAAAATGATCTTAATACATTGAAACTTTTTGCCAACTGGTTATTCACCTTAAAAAATGATTCATCGAGAAAATTTACGCGGAACTCAATGTTCAGCAGTACTCAGCTTGAAGTAAAGTAATCTTTGAAGATGTTACCTTCCATAGGTTACAGGTGTTCGATTGTACTTGTATTGATTCATTGTACCAACACCAAATTGTATATTGCACATGCAAGCCAACTTTCTCTGTAGACTAACTGAAGGAAGATTAGTGTATAGGAAAGGTAATGGGTAATAGTTAAATGAGAACAATGATATCTATGTAGAGAAATATAACTTCATCTTACTTGCCATATTTATAGATCGAACTGGTTCAACAAGTGTACGAAGAGATACACCGCACAAAATATTATAGAAACGCCATGATTTAAAGATGGCAAGCAGTCTCGTAGCTACACTAAATAAAGCCGATTACTGTGCAACAACTATTTGGAAAATATAAACAAACTATAACGTTTCGATTCCTAGATATACTTAAATTTTGTGTGAAACCACCGAGTTGCATGATTTCTTTGCCTTTCTTCAGGGAATTGTGATGTATGCGTCAACTGGAACTGATATCATGTTTTGCAATGTCCTACGTTGTAGTATCTATCACTGTCGCCGTTCCTATTTGACTTTATCATAGGCGTACTTACTAATGAACATAACCTTGGGTACGTTTGACTTCATAGGGATTGATCTACTCTCTGGAGGTCATCTAGTTGACTTGGATTATGCAGATGATATTGTCCTGCTTAGTGAAGACGGTGCCAAAATGCGCAGGGTCTTCTGAACGCGTTGATCAGAAATGTATTTCGAGATAATAGAGAATATTTATAGCTCAGGAGGATAATTTTGATGGTGTTATGTTCTCTGAGCTGGATAATTTAATTGTGAAGCATTCATTATCATCCTAGACGACATCATCAGTAGAATTTCCTTTCTGAAGTTTGTACGTATATTTGGCATGTGTCTCACACCTGTTAAATGTGAGGTCATGCTCCAGAACTGGTCTGTAACTACTCCCAGTTTGACAATAAGGATTAAAGTGGTGGAATGTGTGAACCACTTCTCTTAGTTGGGGAGTTGCATCAGTTCAAACGGGCTAGTTGCTGACGCAATTTCAGCTTGGATATAGTAAGCCTGTTTGGCAATTACTAATTTACGTCATTTGTGTTGCCAACTGGTGAGATATCCGACCATCAAGGGACGGGTATACTGCGCTGCAGTTCGTTCTTTTCTGTTATATGGTTGGTTGTCAGACATGGTCTTTGAAAGTAGAAGACATGAAGCAGTTACTAGGTTTCGATCGTAGATGTCTTGATAAGGTTGCTCACGTTTGTTGGGATCACCGTGTGAGCAAGGTTGAGGGCAGACGAAGGGCACTAGGCAAGACAGGCAAGTCGATTGGTATTGTTGTGAACCTTAGTCAACTGAGATGGCTTTGAGATGTACTGCACAGGCCGAACTATTGCCTACCTCGATATAGGATGCTAGGGGAAGTTGGATTAGGCTGAAAGAGTGTTGATGGAGCACCTGTCCATGAAGACCTCTGACTGTTGGTCTGAGCCATGTGTAGAGATGTGGACTATCTGGTTTGGGTCCGCTAGGTGAAAACAGTCAGTAGTTGAAAGATTCTTGGTGACATGGGTAAAAATTGGTCACAAAAGCCCTAATGTTTTCACTTCTTGATATCATCTGAAGCTTGGATATTTACATAAACTTTTGTCTCCAAAGCGTTTATTTTCTCATTCACCTTTATCAACTTCGATATGACTCTTATTCTATGCAGCTGTTCTTTGTATACCTTTGTGAAGTGTGGCAACTTGAATGGATGTACTTGGGTATGAGGTTCTACGTTGATTTTTGTCTGTCTGTCTCTGTGTTTCTGTGTCTACAGTAAAGATGATCACTGTGCATAGCACAATATAATTTAAAGCTCTTTTCTGCTTTACGATAGCTCATTCAACTGTTAATGGTTTGCTCGAACCCTTTATATCTCATCAAATTGTTATTTTATCCTATTTTACATTTAGCTACAAGTTTTACAAAAAAAGAAAATGCAAGAAAATAAAATGGAATTAGAAGCTGTTCGACGTAGACGAATTGAAAGAGAACGTGAACGTGAACAACATGAAAAGGAGATGGAAATGATGCAACGAGACAAAGAAGCAGAATACTATCGATCATGGGAACAACAAGAAGATCATTTCCATTTAGAACAAGTAAGGAACAGTATAAGAATGTAATGAGTAATTGTTGCATTTGGCAAATTTATATTGTATTCCAGGCAAAACTATGTAACTCATCAATCTTACCATCAGAGTTCACCAGCTATGTGCATATAATATAGAGTGTTATCTGTGCTGTCCATAGGTTGAGCAAGAGTCAAGCTGATTATTGAACAGCTGGAGATTGAGTACTCAATTTTATGATGACGATTCGACTGCATGTCTAACGTCTATGCGAAATATTGAGGAACTGTTGCTCGATGACATTAGGATAACTGCGCTGCTGCTTCCACTTATTTTTTCGCCTTTTAAACTAGACCAACTTAACAGTGTTTACTAAGATGTTGGTAAGTAGGCCTCTGGAACTTAGCATTGAAATAGCGTGACAGAATCTGTACCTAATTTACTTCCGATGGAGATTACTAACAAAATCAGCCTACTGGGTCATCACTTCATGATAATGAAGATATTTGAAGTAGGAATATCTAGCTAGCAACAAGAGAGACTCTATTGAGTAAGTAACTACTCTCTCAGTAGTACGAATTTCTAATCTACCAATGACTACACTTTGTTTGATATTATTATTATTATTTGTCCCTTGGGTTCCTAATGGAACATAGGGCTTCAGTAGCACATCTCCATTCCACTCTGTTCTCTGAAATCGTTTCAACCTGGCTCCACGACTGCCCACAAGCTCTCATTTCTTCCTCACATCATCTCCATGTCACCCTCACCTCCGAAGCCCAACTCGTCGCTTCCCATCTGGGTTCCACTCCAGCAACTGGCCTGACGTGTGATGTCCCCAGTCGGCCTTCTCAGTGTATTCCCAATCCATCTCCTTTTCCTTCCAGTACATATTTGTTGAGCGATAGCATCTTGGTTGGTTCGTTGTTATCAGCCAGAGTTCCTTGTTGCTTATTCTTATTATTCTGGCCATCTGATCTTCTGTAACGAGCCAGTGTAGGCAGTTGTTGACGAATGTCTGTAGTTTGTTGGAAATCCCTTTCGTAACGCGCCAAGTCTCTGAACCATACAGGAGCACTGACTTGATTGAATTGGTGTTGAAAATCCGGATCCTGTTTTTTATGCTGAGTGCAGTAGGTCTCCACACTGATTTCAAGTTAGTGAAGGCCTGTCTTTCCGTCTTTCAGATCCTTGTTTTGACGTCCTCATCTGTGTCGCTTGTAGTTGAAACGATGCTGCCCAGGCAGGTAGGCGAAAGATGCTACTTTCTTTAGGTTTCTCCCGCTAATGGTGATTGGTGCTTGTTGTTGTTGGTTGGGTATCTTCATCACCTCTGTTTTCTCCACGTTCACCTGAAGTCCTGTCTTTGCTGCCCCTTTTGTCAACTTGTTGATTTTTGCCTGTAGATCTTAGAGTTTGTGCGACAAGACATTAGACATAAATCACGATCGGCGAAATACAAATCTTCTAGGGTCTTCTCATCGGTCCAGCCAGAGTATTCCCCTCTTCTCTCTCGTCACAATTTGTTGCATAATCCTGTCTACCACAATCAGGAAGACCATAGGTTATAGAAGGCAGCCTTTGTTTGATAGTATAGGATATATATATATATATATATATATATATATATATATATATATATATATATATATATATATATATATATATAGGATACATCCATCGTGGTAGCTAGCAGTGGGATCCAGGACACTCGTTTCATCCTCTTTAGGACTCGTCAGCTATGTGTACCTGCACCCCAGTGAGTGATGTTGTTCCCGCTATTGTGCTCCAATGGTTTAGTGGATAACACTTTAGTGTTTGAAACGTTGGGTACGAGGTTCGAGTTCCAATTGGGGACAACATCACTCACTGAGATGCAGGCACATCCATCTGATGAGTTCCAAAGAGGACGAAACGCGTGTCCTGGATTCCACTGCTACCGCGATGAATACATCATGGAATATCTGGCAGTATCAAGGATAGGAGCCCAGCTGCCAAAAGAGGTCGAGCAGTTCGACCTCGCATAGCAACGGGCAATTGCAAGTATCAAGCAACAAAGGACACATTTTTGTGTCTGATCCTAACAAAATGGTTGTTAAAAAAGGAGAAAAGACTCCATGTGCAATCAGACAAATTATGCAAATGTTCTTACTCTTTTTGGTTTATTGTTAGACATATTGTAAAACACCAGCTAGTGTGTGGTTACGATGAATGAGCACTGATGTATCACACATTCACACGACAGCCGGATAAAACCCGATGTGATTGAAGTTAGAACTTAATCAGCAGCTAAGTCTGTTAGTCAAGTTAGCAGAATGCCGGGCTAGTAACCTGGAAGCCATCAGTTTAAAGCCTAGTGAATCTCAGGCTTTCGTTGCACCTTCAGTCATCACTCAGTGTTTAAACTGGATCTGTGACTCACTGGTTTAGAGAGTTGACTTTTAACCAATGGGTTACGGTTTCGAGTCTCGCTCCACCTACCGAGATCTAAGCAGCCAGCTAGTATCACTAACTCTTATACAGTTGGTATGGCGTTTCGTTCGTTTCGTTCAGTATGGAAACAATATAAATCGGTATTCCTACTGTCTTATTAAAGCAGATATGAATGTAGTTGTCGAGTAAAAGTGAAGACGGTAAGTATCAATATAGAATCTTGATCATTGTTTGACAAGTATTGTACACTGACCTTATTACTTCAGTATATTCCAAACTAATGTATTTCTGTCTAGGCTAAATTGCGTTCACGTATTCGCATTGCTGATGGTCGAGCTAAACCAATCGATCTACTAGCAAAATATATTGTTGATCAAGAAGAAGATGCTATGGAATTCGATGTATCAGGTGCAGTTGAAATCTTGGAACCGACACAGTTTCTTGTTGGTTTAGGCATTGAAGATTTAGAAGATTTACTCGAAGATATCAAGGTAATTTTTGTCTGTTATTCTTCAATTTCTTGCCCGGCTTGTGTAGAACAATAGGAATAGGTTATCTATTATGCCTTGATCCATTATTGATTTCAACTGTTTAGGAAGGTGTAGACTGCCTTGCTGAATCCATCAAAATGATAAGAATCATTGTAAACATTTTCATAATCGTTCGTCTAGTTATTCTCTCCACTACCAAGCATTCACATATCTTAGTATGACCCTCATTTTTTATCCACCCATCTTCTATATAGTGTGGCAACTTAAACTGACTCATCTCTGTGCCAGGTTCTTCCCCGAGTTATCTGTCTGTCATATACTTAGTAGTTTACGGAGATGGTTACGAACCAACAGGTCGCGGATCCAAACCCTGCTCCACCTACCGAGGTTTGGGCAGGCAGGTATTATCATCAATAGCTTATTGCCTGCTACTGCGAGAATGTGCACGAAGTGGTTGGCAACGTTCCGTATATATCTGGTGTTCCATACTTTTTTTGGAGTAAATATTCGATTAATAATAGTCACGGGGCAGTAGTAATATAGTTGCATATTTTAGTGAGTGTCGTTTACATCGTGGATAGTTGTATCCATATTTTACTACAGTGACTACTTGCACCGGTGAGTATAACTAGCAAAAGAGGTTAATTATGCGAATCGTAAATGAAGTCTACTCAATAAGCAATTGGCCACACTTATTTCTTGGCAGCTGATGATATCTCTTCACTGCCGAAACCTCTTTGGGTGGAGCAGCGCTCGAACACCCTCCACCCGATGGTTGGAGTAGTTCAGTCACATTGCTACCCCATATTTGAACTAATTGTGGGTGTTGAATGTGCATATCTGTGAAAACATTCATTGGAACACTGATGTTTCAACAGGTCCATTGATGAAATCCTGAAGATTTTCCAGTGTCATAATCTGTCAAGACTATGTTATCTGCTTACTTTGAGTTAGCAAGTCACATGTAGAAGTTATCGTCTGCAATTGATCTTGAATAAAACTAGCGTGCATGTATATTATGGAAACATCATAAACAAGCCTACCTAGTGTAAATTTTAGGGGTTACTTATTACCTTTACTATTTTATGAAAGCGAAAAGTTGTTAAGTGCTTCTCTACTTTGACTAACTGCTTCGATTCCCATGAGAAGCCTTTGTTACCTTCTCAAAGGCTGCAATTGTAAAAGATTTGAAACAGATTTTTGGAAGTATATACGCTTGCATACATCTTATAAGATTGAAACCTCTCACAGATTCGTGAACTTGAGGATGCATGCAGAAGTTTAAAGTGTTTTTTTTTTGCGTCATAAGAAAATGAGTTTACCTAAACTTTACTGCGATTTCATTAACAACACCAGAGAAACCCGACACGTCGATATTAGGTATGATTTATGTCTTGGTTTTTGTGTTCCTAGACAGATAGAATAAGTCAATCGTAAATTAATACCTAGGTGGTAATTTGGCACTATTCCTTGTCATGGAATGTTGCAGCTGAATATTATAGCATATAATGATTGCTTATTAAACCTTGAATATGCGGACGATATCGTCTTACTGTGCGACTAAACGCAGGCTACTCAAACCTTACTCCATTTGTTGCGGATTAATATGGTATGTGCACCATCGAAGTGCGAAGTAATTTGGCAAGATTGGCAGCAGCCTGTGATTGGGCTCACTCTTGGTGGTAAGCCGTTGGAAGTAGTCGAAAAGTTTGTGTATCTGGGTGGTTGTGTGAGTGCCGATGCAGGTGTGAGCGGCGAAATTTCCAACCGCATATCGAAAGTCAGAGTGGAATACGTCAATCTGGACCACCTTTGATGTCGTCGCGATGTTAGTCTGACCGCAACAGATTGGGTTTATAACGCTTCGGTGTGAATAGTTCTGCTCTACGCTTGCGAAACTTGGCGTCTCAGAGCTGAGGATGTGCGATGACTGAGTTCGATCCTCGTTGTCTCCGTAGGAGATTGCTCGTATCTGGTGGCAACACCATATAAGTAATTCTGAGGTTGCGACAGTGTGTGTTCGAGCATGGTGGAGATCGCCATTCGGCAAGTGAAGTGATCTTGAAACACCGGCGCCGGTGGCTTGGATATGTGTTAGGCATGTCATCCTAATGGCTTCCACACCGTTCAATGTTTGCTAGACCTGGGATGGGATGGAAGAAGCGGTGGCGGGGGTGTGGGGTGGGTGGTCAGTGTATGACGTGGCGCTGTGGGATGAAGAATAGTTGTGTTGAGTTAGCATCTGTTGGTGCATGACGACTCCCTACGTGAATGGGGTCCGAGAGATCACACAACTCAGTGACTTGAGACGTTATCAGGTATGACTCAGAATCGGAGCGAGTGATGGTCATGCTGTAGCCAGTGCTGCTGAAAAGTTATGAATGTTTTGTTTTGAATGTATCTTACTGCACTGTCCCACTTATCATAGTACTCTTATTATATTTCCTTTTTACTTATCCACTTCCTTTTGCTTTATGTTTCCATAATGTTGTTATATTACTTTGTGTGGCGAATTTCCTGGTCCTTTTGCTGTGAAGCGTTTCTGCTCTAATAATAATGATATTATTAATAATAATGGTAATAGTGGCAGTAGTAATGGTAGTAATAACGATAAAAATAATGGTAATTATTACTAATGGTAATGGTGACGATAGTAGTAGCAGTAACAATAACAGGAATGATAATAATGGTAATGATAATGGTGGTACTGTTAATAAGGAACAATAGTAGTAAAAATAATAATGGTAATAATGATAAAAACAGTACTGTCATGTGTTATTGCTTGTATTACACCGTCGTTGATTGGACCGAATTGACCAGTCTCTATAGGCATATGGGCTCCTGCGTGGATGCCTCGATATTGCCTGTGTTTTAATTATATGTAATAATGACGGGTATTGGCTAACAGTGGAATCCAGGATTCGCGTTTCGTCCTATTTGGGACTCAGCTGGATGTACCTGCCTCCCAGTGAGTGATGTTGTTCCCACCGGGACTCGGACTCTAGAGTGATTGCTTCAAACGCTCTGGATTCCACTACTAGCCATTGCCTATCATTACTATACATAATTAAAACACAGGCAATATCGAGGCATCCACATAGGAGCCCATATGCCTATAAAGACCGATCAATTCGGTCCAATCAACGATGGTTTCATACAAGCAATAAGACTAAAACTATACCCATTGCACAAGAAGTGGCTATCATGGCTCGGTGATGTAGTGGATAACGCTTTGGCGTTTGAAGCGATTGCTCCCGAGTCCGAGTCCCGGTTGGAACAACATCACTCACTGGGAGGCAGGTACTTCCAGCTGACGAGTCCTAAATAGAACGAAATGCGCATTCTGGATTCCACTGCTAGCCACCACCCATCAGTATTGTCAAGGAAAAGAATTATGCTAATAATAGCAACAATAATGGCAGTAGTAATGGCAATCATAGTAATAACGGCAATGATAGTAATAGTGGTAATAATAATGATAAAAACAATCGTAGCGAAAATAATGATAATAATATAGACAGTAGTAATAATGGTATTAACAATGTTGGTAATAATAACAGTAATGATAGTAAGGATGATAATAGCAGAAAATTTAATCGTAAGAATAACAATAAACCCAGTACTAAAAATAACAGCAGCAATAGTTATAATAATAATAGTGGTAATACAAATAAAAACAACACTAATAAACAAAGGAGCTATGGCAGCGATAACGATGATAATAATAGTAATGGTAATAATAAAAAGATGATAATAGCAATAATTATAAAAGCGGTGTTGATAATAAGAAGGAAAATAACGGTAAAGAATAAAAAATAGTTATGATAACAATGGTAATAATAATAATAGTAATGGCCATAATATTAGAAATAATGGTAATACAAACGACAGTAATAATTATACTAATGATAACAATAACAGTAACAAGAATAAAAGTAAGGAAAAAATGATAGAAATTATGATAATACTGGTTACAATAGTGGTAAGTAATAGTAGTAATAGTAGTAGTGATGACAACAGTAATGATAAATTATTGATAACAACAGTAGAAGTAATAATGAACGTAGTAGTGTCAATAATAATGGCGGTAATCATAATAAGAATAAAGATGGGAATGAAAATAATGATAATGACAGTAATAGGAGTGATCAAAGTAAGCAAAAAAAGTAATAATGGTATAAACAATAGTAATGATGGCATAAATAGGAATAGAAAGATAATCACACTAGTAGTAGTAGTAACAATAATAATAATAATAATAATAATAGTAATAATAGTGGCGGTAATGATAATAAAATTGATAACAATAATAACACTGATAGAAAGAATTATAAAAAGATAGTAATAAGAATAAGAAGAAAATAACAGTATTGATAGTGATATTAAAGGAATAATAGCAATAATAAAGGGGATAAAAATAAAAATAATAATAAAGGTAAAAAATAACAGTAATAATAGTGAAAACAATAATAATGGCGGTAACGGTGATAGCAATAATAACATTCGCGATGATAAGAGTGAGAATAAAAATAATGATAGTAATAGTAACAATTGTGTTAATAATAATAGCAATAACAGCCGTAATAGTGGTAGTGGTAATAATAAAAATGGTGACAATAATAATATTAATGTTAATGATAATAATGATATTGGTAAGAATAATAATGATAACAATAATATCACTGGTAATAATAAAAATATTCATTGTGCTAATAACGACGATAAAAGTGAGAATAGTAACTAAAGTAATGACAATAGTAATAATAATGTTGGTAGTGTTAATAATGAAAGTAATAACAAGGATAAGAATAAAGATAGTAATAATGGTAGTGGTGATGATCGTAATAATAGTAGTCATAATAAAAGTAAGGATGATAGTAGTGATAATAATGAGAATGATGATAGTGAGAAAAGTAATAATTCCAGTAGTAATAATAACAACGGTAAAAATAAAGATAATACTACTAATAATGATAATTAATGATAATGGTAGTGATAATCATAATATACAGTAACTGCTTAGTGTACATAGATGTTGGAGCAAGAATTCGTTAGTTAATTCCTTAGAGATACGATTTCCCAAAGTTCTCATGAGATGTCATGACCAGTGGGGCAAACCAAATCAGGCTGAATGGTTAACGTGTTCTCACTATGAAACCTAGAAGTAGTGGGTTCGATCCCTGGCAGGAGGGTCATGGGTGCGCATTGCTGAGAAGTCCTTGACTAGAACGAAACAGCTCTCCAGTGCTCTTAGGTTTCCTATGGTCATCCAACTGATTTCGGTTTGTGATGAATAGCAACTTGAAATCAATAGATACCCACAAGTACTTAAATTAATCCATCAATTTAGAGTGAATGATCATACTCTTATGTTGAGTTTACATTTTTGAAAAGCAGCAGACGGTCGGCAACTTCGATTGCCAGTGCCTTAGCTGAGTCAAACTGTTATATTCTTTACGGTAGTCCTAAGATCCTTCTAATTAAGCGTTGTTTGCGGTTTTGTTGACATGAGAAGTCATGTAGCTGTCTGCGTAGTAGTTGTTTTACGATGTCCTAGAGGAATTCATCTGTTATTGACTGTATATGGTGTTCGATGCTTTCAAACTGTATGTGCTGATAAAAATGACATCTTCTTGGACTGTTTTATCAGTTTCAGTCACTAAAAAGGTGAAGTAAAATTAACTAAATCAAACACTTTATGTGTTTGAAAATTCTTTTCCCATGAAGTTTGAAACAAAAGCGAGAGAGTGCTCCGGCAACAACAACAACAATGTTTTATCCAAGGCAAACCAAAAGGAAATATAAAAGACGTGCGTATCCCATAATAAGGTGAAGACATTAGATCAACAATTGTTCAGCGTAAAATAGAACATCAGGGAACAATAAAAGGAGTCCCAACAATTTCATGAACCGCAAAGGCTACTAATATCTAGGGATGTTAAATAATGAAAAAGTTCCCATTGAACAGAATCAACAATCAAGTTGCGGATGTAGTAACGTTATACGAACACGCGAGTTGTACTACTTTAGTAATACTAAGTAGTATAAAACTGAAAGCAGAAAGAGTGCAGTGATAAAGAAATTAACAAGACTATCAGTAGTTTTGTTGATCCCAGGTTTCTGTGTGGCTAGATTTGGTTAACTGACAGTGACTATGAGTTGTTTATTGATTGTTTAGTTTTACTGACTTTTAATGCATTTGGTAGAGAGTTGAAGAGAGTTTCTAAAGCGATGGTGTATTTTGATATGCTTATCGATTTTAACATGGCTTACTATTTTTTTAACACCGACCATCTCCTTTCTCCCTGCTTGTCTGGTTATAGGTGGTGTACATGGAATTGGAAAAAGGTCGTAATGCAGAATACTGGCGTGATATTACAACAGTTGTTGAAGATGAATTGAATAAATTACGTCGATTAGAAGAAAACACTGGTGTTGCTGGTGCATGTGGTGCCGATACTAGAGGTCGTAGCTCGGCTAAAATCAGTCAGTCTGTAATGAAAAGTGTGGCTGAAACACTTAAGGATAAAACATATAGTCAGTTAGCTGCATTAGAGAAACAAGTGAGTCTAATATTTTCTCTTTGATGAAAGCGTTTTCTTCTCAACCAACATGGAACACATTTCTCTTCTTGAAGGTCTAGGGAAAAGCCGTAATGCATGAGGTTAAGCAAGTAGTTGCATGAGAACCAATACCGTCGATTGCACTGAGTGATGGTTGTGATCCATCAGGAATCGAAAGAAGGTGATTAGTGCAAGTTGTTGGATTCAACACTATAGCTAAGTGGTAACTTGCTCATCGCGAGATCTGGCGGTTCTAGGATCTATTCCATATGTGGTCGTGGTATGCACTGCTGGGGAGTCTCAAGCTAGGACTATAAAACTGTTCCTTGCTCCCAGGTTCCCATTAGTTCTTCGACTGATTTCGATCTGTGATGGACACTTTTTAGAAGTTCTACTGTTTATTGACTAAATTCATTCCTTTACAATCTTGGTTGTTGACATGTGTAAGACCCTCATCGTCATAAATCACTGCAGGAAGCTTTATGCGTCTATTGTCTGATAGAAGCATGATAACATGAGTGTACTTTGAGAAGGGATCATCTACGCATAATTTTCATCACTTAGGTACCATTTGAGTCGTAATTTAATCCCTTAAAAAATGGAGGTAGGCGTTTATCCATTACCATATCGATAGCAAAGTTTAAGGAAAAAAAAATGATAATGGAGATCGCTGGTTATAGTCTCCTGAGTTAACAACTCTCGGTAAGCTCCCGTCAGTTTAACCAAACAACCTTGACCAGCATAATACATTTGCTAGGTCAGACACTCCACCAACACTTCTCATTAGGCAGAATTGAATGTCAAGAAATATGGCAGGTCCATGTCATCGGTAAGGGTCTCTGTTCTAAGACCTCATAAATAGCGAAAACACGTAATCAGCGCACCTTTATTTGCATCTGAAACCTACTTGGCCTTCTCGAGTTGATCGCTCTCGAGCTTCACTTAGATGTTAGACGATTAGGCTTCTGAATACTATGTTCAAACTAATTTTCCTGTGGTTACCAGTAGATTTCTCTCATTTGTTAACAACTAGGCGGATAAATGATCTTGACTAGTTTTAAAACAATACAATAGTGACTCAGCTACTTTAATAAGCAGTTTTTTAACTCATTCCTAGAATACTTCTTATAGGAAACCGTCAGATGCTACTTATTTGGATTACTTTGGGTCTGAAACAGCTCTCCCAACGTTGATGAGACGTAGAGTATCGGCATATATAACGCATATTAGGCAACCCAAGCATGGAGGTAAATCCGCTAAACTGTTACCTTTGGTATTCCGTCTGACGTTCCAGTCACTAATCGAGTTTTGAATTTACCCGCTAGTATGACTGTATCTAAGCTTAGCGAAATTGACAGCATATCACAAAATTCATCCTTTGAATCATCTGAACTGCAGTATATGGGTGCGTAAATGGGAAATACCAATAGCAATAGATAATCCTCTCAACTTATTACAGAGATCCAATTAACCGGAAATCACACTGACAGTTATCGAATGTTATCCAGTCGAGAAAAGCTTTTCCTGCTTTGGAACTTGACGCTGATGCTGACGAAATCTAAGCTCGGATACAGAAGGCCCGTTCAGCATTTGCCAACTTACGTCATCTATGGAACGATATATCCAGTTATCAGTCATAGAACGAGTATACCACGCTGCAGTTCGTTCTGTCCTGTTATGCGGCTGAGACATCCATTAAAAGTAGAAAACATGAAGTGGTTACAGGGTTTTAACCATGGGTCTTTCTAACCTTCCTCACGTTTGTTGGGATCACTGTGTGAATTGTTGAACTCAGCCGAAGGGTACTAAGTACGACAAGCAAGTCGATTGAGGAAGTTGTGAACCTTCAGCGGCTGAGATGGCTCGGAAAATGTGTTGCTCATGCTGATCCACCGCCTACTTCTACGTGCCATATTGGAAGAAGTTGTGTTTGGTTGCAAGAGGGTTCAGGCTGGCGAGACCAAGACGTGGCATTGGTATATGAAGACCTTGACTGTTAGTCTGAGTTGTGTGGGTACATGTAGACTGCCTGGTTGAGGAAGGGAAGAGGGGTGAATTTACCCGAGACGAGAGGAACCAGTGGCTGAGAATCGGCCACAATGGCGCAGATATATTCAGTCTTTGATACCTTTTAAAGGTTGAATATTTACACTAACGTTTATCGCCAAATTGTTTGTTCCGTCATACAACTTTGTCTACTTTGATATCAGTCTTTTTCAATTCGCTTTTTCTTTGTATGCTACTATAAAGTGTAGCAGCTTGAGCCAAAGCATTTGTGTGCGACGTTCTACGTTGATTTTGTCTATCTGTTAGCCAACTCAAGCGTACAGGTAGATCCGCTGAACTGTTCTCTGGAGCGTTCTTTCCAACTTTCCAATCACTAATTAAGTGTTGAATTTTACAGCTAATATTCCTATGTCTTGGCATAACGAAATTGACAGCTTTACACAAAACTCATCTTTTGGATCGTCTGAACTACAGTATATGGAAACTACAAGTAGGCATATGTACTTCTTTCAGATTTCCAGAGATCTAATTATCCAGATATTACACTGACGGGTATACCACCCAGTTCATGAGAAACAGCAGTTATTTCTCTAGGGGCTTATGGAATGAATATCGCAGATTCACCACGTTGACTATGGCAGATCGTCTGAATGATGAAACTTCAGTCCTTTATTTATATATCAGAGTCACAGCATTTCTTGTTCGAGAATTCTGAGTCTCGACAAATAAGGTCTGTTGTCCAATTCAGTAATGGGTTCGAACGTTGAGAATCTCAATGTGAAATTGACAGCGTCCCTTAGAAAATAAATCAATAAAAACAGTATTTTGCTAGTTTGGATAGTAAACAATAATTTCAGCGTAACAGCCTGAGGAAACTATTGGAAAAACCTTTGGAAACGGGAACAGGCATTGATGTTAAGATCAAGGCGATTAATTTATGGCTGGATGAATTTTTGCACTCGTTGAAATTGCACAAGTTGTCGACAATATCAGGCTACTGACACTAAGGTAGTTCATGTCTTCATGCATTACCTGAAAGAGAAAGTGGGATTCGTTTTGCGTAACACTGAACCCAAAGAACATCTTTTCGAAACCTATGAAAACTGTTAGTAATGCAAGCGCTTAACTTCATTCAACGACTTTCTACCGTTGTTTTTGTAATTCAAGCCATCGGTAATGAAATGACCGTTTTTTTTAAATCAAACTTTAAACCGAAATCTGTGTGCCTTAGTCGGAATTGTTTATGACTACTTCAATTCCGATGTTAATAAACTCTTTCGTCTTCAAATCTATCAAATGCTAGGTAGTTCTGAGCTTTACATATCTTAGTTTTCATCCTGTTATCATTATTATCACTACTGTTATCATTATTAATACTAGTAGTAGTAGTGTTATGATTATAATTATAATATATACATGTAGTATTTCAGTTGTTACTAATTTGTGTTCTGTTTTACTCCTTATATATATTAGTACGAATGAAACAGGTCCGTTACACATGATGTTTTTTTTATTATTTTCAGATTGCTCCAAAACTTCGTGGCGGCGAGGGTGTAGATGTAACTTACTGGGAAACACTCGCTCAGTTTGTTCGTGCACAATGGCTCGTACACGCCTACGTAACATGCATCAAGAAAATCTTAGACGTAAACTGGAATGTTTACGTCAGGCTCAAGGTATTGTGTCTGAACCATTATTTCCGAGTGCTGTGCAGTCTAATGACTCCAAACCAGAGGCCGTACCTACAACATCTCAGGAGGAGGAAGAGGAAGAGGAGGTGGATCCCGACAACCAAATGGCCCCACCTTCCTTACCACCTATTGTATTGAACAGTGAGGTAAGATGAATTGAATAATGCTACTAATTTTCTCTTTGTTACAATGGGTATATATGTTAGGTGGTTGAGGGCAATCTGCAGGAACTAAAAGATATGAAGCGATTACAAGTTTTTGATCACAGATGTCTTCATAACCTTACTCCTGGACGGTGGAATCACTATGTGAACAATGTTGAGGTCAGACTAAGGGTGTTATGCAATACAGACAAGTCAACTAATGAGGTTATGAACTTTCATCGACTGGGATGGCTTCGGCATATACTGCGCATGCCTAGCCACCACCTTCCTCGATGTGCCATACTTGGGGAAGTTGGGTTAAATTGTAAGAGGGTTCAGGGTGATCAGACCAAGAAGTTGTACTAGCCGATGATGTTCTTGAGTGTTGGTCTGAGTCGTGTGAGATGTAGGCTGCCTGGCTGGGGTCTCTGGAATGAAAGGAATCAGTGGTTGGGGAGTCTTGGTGACATAGCTGAAAGCCGGTCACATTGGCGCAGACGCATTCACTTATTAATATCTTCTAAAGCTTGAGTATTCTCAGTAACCTTCATCTTCAGATTGTTTATTCTCTTACACAACTTTGTTTACTTCAATATCACTCCTTTACTATCCTTGTGGTCTTTTTGTACTACTGTGAAGTGTGGCAACTTGAGCCGATGCAGTTGTGTGAGGCTCTACTTTAATTTTGTCAATTACCAGGAAGCCCTGGACCTAGGTTTCGTGCTTATTGGCACTCGTTAGCAAAGTGTGTCTGCAACCTCAAGGGGACTGATTATCCCTTGAAAGGTTCGAAATCACATCACTCAATGCTGTAGTCATATACATTACCACTGAGCTATTCTTGCCGCGACTGACTTCCTGTAGAACTGGATCAATTTCATCAATTGTCCGCTGAAGAGAAACCAATTCCATGTTTTCTAGTCCTAAAAGAAGCTATGCGACAGACCAGTCGTTATGAAATTAAAGCCCATAGCTAAGAACGTCGGGCATACTTTGGTGGCTGCTTAGTATTTTTAACCAGACAGTTCCGGTGAAGGTAAAAACGTTAAGTGCAGTAGCACTTTTGAATCATTCAAATGGTTATAATTCCTTCGACAATGACTTCAGATGACGTTTGAAGGTTATTGACCTTGTCGACGTTGAAATGCAGTTTAAACTGAACTTCATCATTGGCTGTTCACCTTTGAAAGTACCTGAGACAGACCTTAAGTATATCAAAGTAGAAAACTATGAGAAACCTACCTTCAATCTTTCCTAAAGATTTTGATTCACTTCTAGTCTTTGAATTGATTGTGAAGTATTGAACGTGTGGGACTCCATGAAAGTGGTGTCACTTGTCTTCAGTTCCACTGTATATTAAAGAAGAAGACGTTTTTGACAAACATAGGACTGTTTACAGCTTTGATACATATTCTGTTATTATTCCATTGGTGATAACCACATAGAAATCAACAGCTGAATTGTTATTGACAAGTTCTGCTGAATGTCTGTCGACCTGAACCTTCTAAAATATAGGAAACAAAATGTGGTTCTTGCCTATCTTGTTATTTTTTCCTGTCTCAGGAAAACACCTTATTACCTGCTTGTTATTTAGTGTGTAAAGGCTTCAGCTGTTTGACCATCACTACCTTCTCAGCCCTAGGCCGTATATCGTTCTGTCACCATGTGAGTAAAACAGTAGTCAAGTGTAGAGTTTTAAGGAGGAGAGAAAAGTCAGTGAATCATCGTCGACTGAAGTGGCTGGGGCATGTATAACAGATGCCTAGTCATCACCTACCTCATTGCTCAATATTAGATAAAGCAGGTTCAGGCTGGAAAACGGCTTGGGTGGGGGATCTCTGTGACTATAGAGACTAATGGTTGCAAAATCTAGGTGATACAGCCCAGAATCGATGTCATTGGCGCAGATGTATCCACACTTTATCTTTATCTTAACGGTTATACTGAATTCATTATTTTCCCATTCCTTCTCCCTTTCTTTTATTCCTTCGTTTGTTTTATAATGTAGGATTTCTTTCTGTCTCACTATTATGAAATTCATGAATGAAGTTGATTTAAGGTGTAGTACTTGCCACCAATAAAGCTAAACACACTGGTCTAAGCTGTATGTGGAAATGGTTAACTTGCTGGCTACTGGTCTTCGATATAGCGAAAGTCGTTATTTGGAGACGTGAATTAATACTGCTCAGAATTTTAGCATTCTCATGATTAATTTATCTTCTTATCTAAATCTTTTCTCAAAGTATGTATAGATTTGTGAACATCATATAGAGTAGAATGTGTCAATCAACCTCACTTACTTGTGGAGTTGCATCAGCCCGAATAGGCTGGTTGCTGACGAAATCTCAGCTGGGATACAGAAAGCCTGTTTAGCACTTGCCAACTTGCGTCATCTGTGGCACCGACTGACGAGTATATCACGCCGTAGTCCATTTTCTGTCCTGTCATATGGCTATAAAACATGACCGCTGAAAGTAGAGGGAGACGTGAAGTGGTTACAGTGTTTTGATCATAAATGTCGTGATAGCATTGTTCCCGTTTAGTGGAGTTACCGTGTGAGCAGTGTTGGGGCTAGATAAAGAGTACTGAAAAAGACAGCCAAGTCGATTGATGAGGTTGTGAATATGTGTTGCACATGCCGAGCCATCGCCTACCTCGACGTGCATGCTAGCAGGGGGGAAGTTGGATTAGTTTGGAAGACGGTTCAGTGTAGCCAGATCAGAAAGTGGCATCAGTCCATGTATAAGCTGACTGTTGGCCTAAGCCGTGTGGTTAGATGTTGACTCCCTGGCTAGCGTCTATGAGTCGAAAGGAATCAGTAGTTGAGGACTTTTGGTGACATGGTTAGAAATCGGTCACAATGATGTAGATTTATTCACTGCTTGATATCTTCTAAAGCTTGAATATTTACACTAACCGTTATCCTCAGACTGCTTATTCCGTTACACAACCTTATGAACTGTTCTTTTATACTTTTTTGAAGTTTGGCTTTGGTGTGTATGTGTGTGTGAGTAATATTACTTTTCGCGTCAAAAGCTAATGCATGTCATTGTTAGAATTCAATACAATCTGAAAGCTAATTGTTGGAACACACTCTGAGAGTTATAGTTTCAACACAGTAACATCTTTCTTAGCCAGTTATCAAGAAATTATCGCAACAGAAACCAAAGCAGGCTTCATAGTGACAGGCAGGAACGCCAAGTTTTTACAAAAAGCCATCCTAATGGACCATTATGAATGCAAAATTTTGTTTATTCTCCTAAGGTTTGATGGAGATTTTCAAATGTTCACTAGCGCTGATCCTCTTTGTAATAGTTCTAGGTCAGATTTTTGATAAACTGCTTTTTTCCTCTTCAATAGAATCGCTTCCACACAACAGAATTCTTAAGAAACAGAGGTATGTAGAAGCTGTGGATTTTCAACTTGTAGCAACATATACTCAGCTATTTCATAATCTCAAAATGATCTAAATTGTGATCACAACTGCTCACTGTTTGTGTATATATATGTGCATGTGTGTGTGTGTGTGCTTGTTTCAATGAGTGTTTTTTGGAATGAAGTGCACTATGTTTCTGGTAGGATGTCAATAAACGGCAAATTTCATAACTTTTTTTTACAATGACTGGATGTTGTTTGTACTTTAGTAAATTGTCCTATCAACTGTGCGTATTATCACTGAGATAATAAAGCCATCTCATTCATGAGTCCTTCAGCTAGTTATTGTATACTAAGCGAACCAGACAGTATATATACTATCCATTAAGACCTAGTTAAACATGTTGAAAGGATTTCTTGACACCTTTGAATTGATGTCATATTTTTAATGATGAATTTTTCAGTTAAAGTTTTGGTAGAATTTTTTGATTTTACATTTCTGTTTCTTTCATATACTTTTCGTAAACAGGGTAATCCAATCTCTAATAGTGCTATTGAAGATACACATAGCGCTGAAGCTGTAAGAGCTGCTAGAGTAGCTGAACTACACGCTGCCGCTTTGGCTGAAGAAGAAGTATATGATGCATCTCTTTATTCACCACCTCGAATTGATCCAAATGATATGGAACTGGATGCTGTCATTTATAATCCAGAAGATGATGAAGCTAAAATTGACTATCAGGTTAGTACATACTCTTCTATTTAGTTGTATTTTGTTTGAAATTATTGACATTACATGATGTAAACATTACATCTATTTCATGTGATCATCAGGGAATCACTCATATGGTGATACAAATATACACCTTGAATTGGGAGTATTCTGATAGTTTCATTGGCTTCTGAATTCCGATTCTCTTGAACCCAGATTTCGACACCAGTTTGGGTATCATATAATCTCCCCCACTGTTTTTGGTTGATTTATTTTATGCCTAGGTTCTCCGACCTTCGATCATTATTCTTCTTGTGTTGGGTCCTAAGTCTGAACCCCACGCCATCTACCGAGACCAGATAGTATCATTAGCCATGAAACAATATGTGTGACCTATTAACCTATTGCAAAAACGTGCATATGGTTGGTGAGTGCACTTCAACTCTGTGTAGATCAAGTTAAAGTGCGTCGTACACTTTATTAGTATAGACGAAAATTTACCTTCCTAATTTAGTTCATCCCGATTCCTGCTAAATCTTATGTTTGTTCATACAATACGCATTGTATTCTGCATAAAGCAATCCAGCTCTGATGTATATTAAGTGTTTGGCATAGCCTGTTTCACAGAATGAAAGTGAAAGGAAACTGACAAACCAACCATCCATCCATCTAAATCAACACAAGATCAGGCATTACTGTGTAACGGGTCCGATTTGCTATAGCTCATATCAATACATCAAGTAAAAAGACAGTGAGGTGCAATATGAATATAAGAGAATTCAGTCAAAAGAAATATAAAGTACACAGAGAGAGAAAGGAAGAATGAGGAAATGGTGAGATTCGGTATAGCGTCATTAAGATGAGGATAATGTGTGTCGGGATACATCTGCACCACTGACATCAGTTCTCAGGCATATCGCCTAGAGTCTCCAACCACTGGACCCCACCAGCTAGTTTGCATTGCCACATATGGCTCAAACCAACAGTCAGAGACTTCATACATTGGTTTCATGTTTTAGTCTGGCCACCTCAAGCCTTTTCTAGCCTGAACCTATTGTTAGGGCCAAGATAGAGAAAGTGGCTTCACGAAACATTTTTGAACGCAAAGTTCCAGTTTTTTGTTCATGTGTAGCTAATGCTTCAGTTATGCATAAGTGATGAAAACGTAGATCTTTGAAGTAGTTCAATTGAACTTTGTAAATTACTTCAAAGGATGAGTCTTGAAGAGCTGATTGTGACCTAACTCCGCTTGTCTTTGGTAAGTCAACATGTTTGTAAAAGACCAGCTTACAATATCCAATGTAATCAGCTTCACAAGAGCATGTGAATTTCTAGACGTGGATATAAATGGTGGCCTAACCTTCACAGATTGTCAAATCAGACGGCGGTTCGAGAGTATCAATCTCAGTCTAGCAGAATACAATGTACTATTCGTATACTTCGACAGACAGCTTTTTAACACTTCAACTTTCGTTTCCCCTTTGAAATCCAAATTCATGATTAACATTATATTTAGAATTATGATAGAGTGATTTATTTCTAGATGTTATTTGGTTGGGGGGCAATCGGCAGGAAGCCCTGGACCTAGGTTTCGTACTTTTTGGCACTCGTCAACAAGGCGTATCTGCAACCTCGACGGAGCTGATGTCCTGCCTGAGACTCGAACCCACGTCACTCAGTGTTGTAGTCAGCTACTTCACAACTAAGCTGTTCGGACCGCAATTGCAGATACGCCTTGCTGACGGTGCTGACGACTTCCTGCTCATTGCCTCAAATCAACTAACATCTACTAATGTGCACCGCGATGCTGAGTTTCCTAGCCTGGTTGCCACATTGCAAATATGATCGGTTGAATTCGGTATGCACTCAGGACTAGACAACATGAAATTGGTTGCACTCCCGTGACCAATCAATACATGATTCATTTCTTGAAGTTTTTATTAATAAATTTGTTTTAAACTCTCAGGGACAAATGGAATTGACACTTTCGTTCTCAATGTAGTTTTGTCGGGTTGTGGCTCATTCATCTGGACACTTGACTTTCAGCGTATCAGTCATAGGTTTTAAACTTGCTTCACCTAATGAGGTCTAAACAACCAGAAACCCCTGCAAACGTGTATCCAGTTAGTGCATTCAACTCAGTTTTATTTTCCTTCAACGTAAAGTAATATATTCTAGTAACGTATGAAATGTTTGGAATGCTCTAGAGACCAATAATAATTTTTCATATGATCTCGTGAATTCCAGAAATTTCTGTCATTCATAGTTGACTCCGTCACCAGTCCAATAATATATTGTCTAATTGCTGTTTCATCGTAACACAATGTCTTTTAAAATAAAATATGAAGAATCATTTCTTCGCGTTGGATATTTTAGAGCAGGAATAAGATATTCTTTTGTAGATTTCACAGAAGTGAACGCTTTCCCCTTACTATTTATTGATGAGTTATGTTACACTTGAGCACTGGAACTCTTTGAAAGCTATGTGGAAAGAAACCTGCATAATCGTATTAGGAAGGAAGAAGAAAGAAGATAAGGAACGGATGTCGACGGACACATGGAAGCTGATAGAGCAGGGAGAGGAGGATGGTGAAGCAGAAGAGGAACCAGTGCAAGGATGCACAACGACAAGAGAAACTGAGTACAATATATAAAACACTGGACAAAGAAGTGAAGAAGAGTACGCGCAAAGACAAAAGACACTTCTACGAAACACTGGCAAGTAAGGCAGAGTAGGCTGCAGGTAGGAGAGACAGAGACGTGACAACATTGTATAGAATAACCAGGTTACTATCTGGGAAGAGACCAACACAGTGCAGATGAAACCAATAAAAGATGATGAAGGAAATCTAATTATCAAAGAAGAGAAACAAAGGAAACGATGGGCTGACCACCTCAAAAAGCACTTGAATCGACCACCACCACCAACTGCACTTCATCCAGAAATACCACCTGCAGCCACAAAACTAAAAGTCAACACAAATCCTCCAACAAAAGTGGAAGTCCTGAGCGCCATAAAGCTACTGAAATGCCGGAAAGCAGCAGGACCAGATGGAATTCAGCCAAAAGCACTGAGAGCAGAGGCAGAGACAACAGCAGATATGCTCACACCACTACTGCAGAAGGTCTGGAAGGAAGTAAAGGTACCTGGCGATTAGAAGATGGGTTACTTTGTCAAACTCCCGAACAAGGAAGACCTCAGTGTTTGCAAGGACTGGCGCGAAATCGCGCTCCTGTCCACGCCAAGCAAAATATTAAGCCGCATCCTCCTGGAGAGACTGAAGAATGCGCTGGATTCAAACTACAACCGGAACCGGCAGGCTTCAGGAAGTACAAATCATGTGCAGACCAAATTGCAACGCTTCGCATCATCACAGAACTGAGTATAGAATGGCAGTCAACTCTCTACCTCAACTTCATCGACTTTGAGAAGGCCTTTGACAGCATCGACCGACAAGTAATTTGGAAACTGCTTCAACACTACGGAATACCACAGACCTTTATCAATCTCATTCAACAAGTATGTGAAGACGTCACATACCAGCCAAGTAATTCACAATAGGAAGCTTAGTGATGCTTTTGAAGTGAAGTGAAGACAGGAGTAAAACAAGGCTGTCTACTATCATCACCCATGATATTTCTGATTGTAGTTGACACGATCATGCAACAAACAGTGAGTAGCGAGAAGAGAGGGGTATACGCCGGACCGAGGAAAAGAACCTAGAAAATTTGGATTTCGCCGATGATGACTTGTGTCTGATGTCGCACAAACTGGAAGATCTACAGGCGAAGACGGGACTTCAAGTGAATATAGAGAAGACATGGGTGATGAAGATACCCAACCAACAACAACAACAGCAACAACAAGCTCCAATGAGCATCAACGGGTGGAAACTAAAGGAAGTAGCCTCCTTCATCTATCTAGGCAGAACTGTCTCAATTACAGGCGGCACAGGCACAGACGAGGATGTCAAAGTCAGAATCGGAAAGGCAAGATAGGCCTTCATTAGCCTGAAACCAGTGTGGAGATCTTCTGTACTCAGCATGTGGAACAAGATGCGGATTTTCAACACCAATTCAGTCAAGTCAGTGCTCCTGTATGGTTCAGAGACTTGGCGTGTTACGAAACGGATTTCCAACAAACTACAGACATTCGTCAACAACTGCCTACACTGGCTCGTTACAGAAGATCAGATGGCCAGAATAATAAGAATAAGCAACAAGGAAATCGGGCTGACTAGCAACGAACCAACCAAGATGCTATCGCTCAATAAATATGCACTGGAAGGAAGTGGAGATCGATTGGACTGGACATACACTGAGAGGGCTGACTGGGGACATTACATGTCAGGCCAGTTGTTCGAGTGGGACCCAGATGGGAAGCGACGAGTTGGGCGTCGGAGGTGAGGGTGACATGGAGGAGATGATGTGAGGAAGAAATGAGAGCTTGTGGGCAGCCGTGGAGCCAGGTTGAAACGATTTCAGAGAACAGAGTGGAATGGAGATGTGCTACTGAAGCCCTATGTTCCATTAGGAACCCAAGGGACAAATAATAATAAATATGTTACACCTTGGGTGACGGTGTCTGAACAAAATACTGTCACTCATCCAGAAGAAGCTTGGTGCCATCTTCAGTCTGCTGTAAAAGCAGCACTGAAGACTGTAGCCGACTCCAAAATAATGGCTAAAAAGAGCCAGTGGATATCAGCAGCTTCTTCCAAACTAATGGATGCACGTGAATGCATCCCTGCAGGCTCTGAGTACAATGAAGAGCGAGCGCAACTTAAAAATAGACTGACGAAAAGTCTGCGCAACGATCGTGAACAGTGGTGGGCAGCGAAGGCTAAAGAGATGGAAAAGGCAGCGGCGATCGGTAACAGTAGACAGTTATTTAGACTTATTAAGGAGACTGGGGGGAAATGGTCAACAACAGTTAGTGAGGTTATAGCGGAGAAGGACGGATCTGCGATTCACTCGCAGGGGAGGCGACTGGGACGATGGGCAGAACACTTCGAGGAACAGTTTAACTGGCCTCCAGCCACCATTGCGCTGCCCGCTATCCAGTCGGACCCTGAATGGGACATAGAGACAGGTCCCCCAACACTAGAAGTTGAGAAAGCGGTAGGTAGCCTGAAACGGGGAAGGGCAGCAGGACCAGACGGACTACCTGCTGAGGTATACAAGAATGGTGGTAGAGTTCTCTTAGTCAGGCTAACGGAAGTGTTAGCCAGTATATGGGAATCAAATACGATCCCCTCCGACTGGTCTAAGTCACTCATCATCCCAGTCTTCAAGAAAGGCGAGAAGTCCTCTTGTGATAACCACAGAGGAATCAGCCTGACAAACATAGTGTCTAAGATCCTAAGTTCTATAATTCTCCGACGCCTGAGTGGAGCTCGGGAACAGCAAGCCCGAGAAAACCAGGCAGGCTTTAGACCTGGCCGTGGATGTATCGACCAAATATTCACACTGCGCCAGGTCCTGGAACATAGGCATGCTTACAGACGCCCGACAATAGCTGTATTTCTCGACCTGAAGGCGGCATTTGACTCCGTTGATCGAGAAGTCTTATGGCAATGTCTGTCACTGAAAGGCGTGCCTAGTAAGTACATCACCTTATTGAAAGCTCTCTACTCGAACACTTGTGGGCATGTTAGAGCCTATGGTGAGTTGTCCAGGGAGCTATACTCATCAAGTGGTGTCCGTCAAGGATGCCCACTATCCCCATTCTTATTTAATTTTATCATAGATATTCTTATGGAGGTTTCCCTCTCGTCACCTAATTACACAGACGTTGACCCGATCACAGGTGAATTTTCCTTAGATCTAGAATATGCAGATGACATAGTCCTGTTAGGTGAAGACGCTGACAAGATGCAGAGTCTTCTGAACACTTTGAGTGGGAATTTGAGAATGTTTGGGATGCGATTTTCACCACCCAAATGCAAATTTTTGCTCCAGGACTGGTCTTCAGCGGTGCCGCGGCTAACAATAGAGAGTGAAGTGGTTGAGTGTGTTGACCACTTCACTTACCTGGGAAGTAGGATCAGCCCTGCCCTGGTGGCTCAGTTGCCGATGAAATTTCTGCACGGATACAAAAGGCTCGATTGGCTTTTGCCAATTTACGCCACCTATGGCGCCATCGTGATATTCGTTTGTCTATTAAGGGTCACGTATACTGCACAGCAGTCCGCTCTGTTCTACTGTATGGCTGTGAAACATGGCCATTGAAAGTGGAAGACATGAGAAGGCTTCAGGTGTTTGACCACCGTTGCCTTCGTAGTATAGGACGTATTCCGTGGTGTCACCACGTGAGTAATGCAGAAGTCAGGTGTAGAGTTTTAGGTAGAAGAGGTAAGTCAGTTGACGAGGTTATGAACTTTCATCGACTGAGATGGTTGGGACACGTACTACGTATGCCTAGTCACCGATTGCCTTGTCACACAATATTGGCTGAGGTGGGTCCAGGCTGGAAAAAGGCCCGACGTGGCCAGACTAAAACATGAAACCAATGTATGAAGTCTCTGACTGGTGGTTTGAGCCATGTAGGACGATGCAGACTAGGTGGTTGGGGTCCACGGGACAAGAGGAACCAGTGGTTGGAGACCCTAGGTGATATGGCTCAGAACCGAAGTCAGTGGCGCAGATGTATACACACATTATCCTCATCCTAACATTGCTATACCGAATCTCACCATTTTGTCACTCCTTTTTCCTTTCTTCTCGTACTTTATATTTCTTTTGGCTGCATTCACTTATCTTCATCCTTCGCCGCACTACCTTTTTACTTGATGTGCTGATATGAGGTGTGGCAACTCGGACCGTTACACAGTAATGCCTGGTCCTATGTTGATAATGATGATGATGATGATGATGGTGTCTATTGAACTAGGTTATTCTAAGTATTCTCACTTGTAAAAGTACCATAAGATATGCTTGACTTTACTTAGAATTGCTTTCTTCTCTACTGTTTTGTTTTTACAGCGTCAAGAAGTGTTACGCACAGGAACAATGCAAGCCACTGAAGAGGAGGAGCTTATAAGACGAGCGCGAGAAGGCATGGAGGATGGAGAAGATGCACAATTCTCAGTTATGGTAGGATACATACTGATATAGTTAACTTGTTCATGTTGACTACCTTAGAATCAATGTTGTATTGGTGGAAATTTAAGGGAATAAAGTAGAAATTTTATATCTAGAGGCGGAGAACGACAGGATAGACTTTGAAATGTTCAGTCGATTCTATTTTGATTCTATGATTGTTTACATTGTCAAATTGAGAAGATAACTGTTATGAATCCTACATTCATAGTTGAACACTTGTGTCCTATACACGCTAATGAGCAACTGTGTTGTAAGCATTCAGATATTTTCACAACTGTGATATTTATTTACGCTTACTCATTTAATATGAACATTTTGACTATACCGAAATCATACGAACGAAGACTTTCAGAGAGGTACCAGTCGATGGAGTCCTTGTCAGTTGGTCTGAGCCGTTTAGAGAGATGTAGATTGTCTGGTCGGGGTCCGCAGGACGAAAGAAATCAGTAGTTGAAGACTCTTGGTGACATGGCTGAAAATCGGTCACAATGGCGCAGATGTATACAGCTTTTGACGTCTTCTAAAGGTTGACTATTCGCAGTAACCTTCATTTTCAAATTGTGTATTCTCTCACACAACCCTTGTATACTTTGTTATCACTCCTTTTCCATCAGCCTGTTCCTTGTATACTGCTATGAAATGTGGCAACTTGAGGCAGTTCAGTTGTGTGCGACGTTCTACATAGATCTGTCTGTCTGCTTTTCAGAGACGGGCAAATCGATATGGAGTCTTACAGAAATAAATCCATAGCATGCCTTGATACACATCGAAATACCACAAAGAGATGAAGCGAACAGAAAGACAGTGATATTAGAATAAGAAGAAAAGATATGATAGAAACGGGTGTCACTAGGTGAAGTTAATTACAAAGTAGGAATTCCGTGGAGTAACTTTTCTCCACTGAATTGCTTTTCCCTGATTTTTTCCTGTCAATTAATGGGCTGAGATTCTCTAGCCAGGAATATCACGCGGGACTCATCCAGAGACTCTACAACACAAACAGTCACAGACTTCTTAATGTGCATGTAGCATGCGTGATCTGGCCGCCGTTCGCCTTCTTACAATCCAACATGCACACTTCAGGTCCTAAGTTTGATACCCGGTGGGGTTGTCGGGGTGTACTACTGAGGAATCATATACTAGGACGAAGTGGCTGTCCGATTCCTTCCAGTTTTTCAATGGTTTCCCAACTAATGTCAGTCTATGATGAATATCACACTTGTAATCTTAATTCTATTGATGTTTTCATGATTTCAATTTAGTTTTTTTTCTTCTTGTTTTGTTTTTGTTCAATCCTCTTTCAATAGATACCTGTTGAAGATCAATCTTTCCTGTGGTCAGATAAATATCGACCTAGGAAACCACGATTTTTCAATCGTGTTCATACTGGTTTTGTATGGAATAAATATAATCAAACACATTATGATTTAGATAATCCACCGCCAAAAATTGTTCAAGGTTATAAATTCAATGTTTTCTATCCAGATTTAATTGATAAAACAAAAACACCGACATATACATTGACAGCTTGTGGGGAAACAGAAAAAGATTTTGCTATTCTACGATTTATTGCTGGTCCACCATATGAAGATATTGCATTTAAAATTGTTAATCGTGAATGGGAATACTCGTATAAGCATGGATTTCGATGTCAATTTCAAAATAATATTTTTCAATTATGGTTTCATTTTAAACGATTCCGTTATCGTCGTTAGGTTGGTTGTGCTATAATAAATTAATCAAGGGAATGACAGAGAATATTCCCTCTCTCTTCCTTTTTTTAACAAACTCATTACAGAAACTTGTACATTACTATTGTAAATTTGTTATTTAATGAAAAGTTTATTTAAACATTGGTTTGTAAATAAACATGGGAATTCGCGTAGAAAGTAAGTCATTTCTACTGAAGAATGTGCCTAGCCATGTATTAACGATGTAAGTCATGATCAGTATCAACATAGGACCAGGCATTACTGTGTAACGGGTCCGATTTGCTATAGCTCATATCAATACATCAAGTAAAAAGACAGTGAGGTGCAATATGAATATAAGAGAATTCAGTTAAAAGAAATATAAAGTACACAAAGAGAGAAAGGAAGAATGAGGAAATGGTGAGATTCGGTATAGCGTCATTAAGATGAGGATACTGTGTGTCGGGATACATCTGCGCCACTGACATCGGTTCTGAGCCATATCCCCTACAGTCTCCAACCACTGTTTTGTCTTGTCCCTCGGACCCCACCAGCTAGTTTGCATTGCCACATATGGCTTAAACCAACAGTCAGAGACTTCATACATTGGTTTCATGTTTTAGTCTGGCCACGTCGGGCCTTTTTCCAGCCTGGACCCACCTCAGCCAACATTGTGTGACAAGGCAATCGGTGACTAGGCATACGTAGTACGTGTCCCAACCATCTCAGTCGATGAAAGTTCATAACCTCGTCAACTGACTTACCTCTTCTACCTAAAACTCTACACCTGACTTCTGCATTACTCACGTGGTGACACCACGGAATACGTCCTATACTCCGAAGGCAACAGTGGTCAAACACCTGAAGCCTTCTCATGTCTTCCACTTTCAATGGCCATGTTTCACAGCCATACAGTAGAACAGAGTGGACTGCTGTGCAGTACACGCGACCCTTAATAGACAAACGGATATCACGATGGCGCCATAGGTGGCGTAAATTGGCAAAAGCCAATCGAGTCTTTTGTATCCGCTCAGAAATCTCATCGGCAACTAACCCACCAGGGTTGATCCTACTTCCCAGGTAAGTGAAGTGGTCAACACACTCAACCACTTCACTCTCTATTGTTAGCCGCGGTGAGGCACCGCTGAAGACCAGTCCTGGAGCAAAAATTTGCATTTGGGTGGTGAGAACCACACCCCAAACACTCTCAAATTCCCACTCAAAGTGTTCAGAAGACTCTGCATCTTGTCAGCGTCTTCACCTAACAGGACTATATCATCTGCATATTCTAGGTCTAACGAAAATTCACCTGTGATCGGGTCAACGTCTCTGTAATTAGGTGAGGAGAGGAGACCTCCATAAGAATATCTATGATGAAATTGAATAAGAATGGGGATAGTGGGCACCCTTGACGGACACCACTCGATGAGTATAGCTCCCTGGACAGCTCACCATAGGCTCTAACATGCCCACAAGTGTTCGAGTAGAGAGTAGTTTATCCAGACTCGCAACCTTAGTGCCATAGGTGACTGATTATAAACTATCAGCTGTTCCGTCACAGTCAACATCAACATGCAACCTAGCATTGACCTACTATCTGACGAAATCAACGCAGGGCCTCGCACACAATTGCATCGGCTCAAGTTGCCACACTTCACAGTAGTACAAAAAGACCACAAGGATAGTAAAGGAGTGATATTGAAGTAAACAAAGTTGTGTAAGAGAATAAACAATTTGAAGATGGTTACTGAGAATATTCAAGCTTTAGAAGATATTAATAAGTGAATGCGTCTGCGCCATTGTGAATGATTTTCAGCCATGTCGTCAACCACCGAATTTTTTCGTCTCGAAGATCCCAAACAAACAGTCTATATCTCTCCACGTGACAGACCAATAGCCAGGAATTTCACGGACAAATGCCGTATCTTGGTTTAGCCACCCTGAACCCTCTTCTAACTTAGTCTAACTTCCTCCAATATAGAATGTAGAGGTAGGCGGTGGATCAACCTGCGCAGCACATTTCCAAGCCACCTCAGCCTATGAAGATTCATAACTTCATCAATCGACTTGCTTGTCGTGCATAGTACCCTCCGCTTGAGCTCAACAATGCACACACAGTGATTCCCCCAAACGCAACCAATGATGCAACGTTATCTATGACCAAAACCATGTAACCGCTATATGTCTTCAACTTTTGACGGCCATATAACAAGACAGAACGGACTGCAGCGTAGCATGCTCGTCGTTTGACAGATAGTCGAATATCTCGCCAGTCGGCACCACAGATGACGCAAGTTGGTAAGTCCTAAACGGATTTTCTGTAACCGAGGTAATGTTTCATCAGCGACCACCTTTTTTGGCCTGATGCAACTCCCCAAGTAAATGAAGTGGTTGGCATTACTGCCTCATGGTCCAAGTTTATTACACCTCATTTCAATACATCGGGGAATACGGCAATAATGGCAGTCGGTAGTGGTTGGAAGTCATGAAAAGAGGAAGAACGGACAAAACAACAGCAAAATCCAGTGAAAATCATGTATGACTGTATCTGCACCATTTTGAGTTACATCACTAACCAACGATATTGGTTGTCACTGATCTGAACTCGGGAGTCTGCATTTCTCTACGCTGCTCGGACGAACAGTCATGATTTAACGCTGCAGCTAATACTGCACAACAATATCCCAGCTATACGAGTTGACGAAAGTTAACCCAGTTACTTGGAACTATTTCTGACTTCTGCGTTACGTTATGATACCATGACACGCAGTCTATGCTACGAAAGTGACAGTGGTCGAACACCCAGAGACTTTTCATATCCTCCACCTTTAATAGCAATGTTTCATAATTATTATGTAGGACAGAACTAACTGCTACACCGTACCGTTGAGCGTTAATAGGTAATCGGATGTCATGGCAGCAGTGATCCATCTAACTTCCAAAGTCATTGAAGTGGTCAGCACGCTCAACCAATTCACTCTCTACCGTTAGATGACTCGCAAAACGGACCAGTCCTGTAGCAAAAACTCACAATTAGGTGATCGAGAACGCATCCCAAATATACTTGAATTATCACTCAAAGTGTCTAGGAGACTGCCTCACGTCAGTGTCTTCTTCTAATAGAACTTCCATTCGCGTACTCTAAGTGTACTAAGAAATCTCCTGTAACAAGATCAGTCCCTATGAAGTTTGATGACGAGTTAAGTCATGAGAATGAACATATCTGAAAGACATTAATGGCGATATGGTCACTAAATAAGACAACCGTCTAACAGGCTCATGCATTGGCACAAAAAAAAGCTAAAGGAAGACAAGACAAAGTTTAACTAAATCAGAGACATCAGCTCCGAATAATCTACCAAGTGATAACAGAATAGTAGTTACCAAGCCCGATAAAGGTAATTCAATAGTAGTAGTTACTAATAAATCAGAGTATTTAAAGATAATTGAAGAACACGTGCAGATAAGACTATACGAAGAAATGAGGAAACATGTAAGCACTGTCACATAAATAAGAGAAAGAAATCTACAGTCAAATGCAGCATCTTTGGGTGAGTTGAAACAATTTAATTGAATGCCATAGTAGAATTTATGCTATTATTCAGATTTACAGAGCAGATGATCCCATTACACCGATAGTTGACTTCATAAACACTTCGACTTCTATGGTTTATTCAGAAATTTGTAAGAACGCATAAGAAACCAAGTAGTAACATAACTAGCAACAGAAGTATGTGTTGAAAGTTCTCAAGGCTTCTGTTGTTAACATTATATAGAATGAAAACCAGGGACTTCATGCTGGACTAAGGTGGAGTTTAAATCTACAAACTCACTCAGAGATATACTTTGTCAGCTTAGAGATCTTACTGACCTAATTAATGCTATATACTCCTAATTTTGCATAGCTTTTGCCTCCTGTTTTGCCCATGACCTTAACCCACATGGCTGTTTTCACGCCGTTACTAGTTTTTCTTCTAATCCCAAGGCTGAACTCTTATTGGTTGTTGACTATTTTTTACCTATATGTGGATTTAGTGTTGTCAAGGTCATTTAGAAATGTATGCATTCAGCATTACTGTCAACTCTATTGACTACTATTGAAATAGTTCAAGGCTCTATACCAACGGTCTATCTTTTCTTCTTATCTTCGCGCGTCGGTGGTATTGTTGATGTTCTATTTAGAATCGATTTGTTTGCTCATTAGGTTCGTAATCTGCTAGGCTCATATGGCTCGTAGACTGTTAGGTCGTACTACCGGTCATAGCAACATCCTTAAGCTATTCTACCTGTATTGAGAGTATTTAGATCAGAAAAAATGTGTGCTTTATCACTCGATTCGAATCAAACAGTGTGATCCATATTGATTTGGATACACTAAAATCACAAGTTCCTTGCTGTTATAATTGTCAAAGTATATAATTGAGTAATTTATTGAATGACTTGCTTACTGCATCATAAATACTTTTCAAACTATCTCAAGTACGGTGAACTACATAAGCCATTCTTAGCGCATAGAGATACAATGTAACGAAATGTACTGCTGAGTTATTTATTATTTGCCCCTTGGGTTCCTACAAAAGTTCAAAATAATCATACTCAAAAGGCTGGGTGTGACAGGCCTCAAGCAGATGTCCGATGGGCTCTGCGGTCACACAAATCTCTTTCAGGTACCTTAAGAAGAAATAGCCTTCCACGGTGTGGGCAGCCGGGAAGTGTCAACCGCCCTCACAACTCTCTCAGCACCCAAGTTTCTTCTGACTGCTATCCTCCTCCTCCATCATTACCTTCTAATCTTCCTTCACGTCTCTTAATTAATGATGCTGCATCATCTTCAATTTCTTCTACCTCTGCAGTCTTCGACAACGATGTGAATCCACAAAACAGCATCACTGGTCTCCTTAAACCACGCTCCAAATTACATATTGGAGCCTTCAATGTCCGTACTCTGTCGAATTGGTCAACAGGCTTCATTGGCAAAGACTCTAGCAACTCGGGGCATGGATGTGTGCTGTGTTTGTGAGACACGCATACAGGACCCAAGTGCGGTTATTCATCTGACCTCTTCCGACCAATCTGGTGAATCCACAAAATTCACCCTTCGAGTTTCTGGAGATTCGATAGCTAGCTCTCGTGGTCTTGCAGGTGTAGGCATAGCATTAAGCACTAGGGCAGAAAACTCACTACTAGACTGGATCCCAGTTGATAGTCGCCTCTGCGTTATGAGTCTGAATGGCACAGTAAGAACTAAAGGGAATAGTGAGACTCGCCGTTGTCTCTTTGTAATCTCTGCTTACGCACCCACTGACTGCAGCTCGGATGAAGTGAAGGACGAGTTCTACCGTAAACTGTCTAACCTCCTCTCGAAAGCCAAACGTTCGGACGTGGTGGTTGTTGCAGGTGACCTCGATATACAGGTGGGTAGACTGAGTGAGGCAGAAAGGCACTTAGGTGGCACTTTCGGAATCCCAGCTGAACGTACAGATAACGGTGATCGCCTATTACAACTATGCTCAGATAACCGCCTTTTTTTAGCCAGCACCGATTTCAGACATAAAGAAAGGCACTGTCTGACCCGGCGTCCACCGAGCTCAACTTAGCGATGGACACAGATAGACCACATTGCTATTAGTCATCGCTAGAGAGGATCGGTGGAAGACTGTCGCTCCTTCTGGAGTACGTGTTTGGACAGTGGATATCAGCAGCTTCTTCCAAACTAATGGATGCACGTGAATGCATCCCTGCAGGCTCTGAGTACAATGAAGAGCGAGCGCAACTTAAAAATAAACTGACGAAAAGTCTGCGCAACGATCGTGAACAGTGGTGGGCAGCAAAGGCTAAAGAGATGGAAAAGGCAGCGGCGATCGGTAACAGTAGACAGTTATTTAGACTTATTAAGGAGACTGGGGGGAAATGGTCAACAACAGTTAGTGAGGTTATAGCGGAGAAGGACGGATCGGCGATTCACTCGCAGGGAAGGCGACTGGGACGATGGGCAGAACACTTTGAGGAACAGTTTAACTGGCCTCCAGCCACCATTGCGCTGCCCGCTATCCAGTCGGACCCTGAATGGGACATAGAGACAGGTCCCCCAACACTAGAAGAAGTTGAGAAAGCGGTAGGTAGCCTGAAACGGGGAAGGGCAGCAGGACCAGACGGACTACCTGCTGAGGTATACAAGAATGGTGGTAGAGTTCTCTTAGTCAGGCTAACGGAAGTGTTAGCCAGTATATGGGAATCAAATACGATCCCCTCCGACTGGTCTAAGTCACTCATCATCCCAGTCTTCAAGAAAGGCGAGAAGTCCTCTTGTGATAACCACAGAGGAATCAGCCTGACAAACATAGTGTCTAAGATCCTAAGTTCTATAATTCTCCGACGCCTGAGTGGAGCTCGGGAACAGCAAGCCCGAGAAAACCAGGCAGGCTTTAGACCTGGCCGTGGATGTATCGACCAAATATTCACACTGCGCCAGGTCCTGGAACATAGGCATGCTTACAGACGCCCGACAATAGCTGTATTTCTCGACCTGAAGGCGGCATTTGACTCCGTTGATCGAGAAGTCTTATGGCAGTGTCTGTCACTGAAAGGCGTGCCTAGTAAGTACATCACCTTATTGAAAGCTCTCTACTCGAACACTTGTGGGCATGTTAGAGCCTATGGTGAGTTGTCCAGGGAGCTATACTCATCAAGTGGTGTCCGTCAAGGATGCCCACTATCCCCATTCTTATTTAATTTTATCATAGATATTCTTATGGAGGTTTCCCTCTCGTCACCTAATTACAAAGACGTTGACCGGATCACAGGTGAATTTTCCTTAGATCTAGAATATGCAGATGACATAGTCCTGTTAGGTGAAGACGCTGACAAGATGCAGAGTCTTCTGAACACTTTGAGTGGGAATTTGAGAATGTTTGGGATGCGATTTTCACCACCCAAATGCAAATTTTTGCTCCAGGACTGGTCTTCAGCGGTACCGCGGTTAACAATAGAGAGTGAAGTGGTTGAGTGTGTTGACCACTTCACTTACCTGGGAAGTAGGATCAACCCGGTGGGTTAGTTGCCGATGAGATTTCTGCACGGATACAAAAGGCTCGATTGGCTTTTGCCAATTTGCGCCACCTATGGCGCCGCCGTGATATTCGTTTGTCTATTAAGGGTCGCGTGTACTGCACAGCAGTCCGCTCTGTTCTACTGTATGGCTGTGAAACATGGCCATTGAAAGTGGAAGACATGAGAAGGTTACAGGTATTTGACCACCGTTGCCTTCGTAGTATAGGACGTATTCCGTGGTGTCACCATGTGAGTAATGCAGAAGTTAGGTGTAGAGTTTTAGGGAGAAGAGGTAAGTCAGTCGACGAGGTTGTGAACCTTCATCGACTGAGATGGTTGGGACACGTACTACGTATGCCTAGTCACCGATTGCCTCGTCACACAATGTTGGCTGAGGTGGGTTCAGGCTGGAAAAAGGCCCGAGGTGGCCAGACTAAAACATGGCACCAATGTATGAAGTCTCTGACTGTTGGTTTAAGCCATGTAGGACGATGCAGACTAGGTGGTTGGGGTCCACGGGACAAGAGGAACCAGTGGTTGGAGACCCTAGGTGATATGGCTCAGAACCGAAGTCAGTGGCGCAGATGTATACACACATTATCCTCATCTTAACAACGCTATACCGAATCTCACCATTTCCTCATTCTTCCTTCCTCTCTTTGTGTACTTTATATTTCTTTTGACTACATTCTCTTATATTCGTATTGCACCTCACTGTCTTTTTACTTGATGTATTGATATGAGCTATGGCAAATCGGATCCGTTACACAGTAATGCCTGGTCCTATGTTGATAATGATTGATTGTTCCTAGTGGAACATAGGGCTTCAGTAGCACGTCTCCATTGCACTATGTTCTCTGCAGTCTTTTGAACCTCGCTCCACGTTTGCCCAGAAGCTTTCATTTCTTTCTCACACGATCTCCTCCATGTCACCCTCGGACTCCCAACTCGTCGTTCCTTCTTTGGGTTGCAATCGACTGTCTGACCTGGCGCTTGATGTCCCCGGATGGTCTTCTCAGTGTACGCCCAATCCAACGCATCTCCGCTTTCTTCTGCATATATGTTGGGCGATGGGTTCTTCGTTTGTTGGTTGCCATGCCAGAGTTCCTTGATGCTTATTTTTTCTGACCTTCTGATCTGATCTTCAGTATCGAACGAGAGTAGGCAGCTGTTGATGAATATCTGTGTTTGTTGGAAATGCTTTTCGTAACGCTCCGAGTTTCTCAACTATCACACAGTCGCACTGACTTAATTGAATTAGTGTTGAAAATCCGGATGTTTTTCACACTTTATGCTGAGTGCAGTAGATCTCCACACTGATTTCAGGTTAATAAAGGCCTGTCTTGCTTTTCCGATTCTAGCTTTGACGTCCTCATCTGTGCCGCTTGTAGTTGAAACGATGCTGTCTAGGCGGGTAGGTGAAAGATACTACTTCTTTTAGGTTTCTCCCGTTGATGGCAATTGGGATGCTGAGTTAGCCTACAACTTTTTTTCTTTTCTCAAACCTACAACAACAAATCAATGAAGCAGGTTCTCAAAGTCAGTCTTGACTGCTGGCAAATTAATAGATATTTGAGACAGAAGTTTACAGCACTGAAATTATTCCTCAGGCGTTTGTTTGAAGGAATGCATATGTCAGTTGTAAAGGAAATCAGTTAAATAAATGCTGTATACGACGAGTGTACTGCAAATCGCTAACCACATGATCCGTTGTATACCGTAGTTTTTAGACTGTAAGGAACTTCATGTTGGCTGGTTTGAGACAGTAGCCCTGGAACTTTAGTTTTGTGTTTGTTGGCAACTTGAAGAAAACTGGCCATATTTATTCAAGAGAATACAGAACTATCTTGCATCGTATAGGCAGATACGCTTAGAAATTTGTATTGTGACTAACCGTTAAAAGTAGAAGACATGAAGCGATTACAAAGGTTTCCTCACAGGTGTGTTCGTAGCATTGCTAGCGTGTGGTGGGATCACTTTGTGAGCAATGTCAAGATCAGGCGAATTGTACTAGGCAAGTCAGTCGATCAGGTTGTGAACTTTCATCGACTGAGATGCCTTGGACATGTAGTGCAGATGCCGAGCCACCATCTATCTCGAAGTGCCATACTAGGGGAAGTTGGATTAAATTAGAAGGTTCAGAGTGGCCAGACCAAGATATGGTACCAGTCCATGAAGATTTTGATTGCTGGTCTGAGTTGTGTGGGGAAATGTAGGCTGCCTGGCTGGGGTCCACGAGACGACTTGACTCAACGCACCTGTATATGACGTTCTACGTTAATTTTGTCTGTCATTGTAAGTCAACGCAGGAATCGGTGCAGTATGCATTATGATCAAGAAGTGGATGGTGCAGACTTTTTTAGGTAGACTAATTTTAATTTCATAATCTAGGATATGACGTGATAGAGTTGAGAAAGACGAGATTCAAACGCATAGTGCATCTTAGTGACGTATAGTGGTTAGTAGTAGAATCCAGACCGCGCGTTTCGTTCTATTTGGCACTTGTCAGCTGGATTTACTTGCCTTCCAATGAGCGATTTCGTTCCCACTAAGAATAGAATCCGGGACTGATCGTACAGTGCATCTATTAATAAGCGACGCATTGACTATCACTCAGATTGGTAGTACGTGTACGGAAACGTGAATTTCATAAATATCAACGATAAAATACTATATTTCTTTATAAGTTATCACAGAATTAATTGACTACTTAATGCTTTATTAAACAAAATATATCAAAATAAAAGTCATAAAACAAAGAATATGTTAATTTGATGTGGTTAACAGTCCTGAGAAAGCGAATCGGTTTTGAAATGGTGGATAAGGACATGTAAGTAATGGAGCTTTTGTTGAACTGAAATCCAACAATCCCTGTAAATAAGTGTCTTTACCAGACTTCAAGACAGATGATTCAACAATTTCATGAAGTTCTTTCCAAGAATCAATAAGATCGGAATAAAAAGGTTCATTGTTAAAACAGTTAAACGATGAATAATTATTCACCCAAGTGAAAACATTATCTAATGAAATATCACTAAGCTGAGATTGAAAATATTCACTAAAAACTGAATCAACAGCAGAAATGAGATCAATTTCTGTAATTGAATTCATATTGTGTTCATTAGATGGTTTAGTTTCATCATTATCTGTTAACTTTATATGTTGAGGAGAATTAGAAAGTAACATTTTCACATTAGACGCTTGTTCAATTTCATCTAAACGTGATGCAAAACAACAATTCAAAGCACCAGGATCTATAGGATGAGCTTCTGTGTTGAATATATAACCACCAGATTCTGGGTAACATTGTAGTCCTGATGGTAAACGAGAACTTACTGTAAGTGAATGTTCACCTGGTAACTGATGAATAAAGTTGTTTTCATCAAACAAAAGATATAAATATTTTGTTGTTTCTGCTAAGAAAAACGATTCCATTCTATCTTCTAATGTATGTTTTGTGACATCGGAGACCTTGTTAAAATAGTCCGCCAAAAAAAAACAAATATTGTATAGGTATCTTCGTCAATACATAATTGACAAGTTTTAAAGCATAATAAAGTTGAATGATAATTGAACAACATAGAACTATCAAAGTACTTAGCATCGATATTATGTCCTAATAACAACCATTATAACTCTAAATTAGTCTATTTTTACGACTTAACACTAAGACCTACATGATCTACATGTAAAAGAGATACAAAATGGTTAGTTTCGACGTAAAAAATAAAAAAAATCAGTGCAACGACTTAAAAAAGGAATTGAAACACATAAAAGAAACATTATTAATTATCCTTTGGAGTTTATTAAGAAAGTCGTACAAACACATAAGAAACGAAATAATAACGGTAATACAAATGTGAATAACAACGACAGCACGAGTAGAAAAGAGTTCAAAGCCTCTAATTATATTATCATATACGAAAGAACATCAGAAACTTTACGTAGGATAATCAACAAAACTGAAATTACGGTGGCATTTAAACCTACAAACTCACTCAGGCATAAGCTTTGTCAGCTTAAGGATCCAATAGACTCGATTAAACAAAACAATTTGATCTACCAAATTCAATTTAATGACTATGAGGTCAAGTACATTGGTCAAACTAGCTGATCAGAGTATTATTTTATCTACTAGAACACAAACATGGCACAGCAAAAGTATTAAGAAATGAGCCATACAAAATAATTTAACATTATGAAACATAAAGCGAAAGGAAGTGGATAAGTAAAAAGGAAATATAATAAGAGTACTATGATAAGTGGGACAGTGCAGTAAGATGCATTCAAAACAAAACATTTATTACTTTTCAGCGGTACCAGAAGGGAGCTACAGCCTGACCACCACTCGCTTCGATTCTGAGTCATACCTGATAACGTCTCAAGTCACTGAGTTGTGTGATCTCTCGGACCCCATTCACGTAGGGAGTCGTGATGCACCAACAGATGCCAACTCAACACAACTATTCTTCATCCCACAGCGCCACGTCATACACTGACCACCCACCCCACACCCCCGCCACCGCTTCTTCCATCCCATCCCAGGTCTAGCAAACATTGAACGGTGTGGAAGCCATTAGGGAGACATGCGTAACACATATCCAAGCCACCGGCGCCGGTGTTTCAAGATCACTTCACTTGCCGAATGGCGATCTCCACCATGCTCGAACACACACTGTCGCAACCTCAGAATTGCTTATATGGTGTTGCCACCAGATACGAGCAATCTCCTACGGAGACAACGAGGATCGAATACACAGAGTCGTCGCACACCCTTAGATCTGAGACGCCAGGTTTCACAGGCGTAGAGCAGAACTGCTCGCACCGAAGCGTTGTAAACCCGACCTTTTAAGGTCACACTATCATCGCCAGAGGTGGATCAGATTAGCGTATGCCACTCTGACTTTCGATATGCGGTTGGAAATTTCACCACTCACACCTGTACCAGCACTCACACAACCACCCAGATACACGAACTACTTCCAACGACTCACCACCAAGCACAGGCTGCTGCCAATCTTGCAAAGTACTTCGCACTTCGATGGTTGTATGATCCCACTCTACCTAAGATGTTACAGGGCTTTTAACATGTTAATAAATTTGTCAGTCATGCCCCTCTCCAAAAGACAATTCCAGAGTACAGCTGTGTCCAAATAATCGAAAGGAGTCGAAATATCATGAAACACGATTGTTGGCCTGTACTACATCTGTCGAAGTTCAAGCATCTGGCGGAGCATAAGCATGTGAACAGTGCACCTACAACCCGATGATTGTCACATACATTACGCAGACCCGTTTTAAAGATGGGCACAACGATGGCCTCATTCCATAGTGCTGAAACATTCTCAGTCACCGATACCTTCTGAAGCAATCTAGTCAGTTCCATAACTACAGTCGTTCCTAGATCCTTAAAAAGAGCCGGGGGTAAGTTGTCTTGGCCGCATGCCTTGTGGCGTTTCAGAAATTGGAGTTCCTTATGGACCTCTACTCGATTAGGTGGGTCAGTGTTAACTGACGATGGAGCATAGTACACTGAAACTGAAAACCTGGAGCAGTGGGCTAACCAAACTGCTTTCCGAAGTGCTCCGCCCATCGTTCCAGGAGTCTTTGAGGATTGTTCATCGGCGTAACATCTACCTCACAGACTGTTTCACTGACACCAAGCTTCTTGTTGCCAGTGGCTGCAACAGATCCGACTGTTGCCAGATGCAGCTACTGTTTCCAATCTCACTCGCGCTTTCTGGCCATCAAGCCTCACGGTTTTTGTATTAGCATTGTGCAGTGTTTCGCGTAGAGACTTACACGAACCATTGTACTCGCTATCCGCCGGAATGATCCGACGGGCGTCAAAAGTTGCAGGAAGCTCACAGAGACCCAGTGTTTATTAACGGGACGTTCTTCCAAGCTGCAAGCGACTTTATTCGACATTTTCATGGTGCTTTGCAGATGAAGCCATTGCTCATCTACACTTTCTGAAGGATCGGTAGCCAGCATTAAATCTAGCTCGGATTGGTATTTAGCTGCAAGGTTGGGTGCAACTAATTTGTTGGCATCGACCTGCTTAGGACGACGATTTCGATGACGACCAGAACACAAGACGGGCTAAGCACACACTAAAGCATGATCAGAGTTCAGACAAGTACTCCATATGAAGCGGCGGTCCTGTATGCACCCACGTCATCGGTAGCTGATTGCAGTATGATCTATTTGAGTCCAAGCTTGAATAACAGAAAGAGGACCCCCAGTAGCACAACGGCGATGGCTGTGCCGGAAGCTAGCGCTGGGTAGAAATAGGTTGTGATTTGTATAAAGCTGTGGAAGACGACCCCATTATCCGACCTGCGACCAACTAGTTCTCATTGGCCACCTAAACGACTGATCTGCGTATTCAAGTCCCAGCTAGCACTACGATATCTATCGAACGCATTTGGTTGAGAATATCACTCATTTGATGGTAGAATTCATCCTTGGTTGCATCCGAGATGTAATCCGTTGGAGCATAAGCAAAGATGGCAATGAGATATCGTTTCTCTTTCCGGTTACTTCATACTCAAGTTGAACCTTCTAACAAGACAGAGACGACTGTTGATGAAGAATTAGCGCAGCTTCGGATTGAACGCTTAGTGCGACACCGACACCAGCGAGACCGGTTGCCAATGCCACTGAGTTCCCGAATAAGGGCCCATGAAACATACTTATCGAGCTGATAGACGAAAAAATAGTTCAAAGCACTTCACTGGGATTTTGTATGCGAGTCTCTGAGATGCAGCATACATCAGTAGCAAGGCTTTCCAGAGTCATGGCCAAACGTGCCTGTTGTCCGATCTGCATCAAGGTGTGAACGTTGGAGGCGGCGAGCTTAAACGGTACGCGTGGTTTTAGGATAGCTATGCGAAATATCGCACTGGAAGACAGCTTTATGGTGGCAACTGATTAGTGACTCAAAACGGTACAAACAGACCATAAGTCTAAGTTGAGTGAAGTGATGATAAAGACAAAAGCGAAAATTTTAATAACGTAAAACAAAGTTCATATGTAAAAACAAAAAACAACATAGTAACAATAAATTGAACAATTAGATAGTGTTCACGGTGCAGAAGGCCTGAATATTCCCAAGAAAGTTGGATGAGCGCTTCAAAATCTTTATTGTATATTGTAATTTCATATCTTATGTGGCGACCAAGATACTGCCCGGGTGCCCAGACAGAAGCAGGGAACACTCCCCGAGCCTTCGACATAAAGTTTAGTGCACAAGGCAATATAGCAGTATCAGGAGCTGCATTCCTGTGATTGCGGTGACCGAAATAAGTTTACACCCATTCGTTCCATCTGGAACCAGAAGCTCATGAGCACCATCGGTTGGGAATTAGGGTTTTTCAACTCCCCTAGGTGGACCCTCAGCATCACCGACCTAGCGACAAACGCCGGACTGACCTCAATAAGATCAGTAATCTAGAGAATCAAATTGGGCTACTGTGATGTATGCATAAACACACAACTCCACACAATAGGCTGGGATAAAACCGCTTTACTTAAGTTCACTACAATTCGGCGGAGAGAGATTGATACATAGGTTAAATTAATCGACTAGGGTCAGTTAGGTTATACGAGCACAAAATCTTAGCTAGGTCAAAATTGGTAGATCCTAGTAGATAGGGAATTAGAAAAAAGCTCGGCCATAGCTATACATACAACTACACGATAGGGTGAAAACCCTTAAAATTAACATATAGCAGGGTGGAGGGAAAGATTGATAAACGAATTTTTGTTTATCGAATCAACACCTGATACACGTAACAGAAATAACTTAGTACCTGTTTCGGACACATGGAAAACCTACTACCCATATCACAAAGAAGGCAATGAAGTTAGGACTATATAAAGGATATCTCAAAGTTGTGTAGTTATCTTCATATGACGGTGGACAGTAAATTATGTCCAAAACATAATCGAGTAAATAATACTGTCCCATGGTATGATATACTTAATGAACAAACTAAAAATGGAATTACACTCTACCACAACGCCCAAGTTTTACTCTTATATGAGTTATTGACCAACACTCCCCAAAGGATGGGTAATAGCGATACCAATAAACACCATTCATTACTGAGTTGATGGTGAAGACTGATAAATGAAACGCCACCCTTTTTGGAAGTTGGTGACCTTGAGGAAGCCCAGCGAATATCATATCACACCTTAGTGCAGTAAACACCAATAAAGTAATAAAAATAAATCCAACTGAGTAACTACTTGTGTAGAACAACCAAGTGAGTAAGATCCTATCTTTATTTTCTGGCATGAGAAGTTACATGTTTCCAGTTTGATTGAGCATACGAAACGTATTCAGAAAACCAGTTAATCAAAATAAACTTAAATATGTCGTAATCTATCAAGGTAGAAAGAAAGATTTTTGCAAAACCTAACAGAAAATCACAATTGTGTTTACCGTCTGGTTAGTGGTTTAAATCCTAAATTACCAACTTAAGGGCCAAAAAATAAAATCCATTTTGCTTACTTAAGTTTAGAAAGCCAGGTTATGATATTAACCTTAACACATTACATTTGGCCTGCAGTTTATTGTATGGTGTTTATTTGTAGACTAAATCCTTTAGACGCTTGGACATTTTACAGACAATACCATGATTATGTGGCAGTCTACGTTTTGTCGGAGTTCCTAAAATAACGTCTGCGTTTGGGGAAACGTTCATGCTAAAAACAAAGAAATAATATATAAATGATACTGTAGTAGTGAAGTTATAGGCGCTGGTTTGTCACTTCTCATCTAGGGCTATAAACGGATTGATCTATTGGGAGAGGCTCTTAATTTAACTGACAGACACTGGTAGCACAGTAAATCGTTTTAACACTGACTGATCACTCGAAAACACCTGGGATGGGTTATCACCTCCGAGATACGAATTGTCACTTCAGGATATTCCTCCGTCGACGGTTGGTCGACATTTAAATGCGAAGCAATTCATTCTGTTCCTACTCTACGACTGCGAAAATAACCATTAAAAATGGCAGGTTTAAGAGTATCTCGGGTATTTGATTACCATTACTGCCATAGTATCACTCGCATGTGATGCAACCACCACATAAGTAATGTGGAGATCAGGCATAGAGTGTAAAGTTAAAGAGGTAATTCAGCTAACGAGGTTGTAAACCACTACTGATCGCAACAGCTAAGAACACTTATCCCAGAGTCCTATACTAGCTGAATTACAGTTAGGCTGGAAAAATGCTGCTGGTGGGCAAAACAAGACATAACAGTAACTCATAAAGCCACTGACTATTGATCTAAGCCATGTGTAGAAATATTAGATAGGAGGTTACGGTGGACGAGACCGATAATTGGGGTCTCTATGTCTTATGGTTCATAACCGATCAGAGAAGTGCAGATGTATTTACACCTTTTTCTCATAGGAATCAATATTCATAGTTTTTTACCACGTCAAGGAATATTTGCGTATTCGATTATCTTATCACCGTATATTATGTGCTGATATGGGGTCTGAAGACTTTTATTATTACAGGTCCTACATCAATGTCTCCACATCTATCGTACTGTAGCACGTTTAGTAAACTACCGATATCGAAAACAACAGTTTATAAACTAATATTAACCTCATACAAACAAATGCATGCACAAACCTCCCGAACAGCAATCCTAGAAGTGATAACTGAATAAAATTCCTAACAAAAATGAAAATACATACCGTTGCGAAACCACAAGATGTCCGCGCTGAAACTTCAATGGAAGTCAAAATATCCACACCCATATCAATTAGAGCTGGATCACGTGTAGCACGATAAACGTAGAGGATGGATTCAATTAATTCTTTTGGAAGAAATAATTTATAAATATGAGGGTAAAGCATTTTAGAGATACAGTTTTTGGCAATGAAAAAGGTAAGCACAAATTCATAAACAATTGCGAATTCTCTTCAAACGTATATTATTTATACTCAGTTAATTTCTAAGTATTTTATCATTCAAAAAACTTTCTTGTTCCCGCTTGTATTTGAAATAGGATCTCTCAAGTCATCGCTGATAAAAGACCCCAGATGTATGCAAGTAAATCAGATTTTGATTTTTAGTCAACAATAGAGTCAAGTTATACTGATAGACAAAAATTGTGAATTAGGCACTGACTAACAAAATCAACGTATAACTTCGCACACAGATCCATCGGCTCAAGTTGTCAAACTTTACAGTAGTATACAAAGAACAGTTAGATAGAAAACGTAGACAAAGCTATGTGACAGATTAAACAGTTTGCAGATAACGGTTAGAGCAAATATTCAAGCTTTAGAAGACGTCAAGGAGTGAATACATCTGCGCCATTATGACCGATTTTCAGGCATGTCACCAAGAGTCCTCAACCACTGATTCCTTTCGTCTCGCGGATCCCAGCCAGGCAGCCTACATCTCCTCACACGGCTCAGACCAACAGTCAGGGTCTTTATGGACTGGTGTCACGACTTGGTATGGCCACCCTGAACTATCTTCCGATCTAACCCAACTTCCCCAAGCAAAAGTAGGCAGTGGATCGACATGTGTAGAACATGTCCAATATATCTTAACCGATGAAAGTTCACAACCTAGTCGACTGACTTGCCTAGAACACTTTGCCTGACCTTAATATTGCTCATACGGTGATTTCATCAAGCGTGATCAATGTTACGAAGACACCTATGATCAAAACCCTGTGACTGTTTCATGTCTTCTAGTTTTAACGACCTGTCATACAGACGTAAAACGGGACAGAACGGACTGCAGCGCCCTCGGCTACGATGGATGTCCAAGTAGAGAATTCACAGCAATCCGAGATACTTATTACAGTGTTTGACAGTGTTGAATGAGACCTTCTAGTCGATGAATTTGACCAAAGTTGAGCCTACTTAAGTATGCTTATGTTTCAGGAAAACAGTATGGCTGCGGTCAGGTAGTTACGCATCTTCATAATTACGAAATTGTGTTACTTAGACCGATCCTTATTGTGTTATCCCAAGAGTATTTAATAACTTTCAACAATATGGAACAATATTACCTACAGCGAATTATTCGCTTACTAACACCCTAACCATCACCTCAGCAGTGTAAACACTCATTTATAATTATTCCTTATATCTGTCCCTTGAGTACCTAATGGAACATAGGGCTTCAGTAGCACATCTCCATTCCACTCTGTTCTCTGAAATCGTTTCAACCTGGCACCCGACTCCCCACAAGCTCTCATTTCTTCCTCACATCATCTCCTCCATGTCACCCTCACCTCCGACGCCCAACTCGTCGCTTCCCATCTGGGTTACACTCCAGCAACTGGCCTGACATGTAATGTCCCCAGTCAGCCCTCTCACTGTATGTCCAGTCCAATCCATCTCCACTTCCTCCCAGTGCATATTTGTTGACCGATAGCATCTTGGTTGGTTCGTTGTTATCAGCCAGAGTTCCTTGTTGCTTATTCTTATTATTCTGGCCATCTGATCTTCTGTAACGAGCCAGTGTAGGCAGTTGTTGACGAATGTCTGTAGTTTGTTGGAAATCCCTTTCGTAACGCGCCAAGTCTCTGAACCATACAGGAGCACTGACTTGATTGAATTGGTGTTGAAAATCCGCATCTTGTTCACTCTGTATGCAGAGTGCAGAAGATCTCCACACTAGTTTCAGGCTAATGAACGCCTGTCTTGCTTTTCCGATTCTGACTTTGACATCCTCGTCTGTGCCTGTGCCGCCTGTAATTGAGACAGTTCTGCCTAGATAGATGAAGGAGGCTACTTCCTTTAGTTTCCACCCGTTGATGCTGATTGGAGCTTGTTGTTGCTGTTGCCGTTGTTGTTGTTGGTTGGGTACCTTCATCACCCATATCTTCTCTATATTCACTTGAAGTCCCGTCTTCGCCTGTAGATCTTCCAGTTTGTGCGACATCAGACACAAGTCATCATCGGCGAAATCCAAATCTTCTAGGTTCTTTTCCTCGGTCCGGCGTATCCTCCTCTCTTCTCGCTACTCACTGTTTGTTGCATGATCGTGTCAACTACAATCAGAAATATCATGGGTGATGATAGTAGACAGCCTTGTTTTACTCCTGTCTTCACTTCACTTCAAAAGCATCACTAAGGTTCCTATTGTGAATTACTTGGCTGCTATGTGGCGTCTTCATATAACTAAGCTGTTGAATGAGATTGATAAATGTCTGTGGTATTCCGTAGTGTTGAAGCAGTTTCCAAATTACTTGTTGGTCGATGCTGTCAAAGGCCTTCTCAAAGTCGATGAAGTTGAGGTGTAGAGTTGACTGCCATTCTATACTCAGTTCTGTGATGATGCGAAGCGTTGCAATTTGGTCCGCACATGATTTGTACTTCTGAAGCCTGCCTGTTCCGGTTGTAGTTTTGAATCCAGCGCATTCTTCAGTCTCTCCAGGATGATGCGGCTTAATATTTTGCTTGGCGTGGAGAGGAGCGCGATTGTGCGCCAGTTCTTGCAAACACATAGGCCGCCCTTCTTCCAATTGCCAGGTACCTACCCTTCCTTCCAGACCTTCTGCAATAGTGGTATGAGCACATGAGGATTTTATGCCTTCCTTTGCTTCAGTTTTATCATAATATCTTCAAATTCAAGGGATCGGTGCTGATTTCATCTCTGTCAACCCGTTTTTCTCGATGAGTATGTAGTACCTATCTACTAACCAGAAACCTATAGTTAGATTATAGTTGCAGTAATCGATTTAAATTATTTATTTAGCCGACTCGGTTTCGAACATACAGGTTACTGATCGCTGTACCTGATTTGGTCCTCCTATCTGCTCGATGGATATATCGCCTCACCACACTTGCTCAATATCATCTTTCGGTCACTCTCCGATGTTTTATTCTTCAAGTCGTCATCCTCCACTCGCTGCTTCATAGCGTACACATAACTCTCCACTGAGTCCTTCTCAGAGACACGGTCCATCTGCTTCTCATCCTCAGCCTTGAATTTCTCCGCCTCCGAAAGCACACGCCCAATATCATCCTTAGACAAAACTACCCTTATCATTCGTGATGGTGATCTTGTTCCGCTTATCAGTACTCCTGTCCACAGCTGACACATTCAAAATCCCGTTAGCGTCAATGTCAAACGTCACCTCAATCTGAAGAACATGAGGAGCAGGTAGAACACCGGATAGCTCGAATTTACCCAACAGACTGTTATCCTTCGTCAACACACGCTTTCCCTCATACACCTGAATAAGCACGCCTGGCTGGTTGTCTGAATGCATCGTGAACGACTGGGTCTGTTTCATAGGAATCGTTGTGTTATGCTTAATCAACGTCGTCATAACACCTCCAGCTGTCTCAAGACCCGGCCATAATGGAGGCATATCAAGCAACAATAGGTCCTGAAAAGCCTCCGACTTGTCACCACTAAGAATAGCCACCTGGACAGCTGCAGCATAAAGCAACAACTTCGTCAGAATTTATAGACTTTTCAACTCCTTACCGTTGAAGAAGTCCTGCAACATCTTCTGCACCTTAGGAATACGCGTCGAACCACCAACTAACACTACATCATTAATCTGAGACTTGTCCAACGTAGCGTCTCTCAAAGCCTCCTCAACCGGCTTCGTAGTACCACGGAACAAATCTCCATTCAGCTCCTCAAATCGAATAGGCAGTTGATTTTCAACCAATGGGTTGTTTCAGATCTCGCTCAACTTACTGTGGTTTAGGCAGAATAGGCGGCCTGACTTCACTTTTTAAGAATTAATCATTGTTAGTTGTTATGGACTATATGTTTTCATTTCTTGATATCATTACTTTTCTCATGTCATTAGAGAGCTGTAAAAAGCAGTCTCCTTTAAATTAACGTTCCGTTTCTGAAGTAATTTAGACGATAGGAACACTATCTGTGATATGACTCCAAACTGGTCACAATAGCACAGAAGTCTACAGCCTCTGTAATCATTTAGGTAATAAACATTTCCAGTAGTCTGTATGTTTATTCTCTCTTCTCTCATACACTTTTGTATAACTTAATTTTAGCAATTGTCTAGCAATTTAAGGCAATACATTTTTTGTGCTAGATTCAGCGTTGAATACTTTATCTACCTGCCTATCCATCCTGCAACATTTGGTTGAATCAAGTGAGATATGAAACTTTGGAGCTGTAACTCACTGGTTTAGGGGTCAGAGATTCGAGTTCCGCTCAACCTACCGAGGGTTTTGGCAGCTAGGTAGTATCATTCACCCTCATACAATAGGTATGACTCATTACCTATCACATGAATATGCGTAAGGTTGCTGAGTGCATTTTATCCATCCATTTTTAAAAAATGTGAACCCAATTACCTCAAATAAGATAAAACCAGAAGCTTAAGAGATTATCCTATAAAAAACAAATACAATATTATGACTGTACCAGTTTTATAGTTTCTTTGATAATGTAATACGATTGCAAAGTAATTTACATAAACCATGATTAAGACTTGATCGTATAGTATGGCAAATCTTGGGCGCTAAGTAAGAGGTTGACATTAGATATAGATTGTATCTGCGTAAGCCATAGTGGGTTTGAAATCAAAGAATTCCAACGTATCAGACGGAAGCCTGGTCCGAGCTTCTTCAGAGAAAGAAGCTCGGATCTTTGATTCAAACCCACTGTGACTTACGCAGATACAATATATACCTAATGTTAATACAATATTAATACCTAAGTTTTCTTCATTGTTACAATGTCCAAAACTTTTACTGAAATGAAAAGTTCATTAAATTGGCATAGTTTATTGAAATCGCATTTTTTTTATTACCAGACAGTGTGATTACTATCTGCTTCTTAAATTTAACAATATAACGTTAAAATTGATATGAAATTTGTGCTAAAACTGAGAATTTGTTGCTTACCAGGTCGTAGTGGGTAAGCTTCTCGACCCTTGTATGCCTTCTCTTCAGTTAGGCTATACAGTTCTGGTAAAAATCCATACTGTCTCCATATTTCATGATAAGCAATTAGATGTCTTCTTGCTCCATCTAAATCACCTGTAAGAACCTATAGTTAACAACAAAAACAAAGTCAACTGATAGCCTAATATCCAGCTATACATCTAAAACTGATCAAAACTCCAGTTACTGAAAAACTTATTGAAACATTTGAATTCAGTACATAAAAGTGTTTCACATATTACTGAAACAAATAGCTAACAATAAACGCTAGAATTTATGCCCACAAATTTTTTTTACTCGTATAGTAAAAAATGAAAATATATGAATGTAACCGTGACAAAGGAACAGGCAAGCTTCAAATCATGTGCGGACCAAATTGCAACGCTTCGCATCATCACAGAACTGAGTATAGAATGGCAGTCAACTCTACACCTCAACTTCATCGACTTTGAGAAGGCCTTTGACAGCATCGACCAACAAGTAATTTGGAACTGCTTCAACACTACGGAATACCACAGACATTTATCAATCTCATTCAACAGCTTAGTTATATGAAGACGCCACATAGCAGCCAAGTAATTCACAATAGGAACCTTAGTGATGCTTTTGAAGTGAAGTGAAGACAGGAGTAAAACAAGGCTGTCTACTATCATCACCCATGATATTTCTGATTGTAGTTGACACGATCATGCAACAAACAGTGAGTAGCGAGAAGAGAGGAGGATACGCCGGACCGAGGAAAAGAACCTAGAAGATTTGGATTTCGCCGATGATGACTTGTGTCTGATGTCGCACAAACTGGAAGATCTACAGGCGAAAACTAACAAGTTGTCAGAAGAGGCAGGGCAACGAAGACGGGACTTCAAGTGAATATAGAGAAGACATGGGTGATGAAGGTACCCAACCAACAACAACAACGGCAACAGCAACAACAAGCTCCAATCAGCATCAACGGGTGGAAACTAAAGGAAGTAGCCTCCTTCATCTATCTAGGCAGAACTGTCTCAATTACATGCGGCACAGGCACAGACAAGGATGTCAAAGTCAGAATCGGAAAAGCAAGACAGGCGTTCATTAGCCTGAAACCAGTGTGGAGATCTTCTGCACTCTGCATACAGAGTGAACAAGATGCGGATTTTCAACACCAATTCAATCAAGTCAGTGCTCCTGTATGGTTCAGAGACTTGGTACGTTACGAAAGGGATTTCCAACAAACTACAGACATTCGTCAACAACTGCCTACACTGGCTCGTTACAGAAGATCAGATGGCCAGAATAATAAGAATAAGCAACAAGGAACTCTGGCTGATAACAACGAACCAACCAAGATGCTATCGGTCAACAAATATGTACTGGAAGGAAGTGGAGATGGATTGGACTGGACATACACTGAGAAGGCTGACTGGGGACATTACACGTCAGGCCAGTTGCTGGAGTGTAACCCAGATGGGAAGCGGCAAGTTGGGCGTCGGAGGTGAGGGTGACATGGAGGAGATGATGTGAGGAAGAAATGAGAGCTTGTGGGGAGTCGGGTGCCAGGTTGAAACGATTTCAGAGAACAGAGTGGAATGGAGATGTGCTACTGAAGCCCTATGTTCCATTAGGAACCCAGGGGATAAATATAAAGAATAATAATGATAACCGTGACAAATGGATGTACCGTTACTCAGAAGTCAACAAAACATTATATAACGTCAGTTCACTGCTAAAAGCCAACAGTAGTACAGTTAATACATTTATCCTTTGGGGGTTTTCAAAATTCTAAATACATTATCAACCTTCATTATTTAACTTTTGTCGAAATACATCAGATCTCATTGTGGATGTTTCGATCAAGCCATGGAACAGATGCACTTGTCAGTGCTCAACACTAATTTTCTTTCTTGAACTGAAGGTGGAATTCAGCTCCATCGGTTGAGGTATAATGGCAATTTCTTACTGAGTGCTAGATAAGTGCATCGTTCTACTGAAGCCTCCATATTTTAACACTTGTGAGTATATTAGTGCCTGTAGTGATGTGTCAGATGAGTTATATATTTCGATTGCTGTCCATCAGAGAAATCCCTTCTTTCCATTTTTACTTAACTTGGTTACATGCCCCCATCTCCCTGTTCGACTTAACAGGGATTGATATCGTCAGACGACAGACAAATAAAAATCATCGTAGAACTTCGCACAGAAGTGTATTGGTTCAAGTTGCCGTACTTCACAGCAAAATGCAAAGAACAGGTAAGTAGAAACGAAATGATATCAAAGTAGATAAAAGTGTATGAGAGAAAACAGAATTTGAAAATCATAGTTATTGAAAACGTTCAAGTTTTAGAAGCCATCAAAGAGTGAATACATCTGCGCCATTGCCACCGAATTTCAGGTATGTCACCAAAGGTTTTCAGTCACTGATTTGTATTACCTCAAGGACCCAAGCCACACAGTCTGCATCTCTCCATATGGCTCAGACCAATAGTGATGGATTCCACTGACTGGTGCCATGTCTTAGCTTGACCACGCTGAGTCTTCATCCAATCTAATCAAACTTCCCCAGCACCTCACATCGAGGTAGACGGTGGCTTAGCACATGCAACATATATCCAGGCTAACTCAGGAGACCAAGGTTTACAACCCCGTCAGCTGACTTACCCTTTTTGCCTGGTATGCTTTGCCTAACCTTGACACTGCTCAGCAGAGGATTCCGCCATACACAAGCAATCCTATGAAGACACGTGTTTAAAAACATGCAATCTTTTCATACGTCCTACTTTCAATGATCATGTCTCATATCCTTATAACAGGACAGAACGGACTGAAGCGCAGTACACTTATCCTTTTAACAGGTATTCTGATATCTCCCCAGTGCCATGAACGGTGTCTATTGGAAAATGCCAAACGGGCTTTCCATATCCGACCTGAAATTTCGTCAGTAACTAGCCCATTGGCTCTTATGCAACTCCCTAAATAAGCGAAATCGTGACCATATTCCACCACTTTACTCCTGATTCTTGAACTGGAAGTAGCTGCAGACCAGTTCTTAAGCGTCATCTTACATGTGACAAGTGCAAAATGCATGCCAAACGTTTTCCGACTTTCGCTCAAGGCATTTTGTCATTGATTTCGCCTAGCAGGACGGAGGAAACTCCTTGGCAGATCTAAGGTACGTAGAAGATATAATCCCTTTAGATGGAGACGCTGACAAAATGTAGATTCTTCTGGACACCTTGATAGGTGATTCGAGGATGTTTGGGATACGTTTCTCATTATCCAAATGCAAATTTCTGCTACGAGACTTGTCCACGTTGATACATTTTTCTGACAACGCGGAGTGGTGGGGTGCACCGACCACTTCACTTGTTTGTAAAGTGGGAAAGTCAGCGATCGATGAAATCTCTGCATCAGTCGATAAGCTTTTGCCAACTTATACCATTCGTGGCACATGCAAGATTTCCGATGGCAACCAAGGGTCGAGTACACTGCGCAGCAGTTCTCTTTGCTTCGATATATGTTTGTTAAAGATAGTCAGTAAGTGTGGAGAATATAGGAGGACACTAGGTGTTCCACTATTAGTCTTTATAGAATTATTCGAGTGTCGCAGAACCACCACGTTAGTAATGTAGAGGATATGTAGAATCTTGGGTAAAGGAGTTAGATTAGTTGGTGAGGTTTTGAACTTCCAACTCAGTTGGCTAGGAAATATATTGAGCATGCCAAGTCACCGTTCACTCTGACGTGTGATGTTAGCTAAAGCAGGACTCAGTCGGAAAAATGTTAAAGGCGGTGGTATTAAAACATAGTATCAAATCATGAAGTCAATGACTTTTGTTTTGAGTTGTGTGGGGAATTATAAACCTCCAAGGTTGGGATGAAAGTATGAACAGAAATCAATGGTTGAAAGATCTAAATGAATGAGAACAAGAGTTTGAAATTTATTACGGGGAAGATATGTATGAAATTTTAAATGATATGACTCAAAACCGACTGTATTTGTGCAAGCAAATCCATACATTTCTTTCGTGCCAATCACCATAGCAAACTTTAGTCATTTGTTTAAATCCATTCCTTGTCCTCTGACGACTTTCTACAGCTTTTAATAACATATTTCCTGATTCCGTATCTTTTATCTTCATTCTTTTTATCTTGATATGTTGATGCGATATGTGGCAATCTAAAATGTTACGCTGCAATGCTAAGTCCTATGCTGATAATGACCGACCAACTGATAAATATCTTTTTAACTTCTTCCACGTTTCCAGCTTCCTTCATACTTAAGACGTGGCACGAATCGATGAAGTTTCTAACTATTGATCCAAGTCATTTGAGGAAACATAGATTCCTCGCTGAAGTCCCTGAAATGAAAGAAATCAGTGGTCGAGAACTCTTGGTGACGTCAAAAACAAGATATTCAGTGGAGAGGACTCTCCTTTCTCTACAAATTTATTCTCAAGTTGTACATTCGTATGTATATATGATATTTAAAGACTACAATCCGTGAGAAACATTTAACTTAAATAATGTGGATTGAAATAATAATAATAATAATAATAATGGTGGTTATGGTTATAATAACGTTGCTAGTTAGTGACGCAAAGGTTGAATGACAACAAGAAGGGTTACGTAAGATTTTTAAATTGTTTATAAGGTGCATATAGATTAAAAAGGGGTGAAAACTTGGTAGAGTTAATAAACAATAGTTGTTTCTGGTGTTATTTCATTTGGTCTTTCTAATAATCGCAACTGTTAACAAAACATTTTCAATGTCTAGATATTGTAAGAACTCGTATTAATAACAACCAAGATATAATTAATATCTGACTGTACGCTTTCAACAAAGCATATTATCAAATCGTTGAAGCTTCCGTAGAATCTACATATTTCATGTTTAGGAGAGAGAATGTACCGTCAATCAAATGGAGTTGCAATGAGTTCATCAGTATCTCCAATTGTGGTGACTCTATGAAAGCTTTAGAAGAAACAGATTTATGAAGTATCCATTGCCAACCCAGAATTTAGTATAGATATGTAGATGATGCATTTGTCATTCGTAAGAAAGCAAACCAACAGGAATTTCTATTATTTTATTATTATTAGTCCCTTGGGTTCCTAGTGAAACATAGGGCTTCAGTAGCACGTCTCCAGTGACTTCTGTTCTCTGAGATCTTTTGAACCTGGTTCCACGACAGCCCACAAGCTCTCATTTCCTGCTTGCACGATCTCCTCCATGTCACTCTCGGACGTCCAACTCGTCGCTTCCCATGGGGATTCCACTCGAGGGCCTGACGCGTAATGTCCCCAGTCGGCCTTCTCAGTGCATGCCCAATCCATCTCCATTTCCTCCCAGTGCATATTTGTTGAGTGATACGTTCTTGGTTGGTTCGTTCCCAGAGCTCCTTGTTGCTTATTCTTATTATTCTGGCCATCTGATCTTCTGTAACGAGCCAGTGTAGGCAGTTGTTGACGAATGTCTGTAGTTTGTTGGAAATCCTTTTCGTAACGTACCAAGTCTCTGAACCATACAGGAGCACTGACTTGATTGAATTGGTGTTGAAAATCCGCATCTTGTTCACTCTGTATGCAGAGTGCAGAAGATCTCCACACTGGTTTCAGGCTAATGAACGCCTGTCTTGCTTTTCCGATTCTGACTTTGACATCCTCGTCTGTGCCGCCACCTGTAGTTGAAACAGGAATTCCTAGAACATATAAATTCTATTTCATATTCCATTAAATTCACTAGTGAAATAGAATCTAAGGACGGCACTCTGAGCTTTTTTAAATTGTCTCATCCAAAGAACGACTGAAGTTAAATCTGTATGAAAAGAAAAGCAACACATTTCGATAAATATTTAGACTTCCAATTGGATCATCCAACTAGTGTAAAGGTTAGTGTCTCATTGAACCTATTGAACAGAGCGAAAAATATCGTAACTGATCCCAATGATTTACAAAAACGAAATCTCACAAATAAAGAATGTTTTGATGGGAAATGGATACCCTATAAAGCTCTTGAAGAACATTATCGGTCAACCGAATGAAACAGCAAGTACTAATGTAGTAGACGGTGGCAGAAATCATAAGGAATTACCAGCAATAGGTAAGGATTCCGCCAAGAGAAACGCAAGAGACAAGGCAAGCGTATGAAGAGCAAATCAAGAAAGAAGCAGAAGAAGAAATGAAGCACATTTTGCAAATGGCGGTTTTAGTGCAAGGTGTACCATATTTAACGACTACAGTCCAACTGGTTGACAATACACACTCCTTCCTTCATACATGTCTTCTTGCTTCTTTCACTAGTACTACTACCTGTAATAAAGATACAACAACAGTATGGGCGTCATCTATGGCGATACCATATCGAAAAGGTACTTCTGAACAAATTAAACCTTCAAATTCACTAGAGAAAATCTTAGTCAAAGTGGAAGAAACAATTCCTAAGTTGTCACAGAACAACTGTGTCTACAAAATTAAATATTTGGGATGTGAAGGTAATTATAATGGAGAAAGTTGTAGAACCCTAAAAGTCAGGGTAAATGAACACGAAACATCCATCGAAGAATCAAGGAGAATTTTAAAAAATTAGAGAAGCGATCAGCAATAGCTATGCATGCAATTGAAAGTGGACATATGATTGACTTTGAGAATGTAGACATATTAGGGAAAGGTTTCCATTCACATAAAGAAAGATTAACTTCCAAGGCTCTGCATATTTTTGAACAACATCAAATGTTACTCATAGAAAAGAAGGACTAAACTTGTCATCTGTCTGGCAAACATTAATCCCACACAATCATTAATGATAACCTTTTCGAATTGAAGTACAATAACAATTACTGACAGTTTTATAAATGACACAAAATACATAAACACACATGCATACACGTTTTGACTATCTTATATACTCGTTGACAAATAATAATAATTGAATTTTAAGGGAGTTGTGGAGATCTGGAAATATTTCAAGTTGTTATTCATCGTAGACTGACATCAGTTGGAGAAATAAAGGAAACCTGGGAGCACTGGAAAGCTGTTTCGTCCTAGTATGGGACTCCTCAGCAGTGCGCACCCACGAACCCACCAGGGATCGGACCCGTGACCTTCAGGTTCCGTGGCCATCACGTTACCATTGAGCTAGCCACTGGGTCGGAATCCAATGGTCCATATTTCCATATATTGTGAGCTAACAGAAGTTGGAAATATGGACCATTGGATTCCGACCCAGTGGCTAGCTCAATAGTAACGTGCTGGCTACGGAACATGAAGGTCACGGGTCCGATCCCTGGTGGGTTCGTGGGTGTGCACTGCTGAGGAGTCCCATACTAGGACGAAACAGCTGTCCAGTGCTCCCAGGTTTCCTTTCTTCCTCCAGCTCATGTCAGTCTACGACGAATAACAACTTGAAATATTTGCAAATCTCCACAACTGTCTCAAAATTCAATTGAACTGGTGCTCATTGGTGACCAGCTTCGAGGAGTATTCCCGAAGTTCCAATGAGAGGTGGTGACCGGTGGAGTCAAGCGTGATGGTCGTGAGGACAGTTAGTCAACGATGACATTGGATGGCGGTTGCGCTATATCGTGAGCTAACAGAAGTTGTAAATATGGAGCATTGGATTGTGACCCAGTGACTCAATGGCAAGGCGCTGGCCGCGGAACCTGAAGGTCGCGGCTTCGATCGCTGGTGGTATGGGGTCGTGGGTGCGCACTGCTGAGAGTCCCACACTAGGAGGAAACAGCTGTCCAGTGCTCCCAGGTTTCCTTTCTTCCTCCAGCTCATGTCAGTCTACGACGAATAACAACTTGAAATAATAATAATAACAACTATGAACTTGTAATGACTAATCTTAATTACTCAGGGTGGACAAGAAAATCATCCAACCAATGACCTACGTTCACCAAGATATATTTGGTGTATCATTTGACTATATATTTTGACGTTAACAAAAAAATCCGTATATTCTGCTGAAGAAGCTGTAGATTACACAGCAAAACGTTCAGAAATATCTTGTTTTGATTTTCCAAACACTCTGGGATTATATTAAAATATATTCTTATAATGATTTTCAATTTATTGCAATTAACTTGTCTCATTCGTATTACCTAATCCTTTGATGATTTATTAACTCCACCACTTTTTCACCCCCTTTTTAATCTATATGCACCTTATAAACGATTTGAAAATATTGCGTAACCGTTTTTGTTGTCATTCCACCTTTACGTCATCAACTAGCAACATTATTATAACTATAACCACCATTATTATTGTTATTATTATTATTATTGTTATTTCAATCCCACATTATTTAAGTTAAATGTTTCTCACGGATTGTAGTCTTTAAATATCATATATACATACGAATGTACAACTTGAGAATAAATTCGTTGAGAAAGGAGAGTCCTCTCCACTGAATATCTTATTTTTAATGTCACAATAGGAATTATGAATGTCTTGGTGATCTGGTTGGAAATCAATTGGAGTGGCATAGATTTATACACTCTTTGACGTTTTCTAAAGCTTAAATATTTGCAATAACCGTTATCTTCTACTTTCATATTAGTCTTTTTCAATCCACATATTCTTTGTATACTATTGTGAAGTATGGCAGTTTGAACGGATGCACGTGTCCAAGGTTCTACATTGATTGTATTTCTCTGTCTGCCAGATTCATAAAATTAAAATGGTTTATAATATACTGTAATATGTAGATTAAATGGGCAAGTAAGCCAGGAAAAAAAAGAGGCTTTTTGTAAGCAAAAAAAACGCAGATTACCAATAATCCAGGCCAAAATGCTTCAAGACTTTGAAAAACTGGCATTGTAACTCCACCTTTATCTTTGTTTATCATTGGATTCCAGTCACCATGTCGAATATATTTTTCAATTGCTATTCTGTACTCTGTTGTAAAAAGGATTAGGAAGAGTGAATAGTTTACTGCTTTTAAACATATTAATGTATTTTGTTCACATTTAATATTGCTTACTGTATTATAGCGTAGTTGTATTTTAGCAACGAAACATTAGATTTGTATCGTGTCTGATTGGAATATTTAGAATTTAAATACGGTTTAATGGTTAATGAGCTCATTCACAAATGTAATCCATATGATCTCCTTTACCGTATTCTCAAAATATACTCGTGAAGCTGTGGCTCATTGACTTAGGAACAAAACTCTCAACCAACCAGTCATGGGTTGGAGCCCAGCTCCATCTACCACGGTTCGGGTAACCAGATAGTATTACAAGCTCCTACACAATAGGAATGTTTCATTTCGGTCTGAAATTCACTTCTGATTACATGTGCATCATGATGTATGCATATGAAGTGTTTTATACTATTACGACTAATGAAAAATAAACTTTTGAGTAGTACTTACCTCGAAACATTGCATCTAATTCAGGAAGACGAAAAAGTGCTGCACCTTTAACTAAATATTCAAAATAGGAATCAACTCCTGAACCAATAGTAGCATCACGCGCAGTCCAACTCCCCGTTTTAATGTCAATATGATTACCTAGTAATCCAAGAAAAGATCTATACTTCCAGATAGCTTTCAGAGCACGCATTGCAGCAGCTTCGTATCTAGGATCCCCTGTACAGAAAGTCGTTAGTGTCATCGGGTTTGAAAATGATCCATATACAAAAAATATGAGAGTGAAAAAAAATACTTCGTAGAAGGTTTATTGAATGAACTATTTAAAAGTAGCATTTACAATAAGGATAAGTTTGAAATATAAACAATCATCTGTCTGAGTGGTTATATGAAGCAAAATGACAATTGGTATATTCACGGAAATACCTATGGTTAGTAAAGGATTCGTGTTTCTGGTTCATGTATATCACATTCGACTATATAAACCAGGTCGCTTAGCTGTTTCATCCCTTCGCGTTTCTTATTTGTATTACTGTATAGCAACGACTACCTACATAAGACGAAACTGAATCGTCAGACAAGTACGAGGTACTTAGGAAGAAGAAGGTAAGGTATCACTGAATTCGACATGGATTAATTTCTCACATAAGAAAAGTACAAACTATGAAGTCAAAATGCCTGGCTTTTATACGGCAAAACATTTCAGATAGTCCTTCGACAGTCCTAGTTTACATAGTATGAAAACGGAGCAAAATCAGTACGGGAAAGAACTGAACTAAACTTCACGTTTAAGTATGCAGTGACCAATCAGAATCAATAATACGGAGAACAAAGTAGTTACCAGGGAAAATTGTGGCTTATTTCCAACTTATTACTGTTTTAGCTGAAAAATAAACCATACCATTGTTTGCTTTGCCGCTAATCCATTTGAAACAATATCACTTAAATGATAATTTGGAAGTTTCGCGTCGTGATCTCGTTAAAGGTCTTAAGAACTTTCTAAGACGACTCCATATATTTTCAACATTGTTGTTGTCCAATCAACGAACTGACTTTTATGAACAATAACTTGATGAGGGTAACTTATTTCATATAAAGGTATACATGACTTCAGAGCGTGTGTGTATATTGTGATAATCAGTGTCACGTATTTTCACAAAACTGATGGAACAGATTTCTCTGGTCTATAGTTTATCCATTAGAAATGTTTGTGATTCATATTTCCACTGTATATACCAAGAATCTGCCGTCTGTCAAGATAAGTTATAACTTACCCAGGGCTGTTTAAGTCATCTTCCTGGGTTATATACAAGTTTCAGAATAAGACCTTCAACTATTTCAGCCACATTACCTTCTCCAACAAATTTCACATATATTGCGTAACGTTATCTTCATCATAATTCATCAGAAGTTTATGTGCCGTCAACAACACGGGAAATGAACGTAACGAACAGCTTGAATAATTCATCTCCAAACTGATTGGTTGTCCTCAAGTTTTCCCGTCGCTTAAGTTTACTTCAACCAAAAGGTTGTATGAAAAACAATGGCTAATAAGGAGCAATTCTGTACACGTCGCTAAAATATAGAATACGGTAAAGAGAGAGTGCAGCTGCACTGATAGAATCGACTATGGTCGATCTTACCGAAAATATTCGATTTCTAACACCATACATTTTCCAGTCAAGAAATCTACATCTTCCCAAATGTTTCTGATGAATACTTAACGAGTTTAAGAGCTACTATCACTTATCGATCTAGTAGTCTCTTTGAATTAAACCATCGATGGACATAAGGGTAGGCAAAGGATTACGTGCAAAAAGCTTTAAACTAGTAAGATTCACAACCTAAATCTTCACACTCGATATGTAGAGTCCTACACTTGGGCTCACAATAAATTATTGAATCATTCTGTATACTACAGGCTGAACTCTAATCATAACATAGTCTCCTCATAAAATCTTCAGTGTTAGGTTCCAAGGTATAAATAGAAGTCTCCGAAGCGGTTGCTGAGACAAATGGAATATGACAACGTGAATAGACCTACATAAAACGCTAACCCTACAGTTGTAAGCCTGATTACCGCGAAGCAATCTTAAAGTGTAATATACCAAGATGGCAAATCGACCCAATTTATGCTGTTCGACATCAAATACAAAGCAGTCACAAACCGTTTGGCTTTTCGGGTTGTGAGGTCTTGAAAACGAATGCTTCTAAGGCCAGTATGGATGGGTTATGGAACTCTTCAAACACTGTCAACGTAATCTACATCAGTGTTTTCTGCATTCGAAACAAAATAATAAACCTAGAGACTCTAATCTGTGAGCTAGGTGCTGATGTGATGGCCCTTACTGAAACCTGGCTAACAAGGGATTTAGATTTAGTAAGGACAGACAGGGTTGTAGTTCGCAAAGGTGGCGACATAATATCCTATGTTCTCAATGATGTCCAAATACGACCAGTCACTAGAAGCACATGAATGCAGCAGTATGTGCGAAGTGGCCAGTTATGAGCCGAAGTCAGAATAAGATTTCTGTACTATCCAGGTAACTTACCATAGTCCATCTTGTCTTGTAAATGACTTCGTGCTAGCTCATATACATAACTGGAGTAGAAGCAACAGATGCCCAATAGTAGGGGGTTTGAATGCTCCGGACCTAAAGTGAACGGAGCTTACAGTCTAAGCCTCGGGCAGTTGTTTCAAAAATGATTTGCTTTTAACGGCACAACAATGTGCTTTAGTTCAAAACGTAACTTGTGCAACACGATACGATTTTGAACACAACCCATCGTTATTAGATTTGATTTAAATTCACCGATGTGAAGATATTATAGATCTACGATACTCCCCTCTATTAGCTTGCAGAGATCGAGTAGTGCTAACTTTCGGTTTCAAAAGTATGAGTTTGGTTACGATACTGCTTCCCCCAAACCTGATGTGTGGCGCACAAGCATTTCAAGTATAAAAGAATGGGCAGCCAGTACGGATTGGACTATCAACAAGGACTCACCAGTCGAGAACGCATGGAATAGGTTTAGAACTTTATTAGAAGAGGTAACGATACCATTTATCACATGGTCAACTCCATGAAGCCTCTCACATCACCCTCCATGGTTTAATACAGATACTCAGAAACTACTAAGGCGGAAGAAACGTTTACGGAACTTGTTTGTAGAAAATAGACTGGAAACATTTAAAACTTGTTACCTTAAAGTCTGTAATCTCCGTAAAACTTTGATTACACAGTACCGAATGCCCTACTAGGAACAGCTTGTCGGCTTGCCAAAACTGCTCTAAAAGACTGTTCTCATTTATTAGGACTAAAAGCAAATGTGGAATTCCCTCTCTGGTGACGGATGAAAGTTCAATAGTCTGACCGAATCTAATGTGTCAAAAGCTGAATCTCTATCGCATTAATTTAGTGACGTCTTCTCTGTAGACCATGACGGTGAAGTGCTCAATGGTGGTGTCAGCACTGCCCCACTAATGGATACAGTGTTCATAGCAAAGGAAACAGTCTTCTAGTTGCTTACTAATCTTACACTTGGGAAACCACCGGGTCCCGATGAGTTGCACCCCAGATTGCTATCTTTGCTAGTGGATATTGTGGCTGAGCCAGTCACTGGTCTTTTTAATATAACCTTTCAGGCGGGAAAGATGCCATAATCAGTCCAGTTTTTAAGGCCAGAAGTAGTCAGTTGGTGGCTATCACACTCTGAGTTTAAGTAGAATAGTTATTACGGCTTTAGAAGAAATAATTCGTGATAAGGCACTTAATAATGTTGAATCAAATAATGTTTTGGCCCCAGAGCAACACGGTTCTCGTACTGGACTTTCCTGTTTAACAAACCTACTGATCTAGAGAGAGTAATGGGTTGCACCCCATGACTGCAAGCTGCTAATTAATTCATTAAGGCACTCAATAAAGTCTTAAGTGAAGTTACTAAGAAAGCTCTCCTCTTTCGGCTTCGGTGCTGCGGTGCAAGCCTGGGTTAGGTACTTTCTATATGACAGAAGACAAAGAGTGAGGGTAAATTGGATGCTGTCCATGTAGAAACCTGTGATGAGTGGAGTTCTTCAAGGAACAATCCTAAGTCGCATACTTTTCTTGTCATATATTAACGAATTACGACAAATGCTCAGCTCTTCCGTGCTACTATTCGCCGATGATGTAAACGTTTTGATAGGTATGCACTTCAATTGGATTTGGATGAACTGGTAGATTCTAAACGTTGGTGCTTAGAAACCAACTCTAGTAAAAGTGCAGTAATGCACACTAGTCATAGCAATTGTTTCCGGTACTCCATTGGTGGTGTACATTACTACTCCCCATCTGTGAACTGAAAGACTTAGGTGTCATTAAAGACCATGACATGAAAAATTCGGCACACTGTAATGCAGCTGTAGCAAGGGGTTTCCATGTACTTTGGTTCATCCCCATAGATTTTAAAAGTTTTGGAATGCCCTATTCTACTTATGTTAGACCTCACCTAGAATACTGCATTCAGGCGCTCAGTCCATACCTACAAAAGGATGATTTACTGGAACGGGTTCAGAGGGTAGATACTAAGCTAGTCCAAGGCCTTTCGAATCTGCCCTATGAGGAACGACTAGGTCGCTAAACTTATTTCCACTGCCTTACCGTAGGAAACAGAGTGGTCTCATGCTGACATTCCGTATCCTTAACAATGTCTTTTGTCCCAACATGTCCTATCTTTCTTCTCTGCTAGGATTACTTGTCTCTGAGGTCATCACAAAATCTAAAAACTGCGATCAAATCAACTTAGCGTGAATCTGCCATCGTCCCATCTGCCGGCTAACCTTACCTCAGAACACAGTATCAGCATCTTCGGTCAACGTGTTCTAAGAGAAACTACATCTTTACAGAGATGTCTTCTGCAAGGATTAACGCAGGTCAACTAGCCTACTGTGCTTATAACTGAAAACTTTTGCTTCCTGCTTAGAGTTAAACATGCCATTTGGATAAGTATGAGGGGCTTACAAGAAATTTCAAATCAGGTAAAAATAGCAATTTACCTGTTAAACGCGAGAGAGCTCCAAATTCCAAAATAAAAGTTCCGATACCAGCAACACATGTTACAGTTGTTTCGCCTTTAGGAACGCCACCTAACTCAAAATTTACAGTTCCGTATGGCATTCCAGTGGGAGTGTCAAAAGCTGGCAGGAGCTTATTAGCAAACACTTCTGCCTGTCTTAGAAGAGCTCCTGAACATGGCCACGATGGTTCTACTTCAAACCCAGCTCTGCGGGATAACAAATGGGCAGATATAAGACCACCAACAACTAAGAGCAATGAAATGGGAAAACTGAACATACCTCTGATATTGGTTTCGAAAACTGAGGCATTAACATTTTTCTCGGAATCCAGATGTTGTAGGAGAGCACGTGCGGCACGACGGAACTCAGTAAAATTATCCATTATGACCAGAGTGTCAAGCGCATCCACCAGGGTAAGCGAAAAACTGCCCCAAGTATCATGACCATCACATGAAAGTGGTCGTAACTCATCCAAAGGATAAGCATATTTCAGGTAGTTATCATATGCATGGTAGAAAATTTTCTTGACACGATACCTTCAAAAAAGAGATAAATTTTAAAGCCTAAAATTACTTAAGTTTTTCCATATTATGTTCTGAACTAACTTCATTATGAAAAAGAACCAGGTGTAAAACTACAAAGAACTTCCACGACATTCAACCTTGAGATTGAAAGAAGCGCTGTGGTTATGCGACATCCAATATTTGCTTCCAACATTTACAATCCAACGCCGATAATTCTGGTGGAATGAAATGGTAGTATTCCCACGTCTATGTCTATATTCTCAGTTCGTTTATACTTGTTGCTCACTCCAGTCCGCATAATTTTTTTCATTTTGTTTGCTTATTGCTTTTTAGTGATTGTCCGTCTAAATATTTTCTTACAAATTGTAGGCTGATTTGCTTGGGAGAAAACGTCGCTACTGATTATGTCAGGTAAATTCTTGCTACTCTTGTCCTTATCCATACCTGTAAGCCAAACATTAGGCGTTATTCCAAAAGAAGCACAAAAAATAGTTTGAGTAGAATAAAAGACATGAGGAATGAAAAGTACTAATGGAGAATGAGCGTGGCTAGTAATAACATTGAGGGAGCACGGTCTATATGGTAGATCTCAGGGTTGGATAGCACAGACTGGGTTATAATGAACTGAATTCTTACCGGTTTATGTTACTGGTAAGCAGTATATGCTGATGCACAAATCCAGCTTTTATTTGAGAGTCAACGAAGGTGACTGTTCCATGCCTAACGCACTCCATGACCGGAAAAGCCAGACCTAACCAGCGTCTTAGGCACCCGATAGAGTATGTGTGACCACCAGTCTTTGACCGATAATGTTTTCCTGTTGGTGAACAATCATGTAGAACAATCATGAACAATCATGTAGGCCGATGCTATTTCGTTTCGTTTCTCTTCGTAACTGAAAATAAACACGTCGAGTTGCCTCAGGAGTCGTGGATCTTCAATATCGTAGTCCGACAAGTGCATTCGTAGCTTTTCTCTGAGGCTTCTCAACATTTTCTGTTTGTCTTTGGCGGAGGTAACTCTTGCGTTGAACACCTTCAAGTGAGGTAAAATTCGAGTTTTCAAGACTGTGGGGTATAATCGGACCGTGAAGGCCCTGAGTATTTTTAGGCCAGTGACGGCGTTTTCCTTTGTTGTCAGTGACAGTTGACACTGCAAGTTAGAGGAACTCAGTCTAAAGTTCTCCAAAGACACCTCGGTGACTGCATGCTAGCAGAGGATTTTCCTAGTTTTTGTCACTTCCAGCTTTGAAAGGCCTATCATCTTGCACACCCTCAGATTGAAACCCAAGGTTCTTTCGGATGTTGATGATATCAACTGAAGTCGGATGCCAACAATTATCCTAGAGTTCTCTTCCCAACCTATTGTACTCCATATATCGATGTCATTTGCAAATAGACGGACAGATGAAGGGTATGAACGGTGAAGAGTGAAAATAAAAGTGGACCTAAGACTGCCCTAAGAGATGCTCCAGTTCTTATTTTCCGACAGCAGCAACCAAGCTTTCCAGTGACTGGGATATTCTCGGCGATAGTGCCATCGTCGTGTGCCTGCCTGTGCTTTTTAGGTCTTTTTCCCTGAAGATTAGGGAAAGGAAAATGCATTTTCATCCTCTGACAAGTTGGCTTACTTTCAGTGAATGAATGAGCAGACTGCATTTAGGCACTCTCAGGTCATCAGCAGAGTTTCAAACGACCACCAGTCTTTTATTATCAGAGCCTTAAGATTTGCCTACCCTCTACGTCAGTGCTTTCGCAAACACCTGGCTTGGCAAAACCTTTATGTCACCGAGCTTTGTTTCACGGTCGTGGGGCTAAATGTTAGCGGCTGACGGACTATTGTAATCGACAGCCCATTCAACTAGTTGCTGAAAGGTTCCACTATCGCTCCATCGTTTGATCCTATGGTTTTGTCAATACCATTATTCACCGGTTTAGTTTGTGGCGTAAATTAGTACGGATTTCTAAGGTCGTGACTTGACTTTTCAGCTAAGTTGGTCTGCAATGTGAACCCGTCGCTGGTAAAACGTGCGCCACTCAGTTGGGGTCATCTTTTGTCCCTGAGAGGGTTTGATCCTTCAAAGAGCTTGTTTCAGCTATGTCGTGCCCCGTTTCCCCCTGTGCACGTCTCTGGCTCACGCGAGTCGTCCAAAAGCGTTTAAGAGGTAGACGTCTGTTCACTTTTGGAACACCCTATCGGTAGGACTCCAGCTGGCAACCTTTACGTGTACCCACCGTTCGTCTATTGAAAAGGAGTGCCTCGTCGTGGCTATGATTCTCTCAGAAATTTTTCCCGATGACTTGATAGTTCCCCTTATAGTAACAATAGGATATGCCAGTTTCAGTTTCTGATAGTTCCTCCTCAGTCACCAGGGGCAATCTAAGCAGTCCATATTCACTTCAGTCTAAGCTGGTCGGATACTAACTTTCTGTACCAAAAGGTTGGCTCTCGTTTAAAAAGGTGATAAAGTCGCGATCCTTTTCCATCTGGCGCCTGTTGTGTACCCCTCTTAAACTTCGCATTATTCCTGTTGACATTTTGAGGCCTCCCATCAAAATATTTACGTCCAAACCTTTCTTCTGGCCTCATCTTAATTACTGGCATGCTAAAGTCTCCAGTAAAGACTGTGTGGTAATAGGCCGCAAGGTGGATGGTCAAGTGGTGATGAACAAGTGTTCTTTGTACTTAGCTGCATTCATCGGAGACCTGCATGCGACCCTAGAAAATATTTCATGTTATTCATGGTGGAATAGCACCGTGAGTGGTCTAGTAGTAGCGTGAACACATCATATATTGCCCCCTGACCTTTAATTGTCGGCCAGTGCAGGTCGCCTCTCCTCTTATGCCTTTAAATCGTCTACCTTTTGGGAATTAGGTCATGCTGCCTAGACAAATTTCCTCGTCAAAGGCGCTTAGTTAGGGCAAGGCATCTGTAACAAAAGCTGTGTTTGTGTGTGGACGAGAGACGGTTGTTGGCAACTTCAGACATTCTTTACCAAGCCCTCTCACGCTGATGAAAAAGCGCGTCAGGATGTTACGTTCTTTGGTTGCTGCTGTACATTGACTCGTGGAGACATCGTTGTGTTGCTCCTTTGGAAGCCAATTAAAATTTCGGCCGTGAGTGGAAAGGATACACTTGTTTCACCCTTCTGGTGTCACAGCGTTTTAGGGCGAAATTATTGCTCTTGGTGATGTCTGCAAGGGTTAGTTCCCCAGATAATTCCCTTGTGGCCGACACATTCTCAAGTGGTTTTGGAATCTGCCTCCTATCTCACTGCCTAGCTGGCCTGAGTTTCCTTATGGAGCACTGTAGGGCAACTGTTATTCGGTTATTAGAGCGCCAGCATGCTCCAAATGTCTCTGTGATCGATGAGCTAGAGTCAAAGCAATATACGTGTAAAACAGTCTTTCAGGTGGGTCAATCTTGTTGATCTGCTTGGAATAATGCCCCGCAGACATTCTAGCCTGCTTTCTGCTGTCTGTCATCTCCACTGCCTCATATTGTGGGGATAACTTTCATAGTTTGTGGATGCTACCGCTAGCTCAGGTATTCTGTATGTTTTCACGGTTTCAACCATGTATAGATGACCGCCACTCAGCTGCCTTCCTCTCTGTCACGTGGAGCGTGCTTTATCTAGCTTCGTTCTCATACCACAGCAACTTTTGACTCCTGGCCTGGGTTCCAGCAGAACAATGCCATCCACTCATCTTGCTGGCGTGGATGGCACCTTGCTAGGTGGTTGTCTCAGTTCGCTCTGCCTCTTGGGGGACCCGGTCCATCCCTGCCGGAACAGGACTCATCCCCAATATTTTGTGGTATTTACTCGACTCCCACCGTAATGCTACACGCCCTTTACTGTTGGTGGATTTGCTGATGCGGGACGCTAACCAAGATGTTGGGTTCTGTTCTCTTGCCGTGTGCCTGAATGATACTGAACCGACTGCTCTGTTCTTATCCTACCTTTCGGTGAACCTACCTAAGTGGGGCCCGCTGTCGGAGCCTCTATGTCCCTCCGATTTGCGTGTGGAGTTCTGGGGAGTTGGATGTACAAATTTTCATCGCCTTAAGTTCGGTCAAAACCTGCTGTTTACCATGGTGAGATTAGTATTTCCCCATCTCTAACTCGAATGTCTGAGAGATCGGATGTGCCGCTGTGGATAGTTTTTACCTTGCGGCTGATGGTGATATAGAATGTAACAACCGTCGAAGTTTTGCGATGCTATTCTATTAACACGCATGAAGAAGTATAAAACGGTCGCTTTCATGTCTTCTGGCACGGTTTCAGACCTTCGGTGATTTCTAAAGTCATAAATTCGGCCACTTATTAATCATACCCGGTCAAACTTCGGGAATTTTTGAGTTTTGGTTCGACACTGTGGGGTTTATGGAAATCCTATTTGCTGTATCGCGGACAAATTTCCTGACTGGCCGTAAAGGAAAGGAAGATTTAAGGGTTACAAAGAAGGTGCCGTTGGGAAGAATGAAAGATTAGTGTTCCGGGTTCAAAAAGTCATCAAGAAAGCTGCAACAACCGCGGAACGGATACTAGAGATGTGCGAAGTGCAACATCACTTCTTACAGTGAGCTAAAATCCAGGCTTTTGAACTCTTGCATCTAGGTCTTTTGGCCATACTATTCTCCTTCAGCCACAGTTATCCACTTTGAGTAGAAGACGACCCTACTTCGCTGCATAAAATTACACACTTGAAAGGCTTTTTTTATTCATAAGCTAACTGTTTAGGAAGCTACAGAGCTACTGAGACCATGGTATTGTCCGCATAAGTGCCTGGTAGCTCACACAGTACAATATGTCAATCCAAGAGTAGAGCTAAGGACTACTCACTTAGAAAATTGCAGTGTATTCGACTACCGGGTCGTGGGTAAATAAATCAAGTCAAGTGACTACAAGTAATGATAACGGAATTTTTCTCAGCTGCCTTACGAAAATCTCGACAACTTAAATTGCCGATTGGTGAGGGGTCTCTTTCAAGAATTGGTGTTTACCTGAAACTGTGAGAGACAACTTCGTAAAATAATCATGCCTGTCCATTAGGAAGTTACTGATACTTCTATCGGAATGGATCAGTAACAAATCGCTGCCTATGAGGATATTTTCTAAAGAAACCGTCGAGAAACGCATGTGTGAGTCAACTGGGCACAAATGGATC